TCAGGTTAGTTTCTAATAGATCTTGAAGTAGAAACGGCCAGAATCTTATCTAAAAATATCTCAGAACTTGTAATGGCAATTTCCAAGCAACTAATAAAGTTTCTGTAAAATAAATGGAAGAAAACTATCCATTTTCATTTATAATAACCTACATCGATTGGATTATGTTCATTTCGTATTTAGATTCGTAGTAGATAGCAAATGAAAATTAGAATCTATATGTTTGTAAATACCGATAAACTATGCTGAAAGCCTATGAAGAAAGAAATTAATTTTATCATTTAGGCACTTATCGATGCAAAATCCAACCGAATACAGGAATTGGAAACAGCTTTAGAAGATTCTAAACGTATTAGACAAGATCACGACTTTGAATTCAAGTCAGAAATGGAAAGCATTGATAAAAAATTACAAGAATTGGAATATTTCAAGAAAGCCGCCGATGAGCAAAGGGAGCAATGTAATAAGTATAAGGAAAAAAATTTCCGTTTAGAAAATGGATTAGATGAACAAGAAAAGATCCATTATAGATTAAAGAACGAGTTAAATGAACAAATTCAACTTACTATGAAATTAAGTCAAGATGTCCTGCTATCAAATATATCGGAAAAAGATCATAAAGCTAGTACACTAGAATTATCCAGCAAATACCAGGGTGTTGATCATCGTCCTGATATTGAATTGTTACAGAATAAAAAGCAAGAATTAATTGAAGAATTAAAATTACAAGCACAACGAAAGATGCATATGATGCCATTCAAGCAGGAGGAGGCTAAGAAATTCTTCATTGATGAATACGTTGATTACGATGAAGCCCAAGTACGTATAATTTAAAATAGGATAGTAGTTGCTGCTTAGATTTTTTTCATTAGCTACAGTCTGCATTTCACCTTCGAACCCTTGCTCTTGCGAGTAGATATATTTTAAGGTTATATTATGGTAAGGCAAATTCAATTTGCTCTCTGGTTTATTATTGCTACAGTATGAAAAAAGATCATAATATCTTAAATTTTTTAATTTACAAAAATCTAAATGCTCGTCGGACACGGCCGATCCTGCTTTATAAAAATATCTAATTTAATATGATTCAGAAATTTCTTTATAGACTTGCCTAGCTAATACTGATTAATCAGATACATAAACACTTTCGTATACGTATATTTTAATTAAAGTCACAGTATGGACGGCTAATTCAAATTGCTCCTGCTTTATTATTGCAGTATACAAAAAACATTATACCTTTGATATTGAAATTGACCAAAATCTAAAATCCTGCATGATATGGCCGATCCTGTTTTATAAAAATATCTACTTCATTCATTTATTAATTTAGAATGTGCTTTGTAGACTTGTCTACCTAATCTTGATTAATCATATACATTAACGTTTTAGTATGTTTTAAGGTCATAGCATGAGTTGTGTATGAACTAACTTGAGCTAATACAATCAACCGTATATAAGATTCGGGTTACTCCAAATTATTCACTGAAGCAAAGAGCTGAGAATACACAAAGCTCTGTAAATTGTAATGACTACCAATAATTGATTTATTGATTGAAAATATGGCAGCTTTTAGACGTGCGCCGTCTGCACTCACAGTGTAAAATATTGCATATTGCAATATCCAAAAGAATATTTAGAAGTGTAAATTGTAATTAAACATAGTAATTAATTCCATACTTATACAAAGTAAGCTTTTAAGTATAGAACAGATTGTAGAATGTAGAAGCTATCAAATCCATCTTAGCCTTAACCAAATAAGATTGGTAACAACGTACTGTAAGAAGAAATCATTGTATATTCGCAACCTACTATATTTAACAAGTACAGTATTAATATATCACAACCATATCATGAACATTGTGGATGAATAGCCTAAATGGCTTAAATGTACGTATCAAATTATTATTACACAATCAAGATGTAATACACTGTAATATATAGCAATATGGCAAGGGTAAATTCAATTTCATCTTTGCTTTATTATTACTGTAATATGCTAAAATTGTACCTTAGACTTTTAAATTGTCTAAAATCTAAAAGCCCGTAAGACACGATCGAACCTACTTTACAAAAATATCTAGATGAATATAATTCAGAGTATACTTTGTAGACTTGTCTAGCTAATAGCCTAATACTGACTAATCAGATGCACCAGCACTTTGATCTATTTTATGGCCGTAATATGACAAGAGGTAGAATTTACTTTTCGCTTTACTGTAACTACAGTATGTAAAATTTATACCTTGGACTTTAAATTCATCAAAATCTAAAAGTCTGTATTATATGCCCGATCTTACGTTATAAAATATCTAGATCATTCATTTCTTAATTCCAAATGTGTATTATAGTCTCGTCTAGCTAATATTGATTAATCAGATGCATTATTTTGGCGATAATGATAATGACAAGCTCGCCAATAGAATTAATTGTTAAGTATCTTAATTGATTCTTAATATACTCATATTTCTTTTAAATCCCTCCGGTTCACGAATTTATAAAATCGAGCAGTTCGTAGAACAATGTCTGCATATACTTGATAGTATTTTACAGCTGTTACTTGCTTACATTGATTGCCAAGACAGATATAAGTACTTCCTCTTAAAACCTATTAAAAATTGTCAATTAGTTTTCAAACACCTCTTTTAACATTACTGTAGACTCTTTGTATTTACCAAAATCCAACATTTCTAGATTATACAGACATATAAATAAGTGGCATAGATATCTAGCTAGTATTGTCCTATAGTTTTTTGTTAGCATGGTACAACCTGCAGTTAGCGATAATTGTTAATTAAGAAATATTCTTAATTAATGTTCATATTCGCATCACTTTAAAGATCTCAATGTCTACAATAATACTGATGCATGCGATATCTAGCTAATATTAACCCTAGATGGCTATCTGAACGGAAATAGCTGCTTCTTAACTGTTCTCATTAGCACTAACTACAAAGTACCGTAATCCTTTTAGCCTTCAATAGAGTATTAAATACTAAACAGAAAACCAAGCATTTCAATTTGATACCACATGCCTTAAAACGTATAAAATCTCGACATATTTCATATTATAATAATACATTTTTTCCTGATTTATATAAAGAGCTGCGTGACAGGTCAATAAATTCTTGATTGCAATCGACTGTGTAATTATAATAATTAATTTAGACAGGATTTTAATGTTAATTTATGTGTTGCTTACATACAATGGTGATAAGAATTTTGGGCATTCGAGACTAAAATGCTCTTCCTATAATTTTTTTTTTGCAGATTACGAAAGATATGGATAACCTTAAGCAATATGGTATTAAACTGTACCAATATATCCATACAATACAGCATTTAGTAAAAATTGATCCTGCTTCATTGCATCATTTGCCTGATCTACAAAGTAATTATAATCAGTTGGTGAATTCCCTAGATAACCATGTAAGTTGTCGAAGATACGGAGAATTTGATATTAATAGGGATAATTTTTGCCGGTTTGTTATAAAATCGGTAATGCCAGTTTTTATAAAATTTCTATTGAAGCCTCTGGAGATAGTTTTGCACATATAGCGCCTAATGCATGTTCACATATATCAGAAAATTAAATACTATGGCAGCTTAATTGCTGTACGGCATTATTAGAATCATGTTAGTTACCATGTTTGTTATTGGCCATAACAACATATAACGTAAATAAAATAAACGGTCTCCTTATAGTTCATTACAAAACTCTACATAATTTATTACGATATGTATCTAGAAGATAAAATAAATAGCCAATACATACATATCTGATGTTTTAAATTAATATTTCCCCAAGAACCTAGCAATAACTATTCATTATACTAGGATTACGAGCTCAAAATGTTCCTAGTTTAGTTGTAGCAATGGCCATTGGCTAATAGTTAATCATGACAATTCAGATAGTAGTCACTAAGATTTATCAAATTTGTATTTTTAGGCTATCCAAAATCTGCGTGAAGTTCGAAGGACAGTTAATAACTTGCATACGGTAGCTATGCTAATATTAAGACAAAGTATAGATACTGATTTATCCGCCTTGGAAGATGCACCTGAATTCCCACTGCCTGAATAAAAGCATCCTACGTCAAATGACCGATCAATTTCGAAAGTACCTTTAATTGCAAACTATTTGCTTTCATGAAGAAATTAATTTTGAAAATGACAAATGTACTGCGAGCAAATATTAAATAATTACTTTTTTGCTATAAGCTAGGAATAAAGTTATCCTTGTTTTGTATCATTTTGATTCCAGCTCTTTAAAAATGTACTGTAAAATTTTAACTGACCTTCAGTTTTCAATAAATACAAATCACAACCTAATTCGAAAATGATTCTGTAATCTGATTTGTTACGCGTAATAAAGATTATAGGACGATAATATAATTGATCAATAATCAGCTAACCAGCATGTAATATAGTAATCATATTTTATTGGCCTAAATTACGATTTCAATAAGATGAAAATCTATCTCCCTTTCATCAATTCCCTATAATCAAATTTCATAATTATATCATAATAATACAACTACATCATCATCTCTAACAAGTAAACTAAACGATTACAACGTGAGTTACGGGTAGTATTTCCGAGAGCTGGAGCAAATATAAAACGCATTGTATTATCACCATGATAGTAATAAATCATTTTAGTAAGTTTATAGATTGATTCCTGTGCCATCAAAGCCACAAAAAAATAGAATAGCTATTTTCAAATAAGAAGAAATTGCCATTATCAGTTGTGAAATATAGATAAAACAAAAGTATACAGTGGTACAGGAAAAATGATACTGCTAACAATTAATTAAATGTTAATACTGTTTAAACGCCAGGACAATCAACGTTCTTCGAGTACATGATACGTAGATTAATTCGTATGACCTTTAACAACTTGTAATTGAATGGTATAATTCTTTATCTACGTAAATAAAATCAAAATGGTTAGTTTACAACACATACAACTGGAAACCATTAGCATTCCTTTCATCCATTCATACCTTGACTTCAGTATCCTGAATTATTATATTATCATCAGATCGAGCAAAGCCATGTGTTACAGGCTGTTTGATGGCATTTTCAATATAATTTTTGTATTCAGTAATGACTTTTAAGAAGCTTTGGTTTTCTTCATTGGACTTTGGTGTTTCATAAAACACTGTTACGTCATTTGAAGGTTGTAATCCAGCCTGTTATGGTTATCATATTTCAGCATTATTGTCAATATACAGATATCGAGAAACAAGAATTTAGAAGAAAGCGATCACCTTTTTTCTAAGCTTTTGGATACGATTTACAACTTCTCTAGCAAAACCTTCGTTTAACATTGTTTCATCTGGTGTAACATTGATCAACACTAGGACCTAATGAGGATCATAATTCAGTCACAAAGGAAAATACGTATAACTTAATATTTGTAACCCTTACATCATTATCTGAATGGGCCTCATACGCTGTCTCATCTATCTTGTGCTCCTTGTCTACGGTATACGCGATCTAATAACGCAAGCATGTCGATTACGGTAATATCAGCTATAACAAGTGATATTTGTAAAATAATAACAAAATTGCATAGTACAGGATAATACCTTAATCTCATCAATGGTAACAGTATGTCCATTAACAACCAATTCGCCTTTCTCTTGTAACTCAGCAATGTCATGGTCTTTTAACTCTATATTATTCAAACAGAAAATTACTCGCCATGTCTCTATAATACTAATAAAATAGTAAAATATCAGCAACAGGTCAAGTTAAGCTAACCTTTTATAGCTGCTGACACTGTTTTAAAGGACCCTTTTAATCTTTTACCAAGAAGTTGATTATCAGGTTCAGCACGGAGTCGGATACCATATTTTTCTTTCTCCGAAGACAACACCAAGTCCCTCACATTCAGTTCCTGTCACATTTTATCATCAGTCTCGTTAGCGTAACAGTCATACTTAAAAATACACATCAATAAACTAGGTAAAGAAGTCAACCTCGAGAATATAATCTTGGAGGGACAGAACGTCGTTCAAGTACTGTTTTTCTTTATGTATAACAATTAACTCCGGCAAAGGGTACTACGAAAATAAAAGGTATGATTAACTTCCAATCTCAAATCAATCCTATTTCAGTAATTTTAAAAGCAAAATAAATAATCGCTGATATACTTTTATCGGTAGAGCCTTTCTATCGCGAATGACACGACCCAATTCAATTACAGCCTGCATCCTAGCAACGGATCTTTCAATTTCATGATCGATGAGACTTTCTTTGACTTGAGGTATCATTAAAAAGTGAACAGAATCGGTGTTGATATCCTTTATGGACTCAACGGCAAGCCATTGCCTCATATTTTGATGTATGTGTTCGGTAAAAAAGGGAGTAAAGGATGCCTGCAGGTTAATGACAATATTTCAGAATAACGCTATCAATTCGATTCATGCTTATACATTGGAATCTTACCATTAATCTGTTGATGGTATAAATAACTGAATACAAAGTCTGGAGAGCGGAATGACAGCTGCTTTGGTCGGCCTCACCCTGATAAAAATTTAATTTACAGGTTGCATACTATCATCAACGACAAATACCCAAGTATAATACAATTTGGCTTACCTTGATTCTCTTTCGGTTGAATCGGATGTACCAGTTTGTTAATTGATCAAAATATCTTACCAAACGCGGTATAACAGTATAAAGCCTATATGCTTTGATATAACATAACAACGATCATTTAGCCATCCGTATAATTAATAAGGTCATGCCGTTAACATGTTTTAAAAGTTACCTTCCATTTCTTTTCGAACAAATTGATTTAAGGATTGTGTGAAAGATAATATCCATTTATCTTTCGAATTTTCCGAACCACTGAATGTATTTTCATTGAATACAAACTTGCCACCGTTGGTCTTAACAAGTCAAACAATATGAAGTATGTATGTCAATTTATTGACAGCATTATTTACGTATGTATCAAATTTTGATATATCATTTTCAAATCCATATGCATTGAATCTATACGTGTTATTTTGACAAGTTGACATACTTGTTCCCACTGCTTAATGTTTTGACTTAAGAATCTAAATGCATTTAACCAAGGCAAGAAAACATCCTTGATAATATCTTTGACACCACGTTCTTGAAATTTAAGTGTTTCTCCTCTTACAACTGGAGAATTAATCAGGTACAGGCTACAATAAGATCATTAAAGGAAAATTGGTTAATTTACGACGAAAGAGAATACTATTTCAACACATGAAAGTATCAATAACCGTAATGCGTCAGCTCCATAATTAGACACAATTATTTCAGGATTGGGATAATTCTTTAGCCGTTTGCTCATTTTACGGCCATCCCTAAATCGATTATAACAAGACAGTTAGGATCTATATGAATCCAATAACAGCGAAATAAAATTACAAAATCAAATCGAATGTTTTTAATGTAATATATATACATACGCAGCGAGAACAAGCCCGTTGACAATCAAGTTTTTGTAAGGCGGCTTATCAAACATAGCAACCGATATGACGAGCAATGTATAAAACCTAAATTATAGCAGAAATTGTTAATCTGACCTCAAGTAAGAGAATCATATTTCAAACGTAATTTAATAACAAACCAGCCCCGAGTCTGATCAATTCCTTCAGCGATAAAATCAGCAGGAAAGCAAGATTCAAAGTCCTCTTTATTTTCGAAAGGATAGTGATTTTGAGCGTATGGCATACTGAATAGGTAATTTTAATAAACGATTAGTATACATATATATATAAAAATAAATATCATAAGAAACAGTGATTAATACCGGTAGTAAATGAAAGAATATCTTACCTTCCACTTTCAAACCAACAATCGAATACTTCAGTAATCCGTCGTAAGACACCTTTACCGGTTTTAGAAGGTATGGTGACCTTATCAACGCTAGATGATAAAGTGATCAATTAAGTAAAATTAATGCTAATACTATTAGTATAAATGATCAAAATAACTAACTTTTCTCTATGCAAGTCTGTAAGGCGGACACCAGAAAGCTTTTCTAATTCGTCGATAGACCCCACACAAACGACCTAATAAAAAAGTATGTAATAAATTGTAGCTGATGCTAAAGGAAATCCCCGGTAAAAGTAATGTCGAAAAAAGATCAATTGTGGAAGTGTCATGATATCGCCTACCTCTTGCATATCTTCACTGACCCATAATGGAATCGGCGTTCCCCAATAACGATTACGAGAAAAATTCCAGTCACACGCACCTTTAAGCCAATTATAGAATCTCTTTTCTTTCACAAATTCTGGTACCCTATAATGTAAATATGTGATCCGTTCTATAATTAGTATTATCCCTTTATTGTTTCAATACGTTTGAGACTAAATAGCGACCAACTGTTTGTAACCAAAACAGCAACAGTTTATACCCATACCAATAACATTTAGCATTGTTTTTCAATAAACCATCAATAATATCTTCGACTCTAATAAACCAACTTGGTACAGCTTTATAAATCAGCGGTGTATCAGACCTATTGGTAGTATTAGATATAAAATGCGTTACAGAATTGACAAATGTCAACGGAAGAAAATGATTGCTTGTCTTGACAAATAGTCCTAAAAAAGCGATGTCCACTGACCTCCAGCAGAAGGGATAACTATGCTTACAAACACTCTGGTGAACTAAGCGACCAAGCTCTTTTAGCTTTTTGATTATCAATTTATCAGCATCCTGTCAAGATACAAGTAAAAGCTACTTATGATGTGTGTTCTGTTATGCAAAAACTTCCATTCAGTTTATCTTTCTTAGGTTAATATCTAATACCTTAACATGTAATCCTTGAAAATCTGGTACTTCATCAGTAAATTTTCCGCTAGGATCAACGGGGCAAACAACTTTACCACCTTTCTTGATAACGCCAAAATTCATCGCTGCTCGATAATCGTCCTGTGAGGATAAGATTTAATGTAATTAAGTAACGTTGATAGATAAAAATTAGAAATTGTTTCGCAATTAAGATATGCATCATTATTCTAACCTCGCCAAAGAATGGAGCTTGATGAACAACTCCAGTTCCGCTATCGTCAGTAACATAATCATCGCAATATATGACAAAAGCGCCCTGTTCTTTCATCTGAATAATGACACAATAAATCAAATTATAATATACTTTGGCATTAACAATTTATGACGGTTTTAAACGTTCTACCAACCTATTGCTATGATAATAAAAAATTGTAATTACCGATTCGAAGTAAGGGAATAGCGGCTTATAGGTTTTACCTTGCAGGGCATCTCCAGTGAACCTTGATCAGAGAACAAAATAAAAAGTGACTAACAACACGCTGTGAACGACCACTATGCATAACATGGCATCTTCAAGTACAGTTTAAAATATTAAACAAAACACAATAGACATACCTATCTAATATAGTATATTCCTTATCGGTTTTGTATAATGTACCCAATCTTGCTTCCATCATAATGTATACATTTTCTGTAGCATTATCACGTATTTTCACGTAGTCCAATTTTGCGTTAACACACAACGCCAAATTGCTCGGCAACGTCCATGGCGTGGTTGTCCAAGCAATTATCCTGATATTAGGATCTTCATCAAGAGGGAACGAGACAATAACTATGGTGGAAGAATGCATTATGTGAGTTTCATTTGTATTCGAATGATATATGTAGCGTAAGAATAGCACATCTGTGGAGGAAATTCACTGCTCCTTGATAATTATAATGGTTTCAATATGATATCCGTTAGAACAAACCTGCAGGATCATTCACATCTTTGTAATTTTGTCCGGACTCAAAATTGGATAATGGAGTATTACAAGCCGTAGAAAATGGCATAACCTTGTAACCATGATATACAAGGCCTTTCGAATATATCTGTTTAAATACCCACCATATCGATTCCATATACCATGGATATAATGTCTTATAATCGTGGTCAAAATCAATCCAACGACCAAGTCGAGTAACAATAGTCTATATAGCGTTTTAAGGCATAAAACATGATGTCAACTAACTGATATACTCATATATATATCGATGTACACTATACGAGTTACTACTACAAACATTTAGTGAAGACAATCAACTCTCATTTATTCGTTATCACTGATATATATTTATTTATGAGATAGATGCAATAATTACCTGCCATTCGCTAGAATATCTCATGACAATTTTACGACACTCATCATTGTAAGCTTTAATGCCCATTTTTGCAACATCATCCGGCCCCTGAAAATGTTATCACTGTTAGTTTTGACTACGGTATACTGCTTTATGTAATTACTACTCATAGTCGATAATTTTCGCTAGTATCTCTCATTTCATTTCTAACCTTGATTCCAAGCTGTTTATCTATTTCGTATTCCTAAGTATCAATGGATCAATATAGAAAAATTGGTTATTGAATGCAAATTCTATACCCATCAGTTAGGATTAATTGATTCAACATTGTGAGTTATTCTTCAGGATAGTTGATTTCAATGACTTACAATTGGCAAACCATGACAATCCCAACCAAATCTTCGTATGACATGGAAGCCACTTTGATGAGCGTATCTCGTAACAATATCCTAATTGATTTAGATATCATTCTAAATTGCAGTTGATTGTTACTGCTATTGAATATAGACTAATTTATTTCTCTATCTCTAATCTATTTGACCATTTTATATTGTAATGCTGTCTACTATTACACGATACTACTATAAGATCAAAGCGAATGTAAAGCATTCTATTAGTACACATTTATGATAACGTTATCATACTCGTATCAAATCAACGTGTAGGCCATGATAGTGATATCGAAAGTATTGACTGCATCTTCTGTCATCTGACGTTGACAACAAAAGCTTTATTTAGCTGGAAAAATACTGCTGAATGTAAAACTAGGCAAAATCTATAGTACTGCATGCGTACTATCTGCTCACCTTAATGGTTCCGGCTAAGATATGACCATAATGAGGTAGGCCAGTAGCAAATGGTGGTCCATCATAAAACGTGTACCTAAATACAATTTTAGAAACGACTCAAGTTGTACTTCTACCATCGAACAAAGGAATCATTTGATGAAAACATGTAATCCACTATCTATGACTCATCGAATACAGTCATACAATCAATATCCTAATCCAATTGCTATTTCACCTTGGTTTATCCTTGGATTGTCTTAAACAAGACTGAAAAGCATCAATTTGCTTCCAGAAACTTAAAACTTTTTTCTCCTCTGATGGAAAACTAAATTGCTCCGAGTCGGCCATGGTTTCTACGTCTGGATTTCACCCTGCACCCACTGCAGTCAATTGTCTTGCAATGAGAAAAATAAGTGAATCAATTAGTCGAAGAATAGCTCCAATCCACTTGACAATTCTTCAAGGCTAAACAGAATTTCATCACTCTTTCCTCATACCGAAATAGCCAAGAGCCTTCTTGAATGAGATGGACTTTCAGCTGGTGCCTTCCACGCCGGTCCGTTAAAGCACGCAAGGTATGGCAGAAGCAGCCATGGTCAACTGGTCACGTTATGTACGATCCATCCGACTGTAGGTGATCGAACCATGGCGACTTAATCATACTGTAGCCTATTCCTTTTATGCATCAAAAGCTTTTCTATCAACTTCAAGTCTATTCCTTTTGGCGTTTCTGAAGGCTTACGAAATATTACAGGATGCAATAGCCTACAGTGTACAGTATTTTCATCGACCCAGCCGACTGTACACTGTACACTGTACATACTGTTTCATAACATTTTGTCACTTTCGGGCAATATTTTTCTTTAAAAATACAGTAAAGCTATAATTGAATGATATATTAGGTTGATGGAGAGATTCTGAAAAATCTGAATCTGGTAAAGTTAGAAAGTTAAACTTGCTCTTAAGTCCATAAATGATGAAAGTATCACTGACCGTTATATCCCCATTTATGAATGATCTACAGTACAGTACAGTGCTGTAAAATCCGTACTGACACTCAGTTTGATAGTACTGAACATTGAACGCTGTTACTACTACTGTACAGTGTATAGTGTACACTGTATCTATAAGGTAGTTAGCCAATATACTGTACACTGTACAGTACAGTACAGTATGACAACTACTACAGTAAGTACTGTAAAAGGCGGTAGCGTGCACTGTGGAATACAGTACATAGTACTGTACGCGGGTACTGACCACTCCCTCGGACAGAAGGACTCTTCTTACGACTCAACATTAAGTGCTGTTACTACTACAGTAAGTACAGTACTGTACTGTAAAAGGCGGTAGCGTGCACTATGGAATACAGTACATAGTACTGTACGCGGGGACTGACCACTCCCTCGGACAGACGGACTCTTCTTACTACTCAACATACTGCTGTTACTACTACAGTAAGTACTGTAGTAGGTGGTACTGTGCACTGTGGAATACAGTACATAGTACTGTATGTAGACTGACCACTCCATCGGACAGACGGACTCTTCTTACCACTCAACATTGAGTGTTGTTATTACTACAGTAAGTACTGTAAAAGGTGGTACTGTGCACTGTGGAGTACAGTATGTACATACTGTAGTACTGTACTCGGGGACTGACCACCCCCTCGGACAGACAGACTCTTCTTAACTCAACAGACTGTTGTGACTACTATAGTAAGTACTGTAGTAGGTGGTACTGTGCATTGTAGAATACAGTACATAGTACTGTACACGGGGACGGGCCACTCCCTCGGACAGACGGACTCTCCTTACCAAATGAGACTTGTCAATATCGAAAAATGATTACTTACAGTTGTAGATGGAGCTTCCGTGTCTGTTTTCTAAAAATCTCCAGTACTAATTTAAATAACATCGGCGATCTTATAGAGTTCTTTCCAAGCAGAATTGAGTAATAGATAATAAAATTCAATTTAATATTACTTCATTTACAAAAAAATCAATCCTTTTAAAATCGATCGTCTCTATACTAAAGTACTGTCAAAACGAGGTATTTGGCACAATATTTTGACGAGATGAGATCAAAAGCGTCTGCCCGTCCAAGAGTGATCAGTCCATGTCTTCTTCTAGTAGTCCATAGTCTACACTGCGGGGCCCAAACATGGCTAAAATATCCTTTAACGAAGTACACTAGTATCAATTGAACTATTTCAAGCCAAAATATAATCTACGTGCTCACATGACTCTGACAATAACCTAACATAAGTAATTAATGATTAGAAATCTCGCCACTAATTCAACTGGCCATAATGATTTTTTTCTTTCAATCAATAGCAGCAGAAATCGACTAGTCAATCCAACTATACCGATATATGTATATTGTAAAGTTATGATTATTTTGTGATGAAAATATTTCCAGTTTATAGCTGTATAAATAGCTGTCATGATTTATTTTTCGCTCAAAGTAAATCGACTAAAACCGGAAAAGTGTAGAAGAGAAAATGATTGTTATGGTTATTTTCCAATGAAAAGTAGATCGATTAAAAAAAAACAGGATAAGAAGTTGCTTGTTATACGTAACTAATTACTCTGTAAAACCCATGCACATGATACTTTGCATACTGTACATATTTTATCAGAGTAGAATGTTTCAGTTTGCTGGAAGACTTTAGTAATCCACATCATTTTACCGATCTAAGCTTAAACTCTACTCTGTACAAATTATTCTCTTGTAGCGAAATATCGCATACCCGATACAGCATCCGCACTTTAGATTAGGCCTATTACAGCACTCATTAATAACAACGATTACAGTATTTCGCAGCGCTAATCAATTTTATTTTATGAAATCGATACATATGTAGTAGCTACACATATTCTTATCGTACGTATACTATATATGCGCGTATGTACAAGTATAATAGATACTCGTAGCTTCAATATTAGCAGTTATTAGCACAAGATAATATGCAATCGTATTTCATCTAGTAAAGATGGATAATGAAGTTTTAAAATTATCGCATTTTTGAAACCCTATTAGCCCATAGCCGCCATAAAAACTACTATAATCACTGCTACCTGAAGTAATTACTGGGTAACGAATATACAGTAATCGTGAAGGAATGGATAGTACAAGTGCCGTTTAAAACTTAACAAGTAGAAGAATTCTGTAATATTTACAAACAAAATACCGTTATGGCACAAATAACTCAGTATGAAAGTGAATATGGGTATTAGTATCGTAGATCAAGTAAAAATTAATAATTTCATTAATAAGGAAGGCAATCACCTAAAGCGTACGCTTGCTCATTTAAAGCTAACAATAAGGAATAGCTGCGAAAGAATATTCATAAAGCTACAAGACAAAACACATGCAATAAATTTACGAAGAATTAAGATGCATCAATGTTGACTTTTTATCATATTGCTGATAGCACTCTGCCTGAGATTCAATAGTCCAAACCATAGTTTTATTTTTGAGATCCACTACTTGCATTTCGTGACCCGAAGATATTATCTTGAAAGCTATATTGAACTATAGCTGCTATAGCATTTTTCTTAACGTTGAATTCCATATCATAATAGATAACGTAAATCTTGGGAGCAAAGATACAAAGAGTTGTACTTAGGGAAATAAGTGTGACTCCAATCACCTGGATAGCCGTCTCATAAGGCCCATGCTCGACAAAACTTGCTGATAAAACGGTAATAAATAGCATACACATTATTAACGAAGCGAAAAAGATGTATCTTGCTTCGTTAAAATTACTTGGGATTTTACGGATCTTGAAAGCATAATAGATGCATAATAAGTCCATTACAATCTGTATCGCAGAAAACACCATCACACCAAGACTATTCTTACTATAACAGTAAGGATAGGCCACATTGGTTGGTGAAATATATCTTTCAACGTATAATGGATCAATATAATTAAGAAATATTAGCAGAATAACAGCTATAATCATTACACCTATAATAAGTACAACATAACCTTTATTTGAATTCAAGAGACGATTTCGATCGGCTGGCCAAGGCTTAGTAATAAATAATCGAGATAAAAGATGAGCTCTTGCTGTTATGATTGCCAATGTAAGCAATAATGCTAATGAAAATGAATAGGACATTACTGTGCATGTAACTTTAGACTGTGGCATTAAGTTGACAGCCGGTGCAATGTAGATACACATTAGGCTAAAGAGGAGCAAGTTGGTGAGTGGAAAATTGGATGCCTTCACAACTGGTGTATGTCGATAGTAGCACATCATGATCCATATTATTGCCGTAAGCAAAACGGCAGCAACAAGGAATGAAAATAAGAAAATAACTAATGGATCGCGTAGACTTAAGTTAGTAATGTTTACTTTAATACATTCAGATCTGTTGGCGTTTGATTTAAAACCCAATAAACATGCATGGCATAATGGAGAATTAGTTTGATTAGAATAATAGTTATCAGGACAAGGTTTGCAATTCCAACAACAACCGCCAGTTTCGATGTCATCGCGGTAGGTTCCTGGTTGGCAATCTTCACTACATCTCGATTTCGGATGACTATCGATTTCATCTTTATCATTCAATGGAAAATTCCAAACGAACTTATCTTTATCGGCTTTAATTTGAAGGTCATTACCCACCCGACCCACTGCTCGGAGATAGAATCTGCCTGTAGTTGGGTGTTTCTGTATATTCGCGATGGAATAGTCGGTATAACGATCGCCATTGATATCAAATCGGAAGCGGCTAGCTGTTAATCCCGGGAAAGTAATTTTACGGAGGATCTTGATAAATTTCATTCTAGGAAAATGTCGAAAATCAATATATGGACAATATTGAGTAGAACAATTTAATAGTTTATGTAATGAGTATGCAATTGCATAAACTCCATCGATAATATTGCCAGCGGCTGATTCATCAAGCAAGGAAGAGTTAACTCTCACTTTGGGTACTCGAGGAAGTTTACAGTGGCGAGAAAGAGGATTTCCCCAGTTTCTCCATCGCTGATATTCTTGTAACCAGACATTATTATCTTGCTGGCATAAATTAATGTTAGCTAGGTATCTTTCGAAATCATCTATATAATTCGGCGAAAATGTAAGACCTATAACACCCTGCTGATCGAAATAAATATGGTTCACTATTCGCAAAAGCTTATCACCTATCCAAGCGTCGCAGCCGACGAGTGTTTTACCAGTAACATTTTGGTTGTAAAGTTCCTCGATGAATAACTTTGCTTCAGTTAGAGTCACCATTAATAAGATGACATTAACTTTATCATTTTTAGCAATATCTTGAACGATATTCCGAATCTGGTTCTTGCCATCTAAAGTAGAGATGATGCGATGTATGGGTATACAGATGCCAACTGTTGAAGCCATAGCCGAAAATGAACTTGCTAATGCGTCACCATAGCTATCGGTAACCGCCACTAGCGCAACATAATTCCAGCCAAAATATTTGACGAGTTTAACAAGTGCTTTAGCTTGATTAATATCCGATGGTATTGTACGAAAGAATGTCTTAAAACGCACTGTATCACTTAAAATATGACTTGATGAAAAATAACTAACCATGGGAATATGATAATCACCTATTAGCGTTGCTACGGCAATGGAATCCTTACTTGTTTCAGTCCCCATAATTGCTATTAGATTATTGTGGGTACTAGTTTTATTCTTAGAATTTCCAGAACCAGCATGATCCTGTGAATACTTTTCATCGCAATTAGTTGCAGAAAAACTCTTTACAAAATCAAACGACTGAGTTAAAGCAACCCTGGTACACGAACAATAATCTCGCATATCGTAGCCTAAGCTCACATTAGGCAGTAAATGCTTATTCTTGTTGACCATTTCAATACTATAAATGATAGCCAATACTCTTTTCATTTTAACATCATAGTTTGGAATGTATTTATCGGCATGGCTGTTATAAACTCTTTCAATGTTCATTAGACTGCCAATCATAAGATCACCTGGTGCGTATGGATGCAGTAGCTTCTTCGTTTGTCTTTCATGTAGTTTTTGACTCTGAGTTAAAATATTCTTGGATATAATGATTATCGTAATTAGCAGATAGAATGGAAGCACTTTTTTTCGTGTCATATTTCTAAATTTTTTACCAATAAACCAGTAGAATAATTATAATGTAATAGTTGAAAATTTAGAGAATAGGAGGGATTTTGCGCAACACCAAAGATGATCAATACACTTAATCTGAGAAGTAGATATGTATAATTTTCTAATGTTAAATACTGATGGACCTCTCTCTTTTTGTTTTGGTATTTTTAAGGGAACTTATGAGGCACTTCTACAGTCGTTGTGAATATCCAGTAGATTGAAGCTCTTAGAAATGAAAAAATGAGAATGAAAAAAAATTAATGGGATTGAAAATAAATAATTCATGCTGCTCATACGACAGGGATGATAAAGCAAAAAATGTTATTCCAACATCCCTTTGTGCTTAGAATATCTCGAATGATTTGATATAGATTTTTAATTGTTTACTAGTAAATTGAAGTGGAGCCAAGAGATACTTAAAAGAATGTCTAATTAGCTAAATTGATTGTTTTATTTCAAGTTTATTTTTGTCTAAGGCGACATAGTAACTATACTGATGTACCATTCATTGATGCAATGACAAATACTTTCTCTTTTTCGACAGGAGTTAGCAAATTGTTTTATTTCTCTACATTTTTATCCAATGTTGCATAATATGTCTTGCATAATAATGCAATGATGGGCAAATTTCCCTTATGACAAGCTAGCCAATCAGTTGTAAATATTGTTTTAGAAATATTGATTCAGTTTTAGGTGTCTTGGATATAATTAATTAATATTCACGTCATTGTTTGAATTAGTTATTCAAATTATAATCTAATTTGAATCCATTCCAGTAACGTCGATTATTCAAATATAAACTAACCTACTAATTAAATTTTTATTGGATTAACTATAGCCAATGATAAAAATAGTTCAATTCTGAACGAAGCAATGCAATACCGCTTTTGAATGAACCCTTCCATTAGTATACCAACTTATTGCATCATATTCTTGATTCCGATCCATGTAATTAAATTGATTTTTTTATAATAAAAATTAAAGAATTCTTTTTTGTATAAGAATTCGGATGATCAAAATACAGTTTATCAATAAAAAGTGTCGAATTCGATTTAATTTTACGTTTAACAAATTAATAATATGAAATAAGCCATTCGCGCCGATACTTATATGGTACAGGACATCTTTACTTCTTATAATGTATCGGTCACTTATATCCATGGCTGTTATGCCATAAACGAAGGGAGAAGAAATCAGTAGCTTAAAAATTTATATCATGTCACAGAAAGAATTTGATCCATTCATAGCAATCTTTTTGTTTGTATGTTATCTTAATTTTGACCTTGTTGTGCATTATTGCGATCTAATATCACTTCAGAATAATACTGTATATGGCAAAGATAATAATCTGCAACATTGTTTAATTTAAATATCTCAACATCGAAATGGAGGCAATTATATTTTATCGTAAACCTTTTAATTCAGTTCACATGTGCAGGAAATCTATAATTATTTAACGAACAGAATAATAAGATTAAAACAATGATTGAATAAATCAAGGCAAGACATTCATTATGATTTAAAATTGCACCTATTTTGCATTACAGGCGTCTATTACTCTGGCAATAGAAATTAAATTTGATCTCATAAATAATGAAAGATAGGCAATGAACTTATTTATTAGAATATGCTTTCAATTTAACATAAAAACATACCCTTTAGCATCCGTTATGTCTAATTACATTTTAAATCGAGTACTGAATTAATTAATTACTACTATGATTAATAAATATTACTGAATTTATTAAATATACTTTCAAAGTAAAACCCTCTCTTTTTGGCTAACCACTTCAAAATTAATATTAATCGGCAAAAAATGCGCTAAATACAGATTACATTAACCATTGCTAACGCAAAGATTAGAATTGATTGTAGAGGCTTGCGGTACTTTATGAAATGTTGCAAATCTATCTCTGAGTTTTGAAGTGCCAATGGATAGATCTTTGTAGCCTTTTTATTGACTCCGCTATATCGATATATGCTAGTAATTACAAGCAACTATAGTGAAACTTACTGTACTCTATAATTTTGTATATCTCTCCATCAACATTAAAGAGTCGCAGCAATTGTATTGATCAGCCCTGCAAGATAATAGATCACACTGGTCTAACTTATGGCATTTTCTATACCAGATGGCAGCTAGTAATTCTAATCACTTATGATATAGCTTGCTGTACTCTATAATTGTACATGTCTCTCTATGAGCACAAAAATAATTCACAGCAATTGTAATAGTTAGGCCTGCAAGACGATCGACTATACTGGTTTAGCTCATAATATTTCCTGTATCAGACGGCAACTAGCTTACTAAACTGATATCTAAAACAGAGATTAGTATCGCACTGCCATGAAATTAGCATTGCAACTTTTCTCGCCCAATGCATTACTTTATCCTACATTTAGTAGATTTACTTTCAGCATAGTCGTTAACTTTAAGCAATTATACTAATTTGCTACGGTTAAAGAACCGTTTTTGCATCCATTCTTGAAATCATAATACCACTTCACATGATAAATTATTTCATGAAGACATCAAAATGGCCTATTCAATTGACATTTAGTATTTAGCAGTTGGTTACAATCTTCTTTTTTGTAAGATTTTCTTGTAACAAGATTAAAAGGGTTCACTAGAAATTCCCGTTCAAATGAATGGGTACATATTCTACACAACGCAATGCATTAAAAGAAAATTCACATCTAGATTATCTTACTATATATGCGTCCTAAGTAGGTAACAATAGTAATAAAGTTCTAGAATGGCATACCATGAAGAGTAACTGACATACTGTATTATCACATTTATCAACGAGATAACTAAGTTTATAACGAATAGCATAAGATAAGAACATATTGTGCTAACAGTGTTATCTAAGCCCTAATCTAAAGACTACGACTCCAAAATGAAAGCATGTGTCCCACATTTTAGTCATCAAATAAGCATACCGATTTTACGAATTATAACTCCAAGGTTAACACAGTAAAGTAATTATGCAAATTTCTTCCTCATCTCACGGTTGAACTAAGTCGATAAACATAAACAATATCTTATTCTATCAATAAATAAAATTCCAAGAATCATGAACTGCATTTTGATAGCATTGTTCATTCAAGATTATCATAGTATGGTATCGTATCGTATTCCATTCGGGTACTGTATGAAGAAAATTGTTAGGGTAAGAATACTAACTACTCTACTGGTGTTTTTTTCCTCAGCAGTCCTTGGTCGGAATCAGGACTTCTAAATGGAATACCAGTAGAGTTGTACTAGACTGCTTCTATTCCAAAAAAATACACTTGACTGTACTCACCATAACTCTTACAATTACAATTATTAAGTAAAGGATCTAGCATTTATAAAATAAATAATAATAAAATTGAAGCTGTAGATATGGCAATCGATTTTGTCAGTGGGGTTACCATGGAATTAATAGGTAGCAAAAATTTCGTTGTACGTATACTGCAGTCCAAGAGATCTTAGTTACGAACTATGTATTTGTACCGTATAGACTGAGACTTGTGATCATACGGACAGCATACTGACGGATTTACTCTAATTAGTGCCGATATTTCTTTCCGGCTCTGATTAATATCATTTACATTCAAAGTACCGTTAAAACTGACCGAGACTTGTGATCATACGGACAGTACACTGACGGATCTACTCTAATTGGTGCCGATATTTTTTTCCGGCTCTGAATAATATCATTTACATTCACTGTACCGTTATAGACCGAGACTTGTGATCATACGGACTGCATACTATAGGATTTACTCTAATTGGTGTCGATATTTTTTTTTCCGGCTGTGAATAATATCATTTACTTGCAAGTCTTTCACAGATAACAAATTCTCGACTAAACTAATGTTATTAATTATTAGAAAGGAAGATTCAACGGCAGAAAGAATTACGCTAGAAAGGCAGTGATATTGAGTAAGATTAGAACAGTATGAAGTGGAAACTATCCGTTCCTTACCTGCAACGATGGAATACTTTGTATCGACAAGTATCCATTCGATCCGCTACATCGACAGCGATTGGTAGCGACACGCAAGTTGAATGTAATACTAAACCTTTTCATCAAATTCCTGGACCGAAAGGTCTGCCAATAATAGGGGATCTGATGACATTTCTACGAAATGATAGCTACTATCTTAAAAGACCGCATCTTTTACTTCTGGAAAATACTAAAAAGTATGGTCCAATTTATAAACAAAAGATATTTACCTGGCAAACTGTGGTCGTAACCGATCCAAACGAGATTTCTAAAATCTATAGTGCTGAAGGAACATATCCGACTAGAGGTCTGGTGAAACCTTTCATCCATCACAGAATGCAAAGTAAAAGAGCTAAAGGCATCGCTGTAGGGTAATGCACTATCATCATACTTCTGGGAATACTTAATATGAATTGTTAAATCCAATTTTACTCCACTTGCGGTCAAATCAATTGAAGCGATCCTTGAAGCCCGCTACTTCCTTATTACCTGCGATACTGCTCCTGTATTATTACTTCCTTGACAGAAATAGGAAATCCCTTCGAATGGAACACATATTGACTTGCTATCGTCTAAAATATTGAATACATGGAGTCATTATCATGCAAGCGTCCATATGTATTACTAAGATTGATCTATATTTTGCATCGAAATGACTACCAAAATGGCCTAAGCATCATTACCACAAACCAATCATTAAAATAAGGTTGTTGCAAAAGAGTTCGTATGCGGGCCACGTCAAGGATAGTAGCACAATAATATCCTACTATATTAATACTATCTATATCATTTTACTTGCCGTTGCATGCTTACGGCAGTTGTCATCCAGCATGTACTTATATTGTCCTCGATCACATATAGAACTTGCCATTCAACTGAAGTTATCATATAACCTGTATCATCAAAATGGCCTAAACACCGTTAATAATAGCGTAGAATGTACTCGTACATATTCGTTTGTGGCAGCATCAAAGATAATAGCACGATAATATCTTATTAAGCTAATAAGACCGTCTATCTGCTAATACATATCATTTTAATTGCCTTTTCATGCTTGCAACAGTTGAAATTTACTTAAATTATCTTAGATTCTATATCGTCTTTGTTCGTAATCAATCTCAACCGTAGAACTATTAATTGTAATTATATGAGTTACTATTATTGTTCTTTACTAGGATTATCAGCTAGTAGATTACGATTATCATACAAGAGAATTAAAGAGATCGTATCTATATCATGGATATGAATTAGATTATAACTCTCTAGATAGGATTCAGTATAGCTGCAATATTCACCTTATTTCTAAAATATCATATCTAATTCGTTCTTGTATTTACATCTATAATTTAACTCTTTCTTTTTACAGAGACGGCAAAGAGTGGAGAAAAGCTCGCAGTATTATCGACAAGAAATTATTAAAAGTAAAAGATGTTAGTGCTTATGCAGAAAGAATGAACGATATTATCACCGACTTTATTCGCTACATTCAGTCCAACAAAGACTGCCTTGAAAGCGGCGAAGTAGAGTTTCGCCAGTACCTTTACAAATGGTCATTCGAGAGTAAGTATAGGAATAAATCAATTGACGACTTATACTCAGAAACGACTAATAAGTACAGCAAGCAATTATCAAAATATCTATTGCAAGTTAAAGCTATTGATATTAGAAGATATGGAATCAATGTTCTAATGCTGTAATTAGATCAACTATAAAACTTTGTGTATTTTTAAGGCTTCATACGGATAGAAAAAATAATTTTCTATATGCTGCATATTAAATTCATGTTGTTGATTACATTCCTTAGCTATAAATTCAGTTATCTACAATAAACGACTTGGCACGCTTAATGATCCGCCGCTTCCCTTTGCTCAGAAATTTTTTAACAGCGTAATTAATATGCTGGAAGGAACATATTCCCTTTTGTATGCTCCAGCATACTATAAATACTTCAAGACTCGATTCTGGAAGAAATATTGCCATGATTGGGATACCTTATTTGAAATTGGAGATCAACTGGTGAAAGAAGAGACGCAAAAATTGCAAAAGGAAATTCAATCACTTGGCAAGGACAAAGATCGGTGGCGTAGCGAAGAATTAGAATTTTTGCCCTATGTGCTATTAAAAGAGGAATTAAGCGAAGAGGAAGTTTCAGCTAACGTGGTGGAAATAATGGGCGGTGGTGTAGATACGGTTAGCTAGGATAACAGTGTTATTATTCGTTTACGATTACTAATTTATTACCGTAATGGCTTGTGATTGTAACAACATAAAAGTACTTCATCAATCTTCGTAACTTTTCAAATTCGACTGACTAATTCATTTGCTGATATGTTGTTCAATCATCATAAATATCTCATTTATATTTGATAATGTTGGTAATATTTTTTTTAAAGCGACACCGCAACTTTGATCAATTACATAATTTTCTCAATTGTTTTTATTTTAGTCTGCCAATACAGTGCTTTGGGCTTTATACATCTTAGGAAAACATCCAGACATACAAGAAAAGCTTTATAACGAAGTCTCAGGTGTACTTCAAAATTCAAAGTACCCGGATGCTGAGTCAGTTCAAAATATGCCCTACCTTAGAGGCCTGGTAAAAGAAGGTCAACGGTATTATAATTTCTAGCTTGCAACTTTGAACAGCATTACAAATTTAATATGAACACATCGAATAGAATATAGCCATATTTAAGCTCACACTTAATCATGATTTGCAATAGAATTTATCCGGTTATATACGCCCCAATTCGCGAAATTGCAAAAGATGCAGTACTATGTGGATATCATGTTCCAGCTAAGGTTTGTCCAATCGCAATTTATAATTTTAAATAACAAACTTATTGTACTATTCTCTTCGCAATTAATTTTATCGTAAAGAATAGTCATATTTTGAAATATTTCAATTTAAATAAATTAGACCAATGTGAATGGCATTGTTATTTAGGAGACAACTATTTAGATGATATTTTCTATCGAAAGTAATATTATTAAGGGCATATTACTACAGATCAGTAAATAATGATGACCTGGTATGTTGCTGTTTAGATTTTACGAAATTTCCTAGTTTGTAGTAATCGTAACGGTATAAAAGTTTGTATTTACTTAAACGCTACTACACCTACTTACGATATTCCTTTTACTTCTTATTTAATTAATATCATCAGACAATCGTAGTCAATGGTATCTATGCCATGTCTTTTAATCCTCAAATATACGACGAACCGCATAAAATTAAACCCGAAAGATGGGCCCGATCTTATACTGGCTTGAAGGTCAATCGTTTTGCCCATTTGCCCTTTGGTTATGGTCCACGAATGTGTATAGGGCGTCGTATAGCAGAGCTTGAAATACATTTGTTAATCGCAAGGGTTTGTAAATTACAGTATTCAATATTAACTTCAATTTTATATTTCCGCTAGTATAATTGTGTCCCTCGAACTACTACGATAAAAATTGCATCAATATTTTACTTTTTTTTAGCTGATATCGGAGTTTAAAATAGAATGTAAGAATAAGGAAGAAGTAGGATTAATCAGCCGTTTGGTTCTAGCACCTGATGCTAATATTCAAATTTCATTCAAGAAAAGAACTTAACTTAGTCGTGTAGCCTGCATATTGCTAATAGAAACCCCTTAACAATTACTTCTTTAAGTAAAAATATGTAGTTAACAAACTTATATTTATGCTTCGTACTGTACAAGGCCAAAAATACACAAAATATTTTTAGAGTAATATTACTATGTTTAAATAAGGTATTTGGTGTGATTCAATATATTACAGTAATGTGACGATTTGCAATTAAAATAATAGGAAAGGTCTTAAATATTTAATAGAAATGATTTTCTCTTAATCTTACACAACATAAATGGAATAAACTTTCATCCTTTCCGGTTTTATGATTTTGTTCTATTTCATTTGCAGGTAATACCACTGCATAATAAGTAGAGCAGTGTTGTGTCACTGCAGTTTATCTTTGCAATATAGCTAAGGATTGGGTTATAGATTGTCAAACATGTTTAGTATAGAGTACGGTAGGGTAGCTTTCTATATTTAGTAGCTCATAGCCATAGACTGTAATTTAAGATTCCATGTTAGAGTAAAGATGGCCGAATACATTAAGACATTAAATCACTATTGATGCTAAAGGTAAATATGGATATAGTTAGTTCATCGTACTTTGGCTGGTAGAAATAATGTCTGCATAAATGCAGTGGTTGTTACCATATTGTATTATAGATGGTTCACCGTAAAATGTTGCTAATAATAATCTAAAAATTTGTAAAATAAGGTAAAATATCGCTTTGCAGATTGTAGCTACAAATGCTACCAAGTGTATTTAAGCTGGCAGCTTTTAGATTATTTAGCAGTTCTGTGAAGAAGTCTATCTAGTAGATAGTATAGCTGTGTGCAGATTATCTTTGTATAAAGATCTAATAAAGTCCTAATTTTCTACAAAATTTGGAATTTTGTAATCAGTTACATCACAATCTTGAAAGGGCTTAATTTACAATCAAATCTAGTAAATCAGCTTCTACATTATGTGCATAAGATGTGTAATAAAAGTCCGATTATATTACTGCATTAGACAGCAGAGATTAATAGTAATATATTGTTAATAAATGTTACTTCTTTACATTGTGCCTAATCTTAAATTAGAAAGGAGTAATATAATATAAATGCACTTAAGTTACATTAATTGCCATAGACTGCACGTATTACCCAAATTATTTTTGTTTCATAATCCTCGTTAAGTTTTTGGTAGTCGTAAACTAGCAGAGGGCAATAAAAATGGTTATAAATCATTTTAACGTTATTTTCGATTTACGCACAGAACCTTAAAAGATACAATTCAATTGAATGATACGGACTACAATTTAGAAATCATAAATCGTATATGCACAAATGAATTGCCCGAAATAGACAGTTTCGCGATATAGAATAAAAAGTTGCAAATTTAAGTAACTTTTATATGTACGATTTTTAATTTCAAAGAATGCCTAGAATTTCGTTAGTTGGAACGTTTTCTAATGATTGTTATCATTAACAACGGTATCGATTATGCTGGACCTTACATAATCAAATTATGATTAGCCATCAGTTTCACATGCTATATTGATGGTATCTTGATTTACTAAAATCAATATTAATAGGAGTGAATGCAAAGAAAGTTCGGTAAGCAAGAGTGGCTCATACTAATCTTATTAAATAAATGTGAGTTCTGCAGTGATATTAAGCTATAGTAACGATATTTCTAGATAGAAAATCATAGAAATACATCTCAAGCTCAATGCTGTATTCATAACCACTTTTCATTGGTAGTAATAGTTAGAAAATCGCGTAATGATTTCATAGTTGAAACTAAACATTCAGAGCAACTTTCTTAAATGAAGATAAAAGCGTTAAAATATAAGTTAAAGGACTACCGTAGTAAATTCACGATGACATTCGTGACATGAAGGGTTAAAGGCTGCAGTAATAAATTCATAGCGGTATTCGTGACGTAAAACTGTTGATTAAAGTAATTAAAGTAACAATTATGAAAGTATTAAAGAATATATTTTTGCTACCTCTTCTAGATTTTTTAAATAAATGACATCATAGACTTTCTACAAGAGAACATCGGAAATCACATGAGCGACAAAATTGGAACTATAGCCTAAGGTTTTAAATTATCAATATAAAATCCATTTCTTTAATTATTGAGTGGACTGAAATGATTACGATATTTAAGACGGTGTGCTTGATTCATTAAATGTTCTAATTTAGCATCATATGTTCGCATATATTATTCTAGTATTCTAATCGTAAGGATGTAAAAACTATATTTGACAATATCGAAAGTGGCATTAACAATATATTATCGATTAAAATATTAAGGAGCAGATGATAGCATCGTAGCTTAATTACACTGAGATTGGATACTACGATAGACGACTATAGATAATGTAGATTTATTAATGTTGAAATATGCTATTATATCGCAAATCTGAATAACAAAATGCAAAAATATAGACAAAATAGTATGCCTTTATCGGAATTTATAATTTTATTAGCTGACTGCAACCTTAAGGATGACATACAGTGTCTTCAGATTGTTCTTCATTCAAGATGCCGTTGCAACTTAGCATCCATTTAATTGATATGCTATTATGATACTGATCATATAAAATTACGTTATTTAATAACATAATATATAATGCACTTATCATATAAAAGTTCTGAATTAAAAGCTTGAGTCTCTCTGTTTTGGCTTTCATGTTAAAAGCTTCAGTATTCAAAGAGTAACGATATCCAGAATTGATATCTTAAGTAGTGGATAAGAATTATTTACTATTTTTAGAATCGTATTTGAAGCTTATATGATTAGCATATTTTTTACTGCTTTTACGCAATACCCTTCGCTAAGAAATGACTATAAATTCTTCTTGTTGAGAATCTTATTTTTAAGATTTTATTTAGAAATGTTTTCATTAATGCTACAGCAAAATTCAATTAATGGCAAATTGCTCAGAAGTAGAGATTTTCTAAACTTAAAGGGGTAGGATAACTGCTATACCATACTTTCTACAGGTATTTTTGATTCATTACTTCTAGTCGAATTACAACGAACCACAGTTGATTGGTTTACTGATGAATGGCATACAACTGATTTCTTTCTTCCAATAAAGACGTAATCATTATTTTCAGGTAGTTTCTTTCGTTCGGTAGCTGAAAGACTAAAATGAGCTACTTCTGATACTACCTGCTGTTTCGTATTTAGCTCAGGATAACAAATTATGATGTAGATTTTGGGAACAAATAAACAAGCTAATAGAGCTGTGGAAATGGCAAAAATACTAAAGGCTGCAATTGCATTTTGAATTGGTCCCCGTGTAACCAAATAGGACGGAAAAATTACACATAACACTAAGCACATAGTAATAGATACGAAATATATATATCGAGCTTCATTAAAGTTTTGCGGTAATCTACGAGTTTTATATGCAAATATGATGCACATTGTATTTAGCGCCAATAATATAGAAATAGTCAAGCCAAAACCGCTCATAGTATTGGCTGTACAATATGCATAAACTAGTTCATTGTTGGAAACATATCGTGCTGGCATTAATGGGTCTGCAGTTAATACTACAACTTGTACTAAAGTAACTATAGTCATGATGATGACAATGATTGTAGACTGTGGCGCACTTCTACTGCATAATATTTTCCGCATAATTTTATCTAACCGACTTTGAGGAAAGAAAATCTTAATTAACAGATACGTTTTAGCTAATATTACGGCCATTATATAGGCAAAAGATGTCATAAAGGTGATATAGGTTAAATTACAAGTTAATGATGATATCGGCAAGATAATTATGACGGGTACTGTATAGGTTAGTAGTATACCAGCTAACAAGCAATTGGTAAATAGATTATTAGATGCTCTGACGATAGCTGTCTGCTGATGCTTTATAAAAACTGACCATACAGCTAACACACATATAATACCAATGCTAATGATAACTATTAAGGTAATAATCAGCGGATGGGATATCGTTAGGTAGGTGATATTAACTAAAATACATTGCGATTGTGTCGGATCGGGTATCAATCCTACATCGCAAGTATAGCACATGTGAGCATTAGTTATGTTAGATATGGAATTTATCGGACATGGTAAACAATTCCAGCAGCAATTCATATCAGTGAAATATTGACGATATTCTCCTGGTTGGCAGTCTCGAGAACACTGTGATATTGGTATAAATGGCAATTTTTGTTGTCGTGACCATGATACTTCTGAATTATTGATGATCAGTTTACTAATATTTTCATGGCGTAAGTCATATTCCCATCGGCCGATGGGCTTAAATTGAAATTGATTCGATTTACTGTCGTATTGATGATTTAATATTGTATATTCTCCATGGCCAGGACCGTTTCCGTCGATATAAACATAATTTGAGGTTACAGACTTGAACGTTAAATTATAGAGGGCATTAACAATATCGCTCGATTTAAATTCATCTAAATTATGAAGAGGGCAGGCGGTATGATTACAATGTAAAGACTGATGTAATGCATGAGCAACGGCATAAACAGCATCAATCGCAAAATCTGAATACTCTAATGGATCTTGTGAATCCTGTTGTAGAAGTTGCAGATACAATTCCTGCATTAGTTTACAATCAAGCTCTTTTCCTAGAGTGATATTATTTTGTTGTTGTAATAAAAATTGAAACAGCCACGGGTTAAGATTTTCTTTTTCGCATATATTTAATCTTTGCAAGTAGCGACGAAAAGCTAATAATGGATTGAAAGGAAACGCGACAGATAGTGCTCCTTCAATCACATCAGGAAATTTGTTAGCTATATTGCGACCATATCCCCAAGCATCACAACCAATAAATATTTTACCTTTTAGATTTTGCCGTGATGCTTCTTCAAATATTGCTGATGCATCAGTTTCTGTACAAAACAAGAGAATGACTTTAATTTCGGTCAGTTTTACAAATTGTTTAATGATTTCACGCAGATGCTTTTTGGTCCATTTGAGTGGAAATGTACGATAAACTGGTATACATATGCTATTTTGAAGCGCTATGGATGTGAAAGTACTTGCCAACATTTCGCCGTAGCCATCATCAATAGCTAGTAGTCCAACATAACTCCATTGAAAATATTTTATGATGTCGACAAGAGCTCGTGCTTGGTAAATATCGGATGGAATTGTGCGAAAAAATGTTTTAAAACGTTCTTTATCATCTAATATACGACTACTTGAGCCGTAGCTCACTTGAGCTAAGTCAAAATTGCTAAGTATGGTAGCAGCAGCGAACGATCCTTTAGTACGCAAGGCGCCAACTATGCCGACTATTTTATTACGATGATATCCAGAAGCTCTACCATTTGTAGATGGCTGCTTTGAGAGCTCGCTAGGTTGAAAACAACTTTGATGGTCGCCTTCTATTGATTTGGTGATAAAATGTAGAGCTTGGATTGAAGCTAAATTTGCTGTATCGCATGTGTCGCGTAAATCGTAGCCAAGTTTAATGTTAGGTAATAGCTGTTTATCTTGATTAATTTGTTCGATAGCGTAAATGATAGCTTGGGTGCGTTTAATATCGGAGAAAGCCAGATTATAGCAAGTTTTACTAGTCCAATTATACCATATATGAGGTGCTACTAATCCACCAATGATTAAATCACCATTAAGGAAGGCAAAAGTCGGTGGATCGGATGATTGAGGTCTTACGCCATGTAAGTAATTTTGTGATGTTATTCTAGGAGTAATGTTTAGGAATATGGCAATAATACTATATAGACAATATCGCATCATGATAGTTCGTTCTATTTAACTTTTAAAGTATATTTTCCGAACTGTTAGTCGTAATTTTAAATATCTGATTCAAACCTAGCCTAATCTGAGAAAAGCAATGGCTAATAATTACTCATAGTAACACATGTCTTCTTACAAGTATATGGTACCTACCATAGAAAACTTGCAATCCAGAATACTGATATTTACTCTACTTGCCTTGTAAGGGATATTGAGAATGATAAATGTTGATACGAGATATGTATCGTACTATAAAGGAGAAGAAAATTGTATTAACAGTAAAGTATGGGAATCCATTCAAAAGCAGGAAAAATCATGTTGAGAGTAGCACAGGATCTTGTAAATTGTATCTTGTTCTGGAATTGAGTTCTAGCAGAGTTAAAAGAACAGAAAATGAATGGAAATCTAGCGGAATTATAGGTAGTTATACGTTGATAACAGATTTAGGTTATATTTGTTAGGTCATTGGCAATCAGATAAAATTGCGATTCTATAGGTTATAGACAATTTTAATTATATATAGATTAATTAAAATAATCTAATTAATACAATTCATCTAGCCAATCATCATGTAAACTGTGTTTTCGGGCTGATGTCGCACACAGTTCCTCATTTAAAGATAGCTATTGAAATCTATTATTGATATTTTCAAATTTGCTTAAAAATGGAGGATTAAAGTTTAATATCATTAAAAATGTGCAATTAACGATAAGTCGCCATGGCAATACTGGATCGTCTTAGCATTTAATTATAGTAGCTGTCTGTCAACAGGAACTTCACTTGATTGATTTTTGGCTCGGGCAAATGCAGTGTGATACAGAATTGAGATATTTTGCTTCAAAATATCTTATTAAACATGGTAATCAAGAAATCTTGTACACTCACTTTCTTGCAATTACAATCAGTAATAGTCAATATCGCAATCGTTGTATTGATTATTTATTATTAAAATAATTTTGTCAGTTTGTACTATTCAGTACGTACTAAAAATAAAAAGTGCAAGTATAGACTACGCGAGTATTACGAGTGCACGATCTGCTAGTAAAGATTTATGGGCAAAGCATACGATTCGATGTGATAATGCTCTAATTGGTGTACCTCGATAAGGCACTCTTCTTAGCCATGACTTCGTTCTATAGTGTGTATAATGTTAGTGTTGTCGATTTCAAAACGAGGTGTTTACTAAAGAGAAATAAATGTTTTTAGGGAGAAATCACGCCATTTATTTGAAGTAATTCTTCCTGTCGTTTCATTACTTTTATTTCTCAAGTAGTAGTGAGCAGTATAAAGGCCAAAAAGAATAGAAAAATAATGGAAGAGGACAAGGAGTGCTTGTATTAATCACACTTGGCTCAATTATAATTCCCTATAATTATTATTATCGTTGTTATACACATCGAATGCATAGACTAGTGCACTACCATTATTGTCATCCAGTTAACAATTTATTCCAGTACTGTATACAGTTCGTTTATAGCATACTGTAGAGCTAATACATTTGTGCAGTGTTGATGATATAGCGCACGGAGAGTTTTATTTATGCTTAATGATAATTTCATTTTAATATCTTGGCCCATGTATATGACCTATGCCAAATATACGCGTATACGATGCGTGTTTTTACGAGACGAGAATTAGTAGTGGAGAAGGATGAATGATCCTAATTTTATTATTATGGAAGTTTAAAGTTTATATAGTGCTTTATATTTTCGTTATTCATAAACTGTTCACGCAAGTCATGAGATCATACACGGTATAAAGTTACTGAACCTCTGACAGGTCTACGACAAATGGTAATACTATCTGTTAAATGAGCACATTATCGTAAACCGTCAGCAAAGCGACGGGAGTTTGCACTAGCACTTTCTATTTTCCTTACTTATAGACTGTTGACGCAAGTCATGAGCTTACTCATGAATTACTAAACTTTGCGATTCATCATTATTTTGTACTGAAGACTGAACAGTCGTTGTCTGCCTCTTCTCTTGCTATAGCCTTTCTCTAGTAGTTTAGGATATCAATATTGCTATGCATTTGTTGAGAGTAAGGGCAGAGTCCCTTCTCAAAAGGCAATTTGCCTTTTTGTCAACCATAAAGAATAGTCATCATTATTTTGTACTGAAGACTGAACAGTCGTTGTCTGTCTCTTCTCTTGCTATAGTCTTTCTCTAGTAGTTTAGGATATCAATATTGCTATGCATTTGTTGAAAGTAAGGGCAGAGTCCCTTCTCAAAAGGCAATTTGCCTTTTGGTCAACCATAAAGAAGTCAGCTTCATCATTATGTTGTACTGAAGACTGAACAGTCGTTGTCTGCCTCTTCTCTTGCCATAGCCTTTCTCTAGTAGTTTAGGATATCAATATTGCTATGCATTTGTTGAGAGTAAGGGCAGAGTCCCTTCTCAAAAGGCAATTTGCCTTTTTGTCAACCATAAAGAATAGTCATCATTATTTTGTACTGAAGACTGAACAGTCGTTGTCTGCCTCTTCTCTTGCTATAGCCTCTCTCTAGTAGTTTAGGATATCAATATTGCTGCTATCCATTTGTTGAAAGTAGAGAAGTCTGTGCGCCATGTCCTTCTCCAAATGCAATTTGCCTTTTGATCAACCAGACGGACAGACTGATGCCTGGAGAGCGCTGCACGTGTACGCATGATCAAAGAAAAGAAGGAAAAAGGAAGAAAGAAATCCGATTGGCAACGCTTGCTCCTAGCTAGAACAATCCAACCATAGATTTTGCTGGTCATTGGCATGTATCGGAAAGCTAGAACCGAGCACCATCGTACTTGTTGACTGACTGTTCAAGTGTCTAGCCTAAAGCAGTTCTCTCTCATTGCGTTCTTCTACAGGCATGGCGGAGCTTTCACTCGATCCAGCTATTCGACTTTGGGTTATTTTACCCATCGTTCTCATGACTTTTCTGGTGGGCATCATTAGGCATTATGTTTCTCTTTTACTGCAAAGTGATAGCAATGCTGATATCGACAAAGTTCAATTCAGGTTGGTCGCATTAGGAGCAATTTCTAGAATGTCTGTCAATGCAATCAATTCAGGAGGGGATGCAATGTCGTTCGACGATAGTCTTCACGTCTTAACCATACTCTTGGTCTGGTTTCTTGATGGATTGATCTTGTCTGTAGTCTTGTTCTACGTCAATTGCAGTGCGTTCATGAATATTAAGTCAACTTAGAAATGATCAGAATCTTTTACGATTGTTCGAATTGCTTAAAAGTACTCTATTAAGAGCATCAGTGATATCAATCTTTCGGTCATTTCGTCCATGTTGTCGTGCTTCTACGTCAATTGTAGTGCATTGATGAATATTAGTTCAACTTAGAAATGATCAGAATCTTTTACGCTTGTTAGAATGGCTTGGAAGTACTCTATTAAGAGCATCAGTGATATCAATCTTTCGGTCATTTCGTCCATGTTGTCTTGCTTCTACGTCAATTGTAGTGCGTTAATGGATGTTGAGTGAACTTAGAAATGATCAGAATCTTTTACAGTTGTTAGAATTGCTTAGAAGTACTCTATTAAGAGCATCAGTCATATCAATCTTTCGATCTTTTCGATGTTGTCTTGCCAGTAGTCAGATAATTGTCTTAATAATTATGTGACCGAAGCCAATCCACTTTAGCGTATGCTTATTCGAATAGGTACATGATACCCTAGAAATATTATCGACAAGCTGATTGGTTTTATTGTCTTGACTTCAATGTTGTAGTCAGTTGGTTGTGCGCATAGGATTGTTAAATTTGAAACAGTAAACTTGTAACTATATTTTGCAGTACTCTAAGTTTTGAGTGACTATGCATAGGACTGTCATAAGACAGATAGGATTTTCTTCGACATATCTAATCCAAAAGACGTCGTGACACAATAAATTGAGTGATATTCAAGTGTTGTTCAATATTTATTCATATAGTCAAGCCATGATGAGGAGTGCTATGCTACGAGAAAATGGCCGCTTCATTCCACGCAAGGTTAGTTAATTTTAACTTGCTACAGATTCATTTTTATCTGCTTAGGACATGACTGCGATAGCAACGACGGTACAATATTCATGCTACTGAATAAATTTATTGGCAGTATACGTAAAATCTTTCATTAGCATAAACACTGGGCATGGTGGAGATGTATAATGCGTCATGACGCTCGTTAGTACTGAGAATTTGGAGATCCATGTAGCTTTACAGTTCTATAATGAACGAGTTTAATCTACAGGAGTGATCTATGTTTTGCCTAAAATCGAGTTATTGAGGGAATAGTTATTTATTTGAACCGGCAGAATATGCTTGACTACAACTTCAGATCTGTTGTACGGGTAATCTCCACGCTATGTCATTACATAACATGTTGATAAGAATAGTTTATAAATGCTATTCATCATGATACTGCTTCATGATACTGCTTAGATACTGTAGATGGGTATATATATATATATACGCGTATATTGCTGTAATCTTTTGCCTAAGATAATAATATGTAGCAGATTAAGTAATAATTGTAATTCTGTGAAATAACATCATCTTTCGGTTTTTAGTCGTTCGAGATGCGCCGACATTTCTTCAACAATCCTGAAGATGGATACTTAAAGGAAAAGCAAGAATCTGCTCCTGCGCCCAATATGGCAGGTAAGCTTCAAATCTTAAAGCCTTTAAAATTTTTTTTGATGATCTTTTCGCATCATCTTCCGATCAGCCTTGACTATCCTTATACTAAAACTAACTTGCATTTTGCATGGCAAAATAATTTTTCTACAGTAATCGAAAACGTTATTTTATGACAACCACTGTCTTACACTTATTTCATGCCTGACCCTTTCCTAATTATAAATTGCACCCTTTAACTCAATATAGATCCCACTATGATGACCGAAATGATGAAAGGCAACTTTGTAAATGTCTTGCCGATGTTGGTTATTGGAGGTTGGATTAATTGGACATTTTCTGGTTTTGTAACAAGTAAGTTTTGCTACATTCTTTCACTAGACTAGTGCTTCTCATTTACTTACGATAATTGTACGCGCAAGTAATAGTTCTTCGTTAAAAATCCAAAAAGTAATCTAGTTATCGTTCTATTTGTCAGTCATTACTGTAGAATACGTTGTCGTTAGGATAGTTTATAGTTATTTTTATTGTTTAGTGCGAATGATTTACAGCTTTTATTGTACTTGCTTTATGTGGTGGAACTGTTGCATGTTCAACGACTTCAATATAAATACTGAAACTATTTTTTAGCCAAGATACCATTTCCATTAACTTACCGCTTTAAAGCAATGCTTCAACGAGGCGTAGAATTAACCAGCTTAGATGCATCATGGTTCGTTCAAATGTTTTAGTGTAAAATTGAAAGAAATTTTTGTGTTTTGATTGGTTTCATATGAACCTTAGCTAATGTCAGAATTTACGGTAATTATAGGGTTAGCTCAGCATCGTGGTATTTCCTAAATGTATTCGGTCTCAGGAGTGTTTACACCTTGATTTTAGGGCAGGATAATGGTAACATAACTGAATGAAATTTTATCCTTGTCGAGTTACATAAATCTTACGTGCGCGTAATACAATTAAGTGATCATATCATGCTATTACGATTGCAGTAACGTATGACGTCTTTCTTAAATTGTAGCTGCTGATCAAACCAGAGCAATAGCGGAACAAATGGCTGCACCGACAGCGGCAGCATCGGCAGGTGGAATGCCACCTGATCAGAAGAAGGCGTTTAAGGTGAGATAATGAATTTCCTTCAAAATTGCATAATCTTTATTCCTTACTGGAAACGACTATTAAGTTACCAATCCTGCACACAAAGGATATTTTATATTTCCTTTAGTGTCGCATTATCTAATTGTCTTGTAATTTTACAACTAATTAAGGCTGAATGGGAAGCTCTTGAAATTGTCAACCACAAATGGTCCTTACAAGATGTTGAAGAATCTCTCTTAGCAAATAGCACTGTTAGTAGTTCCAAGAAGGAGAGAAAAGATAAAGACGAATAGCTGCTTTCCTCATTTCCTCCTTCATGGAAATGTGATTAATTGATTAAACTGATTTATTTCTATTCGACACTTTGGGAGAATTGTCTTTAATATTATTTGAACGACAGGTTGTACAGCTATGCAAATATTGTTGCCATATTGTACTGTTTAGTGAGGGCATGCATTACCTGTATACTTAACGTGTTTAAAAAATTCTATGATCAGCTGTAATTCGTATTTTAGCGACACGGCACCTTGCTATGAAAACGATTAACTCGTCATGAGAATGAAATATCAGCATTAATTGATAATTGCGATTTGAAAACACTTGTGAAATTTTCAAATTTTATTTGCTAATCTCCTTTATTGTAAACGAAATTGATACGACTACAATGTTAGACACACGTGTAGCTGTCTTATCCTTGGAATTTGCCTACTCTGCTAGTACTTGGTGGTTTTTTCTGGAATCATTTTAATATCAGTGCCCTGTACATACAGTATATTACTGTACTCTGCTTCGCAATGATGATGACGCTGTGAAATTTCGCAGGAAGTAAGTGTTATCTAGAAAATTCACATTGCTTCATGCTGTTAAAAGTATATTTATTGGCTCGCGTTCTATTATGAACGATTAAAGACTTAATTTGATCATGAGAGATTTCTTTTGTTATTACTACTACGAATGGCATATCTAAGTTCAAGACTGAATTTCCTTTTAGCTACTTTTTAAAATTCTTTGTTGTAAGAGCCAAATGGAACTTGCTATGTTTGCTCAACTCTGTATAGGTAGTAGAATTTCCCTGTCGGTATATAATCATAATTAGCCGTTTATGGGCTAATTATGGGGCTATAATATTAATGGACTGTATAAGGCATATGACGATAATAACGCTTAACGGACGCTTGAACGAGTCTATAGTAAGTGATAGCACGTGGAATGATATAATTGCTGCGGGCATTACATGGTTACTAATTGATTATTGAGCTACAGTTTCCTAGGGTTAAGAATGCGATAAGCTTTCGTAAGACTAAGAAGTTTAACTATTGTATATGTAGACGATATCATACCGTACAAAACTACTTAAAATTAAAAACATTTTAAAGAGTATCCTAGAGCATTATAGTTGTATGTATAGTACGAAGCGTAATCATAATCTATACGACAAATATCAATTTTAATCTAATGTGATAGTGTAATTGTATCAGTTAAGTTGATCGCTTCAGCTTACCTTAACCCATTGTGAAATATTTTGGTTATGTTTACTACAAATTAGTTTATTAGGTAAAAATTACCTTTCAAGATCAATCTTACGCAAATTGAATTTCAGTCTAAGCATTTGTTAATAGAAATTATCTTTCATATTTTACGATGACCGAAATGTGCAAAGATGACACCACATTGTCTACAATCGAGTTGTGACCATTTTACAAGCATAAAATGAGTTCTACTGATTACAAGCAATTTAGAAAATGGATTCAATCTTCTCAAAAGTGCATAAATAGTATGAAGCATTAATATTCCCTTTATGGTGTGACTAAGGCAAGTAATATTATTATTACTATTTTAGAAATCTAATAGCGCTAGTTGCCTTTGTTTGTACATCAACTTGAACTCGCCAAGTAAATAAATAGTCCGTAAGGCGAAATTCTTAAAGCTGTATATCGTTATATCGTTTCAGTTTATAGTTCAAGTTTAGAGCATAAAAAGGTATGCAGTAATGTATTGAAGAGTAATAAAATTGTAAATAACCGATATGTATATATATACTACGCAGCTTCATCGTCCAGGCGTGTGATCTTGACGGTAGAATTTCCGTAATCGGGGGACTTTCTACACATATTGCCGCACATAGCTTGACACTTTGCCAGACCTTGACCTGACACGGAATTTGGATATTTTCGTGCATACGCTAGCCATAAAATGATTATACCAAGAACCGCTACAGTAGATACAACTACAATTATTAATAATGTGTAACTTCTGTTTGGTTGATTTGAAGCCATTTCTGAAAAGTGGTTATAATATTTTAGTTAGTCTAAAATACATTACCCAATTTTACTGTTGCCGTAGCGTTCTACATGAAATAAAATTATTAATAATACACTATGATATAGTGTATACCTGGCGCTTGGCAGATATAAGCATAGGAATAGCTACATAGTTGAGTTATCCAATTATATCCTTTATTCGGGTTGACGGGGTTTAAAGCTACACAATCTCTTCCTCTAGAAATAGGTTGTCCAGCATCCCAGTAAGAATAATTGTAACTAACTCCATTTACCCATTGAAATTTGCCGTTCTGGCGCCTGAGACCTACAGTTGAATTAATTGCAACATTAAGTCATGAATTGCTGTCATTGCCAGTTTACACGTACAGTATAGTTTGACGTACCAATCCAGGCATGCCTCTTGACGGAAAAATTGTTTATAACATTCATAATAGTTTGATTTGAAACGGTAGCTAAGTCACCACGATAACTTTGACAAGATTTTCTTGCATCCTGCCATGATGCAAGTTGGTTGCTGAGGTAACCAAAGCAGTTTCCGTTGTACCAAGACCATCCATTAGTGCAAGCTTCCTGAGAGACGACTTTATGGGCGTACAATAAGTTGTCTTCATAAACAGCTATTTCATAAGTATATCGTATATGAGGATTAAGCCTAGATACGGTTGCAGATCCTTGTACAGTTTTAATGTCCGATTTGTAACTTAGCCATTGATTTTTTGAATTGATTGGGCGATATTTAATCGCGATGGCTACACCAGGATGAGCTACCAGTTTTTCAACATTCCAAGTTACTTTTGCGTTATCTTGGAAACGATTGACAGTAACATGGACTATGCCTACGCATGAAAGAAAACTCTCTTTACTACATGCAATATACGGTTTGCTAAATAGTAGGCTAACTTGTGCTATTGTGTAAAATACTTGGAAAGTGTTGTCTTATGACTCGTCCTCTACTCTAGTGTAGTAAAATAAATCAGTTCGTCGCAGCGATGGTCTACTGCAAGGGTATACCTTTGGCTGTCACATGGCGACGAGTCCTTCCTATTTCCTCACCTGCTGCGATAGAACATTTATCATCCGTTTATTGCCGTATCATAGTCTAACGTAACAACATCTATTTCTATCTCGGTAATATAGCAGTAATGTTGTTCATTCTTATTTCAATTCATTTTCTAAAATATCAACCAAAAGTTAATGATGTTCTTTCATACCTTGCACTAAATGCGACGTCCAGGTAAGGACAACAAGAACGATGAGCAGGCAAGAGCCGGAACGAGTAAAACTTTGCATACTTTGAAAATCAAATGAATTATATTTGGTGCCTCAGTAATGATAACGCCGACCTTGAGTGATGATTAGAACTTCAGAAGAGCAATACAATTACGTTTCTATCATCAGATGATGATATGTAGAATTTTTTGTTGATCCACTAGGTCTGTAATCCAGCACAACTAATATACTATACTAGGCTAAAAGATTCCACAAGCTTGTTCGCTGATTTCCAGCTGGTCTGCTTCAAGACTGTCGTCCTATCTTCAATTGAAGTTGCTATAAGTGGATTAATCAATTTAAAAATCAATTACCGGAGAACTGAAATGCTATTACCAGGTCTTTGACCTCAATTAATTCTATTTTAAATAAATATCCATTGGGTACCGGCAAAATAATCTTGATCAGGACATAAGCCTTGGAAATCGTTGGATACCTTGCTGAAAACGCTCAACCGATCCAATTTATTTTTACCTCATACACGCTCTCTAGCTCTAGTGCACCCTAAGGATACGCAGTATAGTACCGTATTGTATTTTAAAATTGCAGTTGGCAGACGTCGGATGGATGGACTAGCACATGCTCGTCTCAGCCATCAATAGCACATTTTATGCCGATCGATCACGATTAACTTACGGATAATAATAATAATTTGAAATCACTGTTAATTCATTTGTAATAGATATTCATCCATAGATTTATATGTATTAGCTGAGCTTGTGATACGTGATCACGATTAATTTACGGATAACATAGTAATAATTGAATTCACAGTTAATTCATTTGTAATAAATATTCATCAATAGATTTGTATGTATTAGCTGAGCTTGTGATATGTGATCACGATTAATTTACGGATAATATAATAATAATTTTAATTCATAGTTAGTTCATTTATAATAAATATTCATCCATAGATTTATATGTATTAGCTGAGCTTGTGATACGTGATCACGATTAATTTACGGATAACATAGTAATTTTTGAAATCACAGTTAATTCGTTTGTAATAAAAATTCATCAATAGATTTATACGTATTAGCTGAGCTTGTGATACGTGATCACGATTAATTTACGGATAACATAGTAATAATTTGAAATCACAGTTAATTCATTTGTAATAAATATTCATCCATAGAATAGATTTGTATGTATTAGCTGAGCTTGTGATACGTGATCACGATTAATATACGGATAACATAGTAATAATTTGAAATCGCAGTTAATTCATTTGTAATAAATATTCATCCATAGAATAGATTTGCATGTATTAACTGAGCTTGTGATACGTGATCACGATTAATTTACGGATAACATAGTAATAATTTGAAATCACAGTTAATTCATTTGTAATAAATATTCATCCATAGAATAGATTTGTATGTATTAGCTGAGCTTGTGATACGTGATCACGATTAATTTACGGATAACATGGTAATAATTTGAAATCACAGTTAATTCATTTGTAATAAGTATTCATCAATAGATTTGTATGTATTAGCTGAGCTTATAATACTCCAAATTAGTGAAAGAGTTGGCAGTCCAATATTAATGCTTCTTTATATTGAGTAGGTATATTGCTGTATTCTTATGGTGTCGTGGTAAAGCATATTGCGTTGAATTGAAAAATAAGGAAGTTGGTCATGTCTCTTCTATTTCAGTATGTTCAGAACTTTGAATACTGTCGGCAATTATGAGCTGACTCAGTGTAAAAGATGATTACTCTGAGTAAGTCACATTGACTGCAATACCATCATTGATAAGCGTAAAAATAATAATAATAATGATCCTTATATCTCGCTTTACGCGTATAGACTGTCCTGTATATTATATAAATTATGATCATCGGTAGTGACATATTTTGCGGTAATAAGCCTACCCCTTACTGCGATCTCGGGCGGTGCTTCTCACAGTTATTGGTCGCTAAGCTGTAACGATAATTACAGTAAAAGATGGTGCTTTCTAAAACAATAAACAACTTTATGAATACCGTAGTTTGTACATTCAGTAATACGGTAGTAATTTGATAATATATGTATGTAGAATATTATAATATGATCCTACTGTAAAAACACTGCATCATTGAAGTCTTATCATGGTTTTCTATAGCTCGAGATCAGCTCTTGTAAAGCTGCATGTGCGAAAAGTGGCTATGTATAGTACTGTACTAATTATAATTAATTCAAGTTGTTACGGCGTATTGCGCTGACCCTTGTGGAGTGAGCCACCGTACTGTGGTCCAGCCATCGTGAAGACGGTCGGTCAGCCTGTCAGTATGAGCACAGTGGTGTAGCTCTGGTCTGGACCGGATCGGACTAGACCAAGATTACCTCTAAAACTTGTATAGTACAGTATAGTGTACAGTACAATACCAGGGACTTCAGTACAATACCTTACTGTAGTCCAACCTTGAACCTTTCCATATCAGCCAGCATTAATCAAATTCGTGAAGACGGTCGGTCAATCTGTCAGTACGAGCACAGTGGTGTAGCTTTGGTCTGGACCGGGTCGGACTAGACCATGAGTGCCTCTAAAACTTGTACAGTACTGTACACTGTACAGTACAGTAGAGTACAGTATAGTTCAGTACAGTAGAGTACAGTATAGTTCAGTACCAGCGACTCCAGTACAGTACTGTACTGGACATTCAATCAATCAATCAAGTACAGCGTGAACCAGTTCGAATCAGAGTACTTTAAGGTGCCCTAAAATCACAAGAGTGAATCAAAATGTAATAAAAATTATACGAATATAAAGCTGAATAATTTGGCTTTTTAATTTAATTAATTAAAATGAGATACTGTACAAGTCCTGTACAAGTCAATCAAGTACAGTCAATCGGTCAATCTGTCAGTATGAGCACAGCGATGTAGCTCTGGTCTGGATCGGATCGGACTAGACCGGAACGGACTAGACCATGAGTACTGTACCTCTAAAACTTGTACTATACAGTGTACAGTACAGTATCTGAGCCTTAGGTAATCAGCACACACGTGCGGACCGAACCGCGCACTGTATGGAGCGATGGTTTACGTCTGTACGGTCTGTCCTGCCAAGTCAACTGCATACTAGCCTATATAATCGTGGCTCCCAGCCAATTTCTGCTGTCAGCTAGCTGAAATAATTCTCTTCTTGGTGCCATTGAAAATTTGCTTGCAAAGAGATTCTTGCTGAACGATGCCGTTATTGAAAGGAAATCAATGGCAACCCAAAGCCAAGCTATCCAAATCACTGGATAGGAATTGTGAATTATTCGTTATTCGCTTTACTAACGAGGTAAGACAACTGGAAACAATGTAACATTAAACTTTCCCGCCAGTGGAGAAGACAGGTGGCATTCTTCTCCACGTCAGAGCAAATGTCGTCATAGTCATACCTAGCAATAATTGCAATGAAAATAAGATAGAGGGCCAGTTACTGAGAAAGAAGGCTAGTGAAATGAGAAAAGAGATGTATTTCTATAGTAGTCGTTCAGTTTATAGACTACTAAGGAATAGAAGTACAATGAACATAGTGGGATTGATCGTGGACGACGATGAATGGAAATTCTGGACCTGGGCTTTAAAAATGATAGCCAGTCGACTCTTCCTCACATCTTCTGACTGCATCCTCATGACTGCCATGCATAGACCATTTTCAAATTGAGCAAGTTGTCGAGTGGTCATGGAACAAGACCGAGAATAACCAATAAAATTGCCATGGCAGTTCTTGAGTTGAGAGACTGTTGATAGATAGAGTTCAGTTATACACTGAAAGATGGATGAAAGATGATTCAGTACTAACTTTCTAGATTGCAAATGGTGCTGGTGATGTATCATGCGGTACTCAGCAATGCTAGTCTGATGCTACTGTAGTCAACGGATAAGCGATATCCTTCTTTGCAACACCTACTTGGGTGATAGATTATTACTAGACTTGGTAATTGGTTAGGTCTTCTATACATTGGATGGTATTCTTTCACTGATGGTGAATTGGCTAGGCTAATTCCATATGCTTGTATAAGTAGCATAATCAGGGAGAATAGTCATGGATATCCTTAGGTGTAATATGGTATAAATTGGACAAGAAGAACTGAAATAATGATCGTCATATTATCCTCTGTATCCACGCTTTAAATTGTAATCACCATCGATGAAACTCTTGCTCTCTACTGTATATTGAAAATTCATACGGTAGTTGCTGTTTAATCGAGCTGTCATTCAATGATTGCAGTAAGCTCGTACACTGATCAATAGAATGACATGATTCTCGTAGTACGGTAGGAGCTATGAACAACAGAATCCAAATGGATATGATGTTCTTTTGAAATTCGTTCGATAATGATCATTGGTAATAACTATTAATGTCCTTGCTCGTATTTCATTTGGACGCTAACACGACAGTATCGTATAGAATGATATCATCATCTATATGCACGTATACAATTGTAATGAATGAAATTGTCGCCTTCTGAGCTTTTGAATCAGAAGACGAGCGAGATACGACAGTAGAGTAGGTTCTATAGGATTACAGTATTATTTATCTGTTCTCATAACGAAATTGTCCTTTTGGAATGAGAATGTCTACAATGCAACCCAGATGTACAGTATAGCATAGTTGGATATACTGTTGTAGGGATTACAAATTTAATTATTACTGTACTCGTATGAGCGATTAGATTTAATTGCCTCCTTGGACAGCGATCTAGTTGAATACGAGCAATCTAGCAATGTCTTATGCTGTATTGCCTACATATTATTGTATTAGCATCATAGGCAAGATTAGCTACAGTAAAATTGTGCGTGCTAAAATTATAAATACCGTCGTACCGTAAATGGTAGGCATTTAACATTTATCCCTTTACTTTACTGTACGCGCATTGTAACTCTAGGAGCAGAAGAGATCTGATCTCAGTATTGACTGCACTCCATAATATAAGTACAGTACAGTAGTATTGCAAAGTGTAAATGGTAATTATTGATGCTCTCATCCCGTCGATTTAATTACAATTTTAGGGCAAATTGTTAGATTTGCCTTATTTGCAATAGATGACAAATTAGTAATTAGTAGCGACATGAATGCAGCGATTCTAAATTGTCCCTAATTAAAAATAAAATTATCATATAACATAGCTTATGTCCTGTTAGAATGTTCCCACACTTTTTAGAAATTTATTTTTGAAGCACTGTTGTAGCTTAAAAACTAGATTAATAATCGTATTTATTGCACTGATTATTCCAACCCAGTTAATATTATTAACTTACAGTACATTGCTTTAAAGCTTTTAATACATTACGGTATCGAGATAGAGTTACTTGACTTGAAAGTAATCATTACATAAACATTGCCAAAGTTATGATACCGTGCACTAATGACTTCTCGCTAGATAATATAAAGTGATGTATTGATTGTTTTACTGTGATAATTAATCGTTTAAGCTCTTAATAAATTGCGTAGTGCACTTTGTTTGAATCCATGTAGGTCCTATGTAGCAAATGTAGTTATTTGGAATTAGCTTACTTTTGATAGAATCTTTGATGTAGAAAATTAAAATGAAATACTAACAGCGTTCTGATAGCTTAATAATAGTTTTAACTTCGGCTCCATTATAGGCTTTTCAATCAATTGATAAATATTATGAAAGGCTTGATTTATATCGATCTCGGTGTTGGACGTGTTCCGTTACTGGGAAGAATAAATTAACATACGAAGAGGTGAGGACTCAATATATCTCAGGAATCCTGTTTCTATCGTACTACTACAGTAGTGAGATTTTTTAAAATTTAAAGTTGTAATTACGAAATTGGATAATTCTAGTATGAAATGCGAAAAGCACAAATACCCATACCAAATCTTCTGGTTTTATTTAAAACATATTGAAATATGCTCACGCTCTTTTAAATACTTACCGTATAAGGATATGTGTAGCACTTTCCTTGTTTTGACTACGATAGTGGTAGTCATCCCAAACTACCTTGCAAAAAGAATAATCTGGCAAGGTACAGCTATCGGACTCTCTCTAAGATCACTTCCCTATGATATATACCGACTCTATGATTCATAGCGACCGCTTGTTTGCTTAAGCCCATCGTGTGCCCATATATTTATTATAAGTAGCCTTTATTAATTATATCGTTGACTGCACGCCTCTAGTGCTTACTGCAAGTATGAAAGTCGCATTCTTGCTTCGGTATCTTCATTGCTAGAAAATTTTGTCTTACCGAATCGACAAATATGCACTCTACAAAAATTCCACTATTGGTAGCGGTACTTTAATCATGGTTTAATTCTTAATGCTCGTTGCCGTTTGCAATATGCAAACCTACACTTCAGTAAGGTAATCTGTGAAGGTCATCAAAGATAGGTCGAATTGGTTAAATTTCGAGTATAGGCCTGCGAGCAAACTTAAGCCCACTATTGGTATTCCACGAATTTTTGCTTATTTGAGATCCCGAATAACACATTGTAAGGTTTAATATTTTTTAAAATATTAAGCACAAAACGTGCAATCCGATGTAATTTAGAGCTTCTAATTTTGTAGATAGGTATGATTAAAGCGTCATGTAGCAACAGCGTTGCTTGCTGTTTACCCTATAGTCAAGGACTTTCTAGAACTTTACAATTATGTCTTGATGCAAAAGATTAATATTATTTTGCACAGGCTCACTTCATCTCATGCTCTTAATATAAAATAGTGGCAAAGATATTATGCATAAGATTATTGCATGCTTTGAAAGAGACCTTTCTACTATTAACTCTGGTTATACCTGGCTGCATCGTAACAAAATTTTAATAATCTATGTTCATATAAAGTGAATTTTGTGATGGTGCGATAAACATGTGATATGAAATGATTGAAACAAAAGTTTTAACTGTGATGATTTCGCTAGGCACTTTTATCGGAGAAAATGGGGAAATCACGGGTAGGTTTTTGTTGTAGACGATACGGTGCAACCTACGACTATAGAAATATCTTAATTTTGGTAATATGTCAGTAAGGATGATATTCAATTGCTAAACTGTGAATTTTATACCTTAACTATCGTTTAGAAACGAATATCAAAGCAAACCCCAAAGAAGAAGGTAAGCAATTCCTGTGCATCTGTATTAATTCTTAGATCTTTAAGTAAAGATGATATGTACATAAAAAATATTTTACGTTGTGGTAACAACAATTTCGATCATGATCATAGCGGGAATTAGGAGTCAAGCCATTATCTAGATCTAATTCGCTCAACCTTCCTAAAGAATTTGCTGTACCAGTATTAACTAAAGTTCAATTTAGGTACAAATTTCAAAGCGTTGCTTACCAGTGCAAATGCCGTATTGCTATATATTTGTGACCATTACACTCTTTTGATATTAGCATTTGATATTGTCTATACCTGCCAAAGTACCTCACTTTAATCTTGACTTATACCCATTTCAGTGCATGCTTAAAGTTAATAGTTCTTATTGCAGATTCAGGAATTAAGTGATACTGTAAATCCACAATAATTTCTTGCTTGGATGAAAAAATGACATGGTTCTTACGATGTCATTCATACTCATAATTAATATAATAGGCAAATTTATCTGTCTAGCCATAACGTATCATTAGTAGTTTCTTAGAAGTTTTGCTCTGCTTTTAGCGACTTAGAAGATTAGATAACCTTTACAAAGTAGTAAAGACTGTAATTGTAATTTTTTTTGGCTAATAGCACCAAGAACTTAAAAGAAATTATCGATGATTTAAGAGACTATCTAATAAAGAAAGCAAAGTCTAACAGGTATTTAAAATTCGTATAATCTAACATAAAAGTAAACTGATGGTTGATAATTAGCTCGTATAGTAACCTTAATGAAGCTTCGTGCAATGGCTTTAGTACGTTTTTTACTTGATCAGTTATGGAGTACAACTAAAATACACACCTAATACAAGAGTTTTATTGTACGTTTGTAACGTATGGAGTAAACAAGATCAATAATCATGTTCATGATATATAATAATTGAGAGCAGTTAATTACCAGCGGATTTTTCTTATAAAAAAACTGCATTGCTAATCTTGAATGACTAGAAGATATCTTCCTAAAATGATTATAATCAACTAAGCTGCCGTACTTCAGGCTTTCGCCTTCACAAATAATGTTACTTACGTATGTCTTGATTTGCAGAGTAAATGGATTACCCAGTAAAGCAACGCTAAAGTCATTTATATGTAAAACTACTAAGCGATATCGATATCGCAATAGGTAAATTGTAATATTGTACAGCCTACATGCTATGCTGTATTTAAGATTTTATTACTGACGTCGCGTGCTTTTAGAAATTGTAAAGTAATTTGCTAATGATAGACCTCATCACTCAGACTATAATTTATTTCAGCCCTTTTATAGTTAAGAAGGCATATATTAAGAAATTTAATTTGACTGTGAAGGTAACTTCGGTTGATATTTACTTGATATGCAAATTTCATTGAATACATAAAATGAATTAATCCTATGACGGGATATTGTGAAGGAAATGCCAAAAAAGTTAGTGTCTGCTCATCAAGACTATTTACGAAAGCAAAGAAAATCTATTAACGATTCAGCAAAGGTAAACACCTAGCAAATTCATAATTAGTTAGCCTTTAGTTGACCGATTTACTGGCCGTTTATCAGTTATCTTAAAAATTACTGTATATTTACTTAACTGATCTTTGGCAGCGGTTTCTACTAGTATTCCTAATAAAGTTTTGTTTCAATAGTCGCGAATTATTTGGTAGAACTAAAATCTCTTCATTATTTCTGCTTAGAGAAAAGCTAATTCAGAACCTGGTAAAAAATCTAAAAAGATTAAAACTAAGAATGCCACGAAATCGCGCAGTAAACAAATGTCAGGAAGTAATAAAAACAAGAGGAAAGATGATAAGGCAAAGAAAATAAAACGGTTGAAGTCTGGTAAGGATGACGCAAAAAGTAAAGTCAAAAAAAAAAAGTCCAATGGGAACAAGGAAAAGAAAGAAAAAAATAAAAGAGATAAAAGTAAATCAAAAATTAAAGAGAAGAAAGGTATATCGCTTAATTGGTTATGTTAAGTTGTAAACGCTTTACTGGTAGAAATCATGTCGGAATTAAATGAGTCTATGTGAAGTGCTAAAGGAGGAAATTTTCTCTATAACAGTAGTAATAGTAGATTGGCCGATTCCGTCTAGAGATAGTGATCCATTACCTCAAATACTGGGGGACCTACTGATGTCATGGAAATTTCTGAATACATTTAGGTATTGGCAATTTTTAAGGTAGTTGGGTTATAGTTTACTAATGACACCTCATATATCATAATAGTAAATGTATCAAGTTATACCCATTCCCATTCGATCATCTCCAGTTAGCCTTTGCTCAAACAGGTTAGCAATTAGCAATGACTTTGTAATTTTCTGTAAATTCTTGTGTAGGTGTCATACGGTAAGGTAATTGATGCTAACATTCGTTGTATCAATTTACGTCTTAGATTTAACGAATGGTTCACCTTTGTGCGATTTGATAGTACATTGTAAGTTCATCATTAGAGCTATTATGGAAATGCCTGTAGCACTGAAATTTTTAATGTACTCGTATTCTATGTAGCGTTTAGCTGTCTACTGTCAATTCTTTTCGATGAAGTGCCGGACAATTTTCAATCAAAAGAAGTATGATTTGATCGCTGTTTTCAGGGATAATTCAAACTTAATTTTTATTAAAATTTGATTACAATTGCTTGAAGAATTTAAGAAATTATCGCGTAATAAATAACCATAATTGGGAACGAGCTGTCGTTGTCTATTTACAAGGAATGCGTGAAAGTGGTAATACGTAATATCTGCGAGCCTGTTGTTTTTCATTGATTTAAGTATCTGTAAATCTAAAGTTATAAGAATTACCTTGAAACTTGAAGTGACATCGTTCGTCAATTGATTTTATTAGGCATTACTGTCGATATTCCTGAATCCATTCAATACTTGGTAAATAATAATTGCAATAGATTTTCGTTTTCATTTTCTGCCTTCGAAGCGCGTGTTCAGCTATTGAGGTAACGTGCTCTGCTAATTATTCCCTATTTTCAATATCAAGTTATGGGTCTTGTGCTTACTTCACTAATTTGTAACTTATTAAATTTATATATAACAGAGTATTGATAGACTTAGTTTTGGAATCTGTTACCATTCGTCAATGCTTGGAAGACGCAGTTGGCGATTTGCATGACTTAAAGAGATCGTGGCGAGTAGAAAAAGCTGACGTAATGAAAAAGTAATTAAAGAAAATTTATTGCTTGAGTTGTCAAAAGCCGTTGTTCCACCAAAAATAACAAATCTAAGATTAGTAATAAATATACATCATCTTGAACAGGATAAAGGAGAACAAATCTGTTAACAATCTTGCTGATTCGACTGAAAGTCAAATGAATGAGTCAGTTTCTAAGCTTCAAACCTATTAGTAATCAATCTTGGTGTCGTAGATTTAGTTACCGATGAAATATAACTTTAGCTTTATTCATCTTCACAACTGTAGAAGTAGTACTCCTGAGTCCACCGACGATAAAGAAAATCAGATGACAGAAAATGAGAGTAAGCCTGTTTCGGTAGTGGTACGTACAGTTAATGAATAGCCCGTGAATTTTAATTTTTGAGCATATTTAGGTCGCATGAATTTATTTATAGCATTGAGAAGACTGCTGTTGTTATATCGACTATGTTGTTTTATTAATTTATTTTATAAGGATCGCGCATTTGAAGAACAACAACTGAAAAGAAAAGTGAGTAACTCTTCCATTAATCATAACTTTAATTAACCATCTTGATTAGTAACTAATTTATCACATCCTAGTTTCATACTTGACGCTTAATAGGTGTAATGAACTGATTTTGAAAAATTTATCATCATTGCAGGAAACTCGGTTTCTCAATGCTACATCAATTCAAGTATCTTTTCTTCGTCACCCCTTTATTGGGCGAGACAGCAGTAATAGAAGATACTGGGGTTTTGATGGTAGCTTTCCGATCGGTAAGCTGTATGTCGAAGACGAGAATGGTCAATGGATGTACTACTGCACGCCTAAAGAGGTAAGCTGTAGCGAATGATCGTATTTTACTTAGATTCATTGGTAACCTTACCTTTTACTGGATTGGGCAACTATTTTAGTTGGAAACGTTAATAATGCACCTAAAAAGTAAAGGTCTAAAGAATGAAAATGAAAAGGAATTGTATAATAATTTAATTCGTGATAAAGATAATCTATCAGCAATTATGCAGAAGCAAATTGACGTAAGATTGCTATTTATTTTCAGCTTATATCGTCTAACGTAATATGGATTCTTAGAAATAATAAAATACATGATTTTTATGGATGTCCTTAGGATATCAGAAAGTTAACGGAATGCAGACATAGCGCTCGATTACAATCTATTCTTCGCGAGAAGCCTTACTTGGGCTATGAAAACAAATATGCAAATCAATAAAGACAGATCTATAGATCATACACAAGAACCAGTATTTTTTTTAGCACTTACTTAATTTATAATTATACTGTTAACCAATAGTGTATATTTCCGTTCAGGATTGAGCTTGATTGTGTAAATAACGTAAACTTGTCAGTCATATCTTACAGTCAATTTGAAAATCTAACTCTTTGTACAGTGCACGTATATAAATGATGTGTTATAGAGTATGATATTATTCTGATTTTCTGGAAATATTTCTGTCTTGTTTGTAGTGATTTGTTGGTATTCATGAACGAGCTGAAACTGATAAATCATCAGAAATGAGATGGCTTCGAGAATATTCTCAGCCGTTACGATTTTGATTTGTTAGCGATATGTTTTTGTACGATCATGGAAAATGTGACAATTGGCGAATGGTAGAAAAGAAATTAAAATTTCCATGTGTATATACACTGGTGTACATGATTGATGAGTTATACGTTTGATGTTTTGTGCATGTTATCACAGCGGATGACTTAGTATCTATGAATGTGCATTAAAACCTGATACATGCTAATTTTTTGTCTTTAAATTGAAATTACTATACTCTTCGTCGTAATTGTGTCTATAATTATATGATTGAAGATTCCATGCTATGCTAAGCTATCGAAGGATAAAGACTTAAAAGTGTAGTACATTCTACAGAAAGTTATTGGAAAGTAGGGAATGAGACGTCAATAATACCCAATAGCTTCTTACCAATATCTACATAGCCATATACGAGAACAAAGCTAATGTTCAAGGTGTGTGGTACTCGTATATCAAGGCATCGGTTTAAGAACGAGTTACGCAGTCATTTCCAGCAAGTTTCACTTTATTTTAATGTTAAATAAAGTAACGAACATATAAAGCTATGAGGGAACCGAATATTACATTTCAAATTTGTACAACATTCACAACAATTAGGAAATCCTGCAGATGGCGAACGAATAACTTCATATCTATAGTTTCACAGTTAACAATATTAAATGGACGTTATATCGTAGTCTTCAATTGAACACAGTTGCACATAACAAAGTGGCCATATATTGCTAAATTATAATCGAAATTTTGCTAGTTTCATTCTATAGTTAGATTAATATCAACAAGAGAAATAATTTGTGGATTGTTACCAATCCTTAAGAAATCATTGCAGTTAAATTGATAAATTAGCTAAATATGTACGTCTAAAAATCATAGCGTAAGAGTTCTACTAAGAAGGCTGCAAAGAACATTCACAACAAAACTAATTGCTCTCGAATGGTTAGACTAAATTATTCAGTGCTATCAATTTGAAAGTACAGTAGGAGTATCTACTAAATACGTTGTCACTAGTAACAGTAGCACCAAAGGTTATAAACGTACAGTGTTATATGGTACAAGATCAATAGAACTGCAACTCTATTTCGATTAACCTTGTACATTTAATTCACAATTACTTTACAGATACGCAGTTTCTGACTGTTAAAATTTCTATGATGTGGTACATGGATAAAGTTATCAGCTATAGTTGATTATATCTCTATTCTTTGCAAATAATTACAGATAATTAAACTTGTCATTAATTAGTTGTTAAATAAAGTATGTAAATGAAGGCCAAAACACATCATGTACATATATAATTATATAATATCATCAAGTAATTTACGAAGTTTCAAATATCTTTATACAATGACTTTGAGTTTGAAAGATTCTGTAGCATTAACGTGTATTAAGGATTATCATCAATACTATACAGAAAGCCATAGACAGTTAATTTAGAATAACTTAAAATAATTATTGCAATATCATTTTGACAAATAGAAGAGTTATTTTAATACGTGTAGAAGCTCAAAGATTTATAAATGTCAATTTCTTTTCCGTAATGAAGTCATTAGGAAATTTGTATTATCTTCTATATATAGTAATAAATTCTGTAAGGTTAAAAGCAAGATAAAAGATTGAAGATTTTATACTCAACTCTGGGATGCATATACATTATGTCAGAAAAGTAAGAGAGAAGTATTCGGAAATGATCAATCTACAGTAAACAAGTATACTACAGATTTCATTCGTGGTAAGTCAGCATAGGTGAAAGGTAAAAGTGTAAGCTTTAAATGATACTTTGAATTAAAATAGAATAAATTGTCCTACTTTTGTGTTTTCTAATACCAAAGGGAAAAATAATAATTACATGATTGTTAAATTAGCAGTTATGGTGTATTATTGTCATCTGTCGTTGAACTGTTGTCGTAATACGCTTTATGTCGAAGATGCCAAGCGATGCTGGTGCAAGCTGATACTGTCTTGAATTGATGGATAACGTTGCGAGGTATGAAATAGATATCGTTATCACATAATTGAATACGAGCATATCGAACTCCTTCACGAAGAAGCTGATTTAATTTACCATCTTCAACCCATTGAACGCACTAGAAGAAATGAAAAATATTCAGCTATCAGTTGACGAGAAAATGTGTATACAGATGGGGGTCATTGGTTAAAGGAAAATGTAGTTAATTAGCGGACATGCCATCGTGCAAATACAGAAGTATAGTCCATATTTCAAACATGAACATTTTACGTCAATTAAGCAGATTAAATTATAGTAATTTTGTATTATATAATCAAATAGCCTAACTGTTGATGACGATTGAATATTTACCTGTGAGGCAGGAGGCTCGTACAAATCTAACTGCAATTTTGTGGCAACACTTTCAAAGTCATCTGGATGAAAGGCAACAACATCTTTAACTATCCTATTTGTGGAATAGCTATAAAGGAAAAGTGGAAATAGGATATTTAAAATCGTCTCCAAGGACCTTTGCTACTTTTTACAACTATAAAAGTGTAGACTCAAGCTTTATCCATTAGGAAAAACAGCAGGAAAATTGCAAAGATGGTAATTTTATCCCCATTTATTTTTAATATTGTCGAACTTTACCTAGCACCACAATGAACAGCTTTCAATAATCCTACAGCTGCAGTAGTGTTTCGATCGAGGCCATGTCCAACATGATCCGCATGGCAATAAGTCCTATCTTCGAGTAAACTTTCTCGTGGAGCATTGACACGCGTAAGCGAGTATAAATTGCGAAGTTCATTATTACCCGTCCTAATCAAGTGGAAAGAAAATAGATGAAAATAAATGATTCTGACTGTGTCCTGTTCATAAGCTAGAGCAATTTTATAAATAATTCATGTCTAATGACTAGAAGAGAAGGGCTTGAATCAATATCCTCCTTACTATACTCTCTTAATCCTAATGCCGTATCATGGTCTACCGTATAGATAAAATATAGATATTGTATCTAAATTGAATTGACTAAACATGCCGTTTTTATGATAACAATAATAATACTTATAAAAAAAAAAAGTGGAAATAATCAATATTGCCAGCGATTATCTCTATGCAATCCAGCCTCAGTGTCTAATTACGCGGAAGGTAAAAAAAATGGCTAGGAAGACTAATTTCAAAATCAACTATGGTTCACTGTCCGCCATCAACGAGACGTTTGGTTGTTCAATATATGTTTTCTAGTTACTGAGTGTTGATGCAATCGCGAGTCCAATTGAACTCAAGATGCCCACTGTCATGATGATTGATGGAGAGTGAATAGGTACGCGTTAGTAAATTAACTTTAACCATTTCAATTTATGAAAGGAAAGCATTGCAACTAGTCTATGCGTAAACAGCAGCATAACGTTAGGTAACCTTACTTGCGCTTCTTGTGAGGAGACTTGGCCAGATCGGTAGCGGGAACAATTTGTTCACCAGGACGTACCCATAAAATGGGACCATCATCACTATCACATCTTGAGTTTAACTTTAAATTGGACAACTTTCCCCATGGCATAACAGGCGCTAAAACAGGTGAACGCTGCAATAGATTGAGAAATTCCGGCATATAACCACCAATTTCTTCTTGGACTGTACCCACTAAACTTAATTGTAATAGCGGACCGGCTCGATAAGTACCATTGATATAAGTGTCATGGACTCGTTGATGGAATTGACTAGTCGTAATAGAATCGACATCTTTACGGCCAAATAACTGATATCGAACAGTCATTTGTGGATAATGTTGAGCTAAATAATCAATTGGATCTGGCAAATAAGAGGCTGCATTGTGGATAATACCCATGACATAATGAGTATGGCCGAAGAATAATTCGTTGAAGAAATCTTGCATAAATTCTTCAACAATATCATCACATCGCGTGGGTTGAAATGTATAAGCGTGTAAAACCGATGCTCCTCCATTACTGGAGGTTTCAACATACATTTTATTGGCTTGATACATGGTTGGAGTGGTATCTAATTCGATAAAGGAGATCAATGAGAACCATGATTATATGAGAGAGAGAGAGAAAAAAAAAATCCTGATTCTAAAATTATGATGAAGAGTTTGAGCTGTAATTATAATTAAAAAGCAATCCTATCTTCCACTTTCAATCGGCATGATTAGTCCAAGTTAAAAGAAATGCAAGTAGAACTAATGATACAGATTTAATTTAAATGACTTTATTCTTACAGTAATATTCATAAATCCCTGTAAGAAAAGAATAAAATAAAATTTCGGACAGGATTCTACTGTCATGATGGATAGGATCGATCATTGATAAGAGGATGAAAAGGAAAATCATATAATGTGTATACTATATATCATCCCTCCTCCCCCATGAATGTAAAAGAAAGAAAAAAAAAATTCCAATTGAATCATGCAATACATGGACTCCTTATATAGTATAGTAGGCAAATCCAACAGATGATACTGTTGCAAGAGGTCAAGAATTGAGTCATATCACCAATTTTATCCAATTTAAAGTGGAGAAGAGAGCAGCTCAACTTACAAAGAGGAAGAGAAGACACCGTGGTTGCGCCACCATTTTTAATGCTCGTGTTATGATCTTGTTTGACTGGATGGATATCATTCATGATGGCAATTTCTTAGCTGTCAGTGAATCATCCAAAGTATAGCAGGCAAAAGATGTGGTCGTAGTATGAGTGATTGCTTGGATCGATTGGCTTCAAGAGTCCATCGTCGATTAATTTCCCATCCAATTAGCGTTTTAATCGATATAGTAGTAGGGAAAATCGCCCAGCAATGGAGCTTGTCGAGTAATTAAATTTGAAAAGTGGAGGCAGCGTTAAGTCCACGGCACGTCCGATACAAACAGGCAGTTTCTAAGGGCCCCAAGTTTTCCTACACTATTCTATTGTATGACTTGGTCATGACGCCGCTGCATAGAGTATAGTATGGCGGCCGGTTACGAATGGATAGCTCCACCTCCTGGTTTTGTCCGCTACCGTACGTCTGTACGTCTGTACGCCAGTGCCATACGATGGACTAGTCCTATGCTGTAAAAAAAGAAACTGATGTCACCTAACGTGGATCATAGACGCCTATTGTAGAATGTAATCGAGGCATCATCGGGGTGACATTATTTTTGCACATACTAGGATTGATGAAACAGTGTGCAGTGTCTTAGCAGTACCGTTTGCATACAGTACTGCACACTCTGCTGTACAGTCTTGTACTGTAGTCTATACACTGTACACTCTAGCCGACAGGATCGTCCATGGTTTAATACTAGTACTGCAAGCATAATTCCTAAGTGCAGCCGACATTGCAAAATATCATAACAAGCGATTTCAAAACTAAATAAATAACATTTATTTCAGGAAATAGTCGCAGCATTGCTATATCCAAGCTGCTAGGCTTTAATGAAGCTAAATAACATTGTTAAACTGTTCATGATTGCTCCATGCATTGATACAACATGTGCACCACCACATTCAACTTTGGCAAAATATCACAACAAGCGATTTCAACTATAAATAAATAACATTTATTTCATGAAATAGTCACAGGATTGTTATATCCAAGCTGCTAGGCTTTAATGAAGCTAAATAACATTACTAAAATGTTCATGATTGCTCCATGCATTGATACAACATGTGCACCACCACATTAAACATAGACAAAAATATCACAACAAGCGATTTCAAAAATAAATAAATAATATTTACTTATAAAATAGTCAAAGGATTACTATATCCAGGCTGTAGAAGTTTATATCGATGCAGCGCAGTAAAGTATATTAGGATCTAGGCTGAATGACATTTTTAAAATGTTCATTGTTGCGACATGCATTGATACAACATATACACCACATTAAACATTGGCAAAAATATCACAACAAGCGATTTCAAAAATAAATAAATAATATTTACTTATAAAATAGTCATAGGATTTCTATATCTAGGCTGTAGAAGTGTACATCGATCCAGGACAGTATTAGGTATATTAGGATTAAGGCTGAATGACATTTCTAAAATGTTCATTATTGCGACATGCATTGATACAACATATACACCACGTTAAGCATTGAGAAAAATATCATAACATAAAATAAATAAAAATATATAAGTAGCATTTATTTATAAAGTAGTCACAAGATCGTTATACCTATATTGTATATCGATTCAGGACAGTAAAGTATATTTGGGTTTACTTAGGTTTAGGCTGAATAATATTTCTCAAATGGTCATTATGATGGCTACACGCATTGATGCAATGTGATAAACACATAACATCTTGAAAAAATATCATAAGAGATTTTAAAAATAAAGAAATAATATTTATTTATAAAATAGTCACAGGGTTGTCATATTCATACTGTATATAGATTCAGGACCGTATAAAGTATGTTAGGGTTTAGACTGAATGATATTTCTAAAATACTCATTTTTGCTACATGCGTTGATACAATGTGTAAAACACATTATATGTTAAACAACGTGTAAAACATATTATATGTTGAAATAATATTGCAATAGATTTCAAAATAAATAAATGACATTTATTTATAAAATAGTCACAGGATTGTTATATCCATACTGTATATCGATTCAGCACAGTGAAATGCATTAGGCTTTAAGCTAAATAACATTGCTAAAATGTTCATTATTGCTACGTGCATTGATACAACATGTACATTAATCATTGAAAAACGTCCTACAAGAGATTAATAAGTGACATTTATGAAAAGTTTATTATAATTGTATTCACAGTACACGTATTGACATGCTGTATGCTCATTAAACACAGAATTAAAAATATCCTAACCAGAGATTTTAAAATGACATTTAGAAAATAGCGGTATTGCTAAATAGCAAATACTAATCGAAAACCGTGTCCAGCTTTAAGTTAAACTAGATTTAAAACAGCTTAAAGCCTTGAACTCAAATGGCCGTCGAGTTAACGGTAAAACACTGCACAATACTGTATTATGAAACTGTTTTAGAATACTTTCATCCCTTAAATCATTTGTTCAATGTCACCATTGGCCTGCTTCATCGCAGTCACCAAATGAAAACATAAACTCATGCAATTGAGTAATCTATCCGTCTCTTGATGGTATTTTGTACCGTGGCAATATCACAAGAGTCATGGAAATAAATTGATTAATAGAACACGTTTTCTATATCTTGTTGAACTTCACTTTTTTATTACATAAGCCTAAATCGATACTTTTACCGAGGACTACCCTGTCCTATCTCTCTATTTCTGCCATATATATATTAAGTGCTTCTATTTATACACCGAAAACATTATGGCAAAAAGGCATGCAAGTAAAATACTGCAATATATCTTTTAGACTATATTCATTCATTCATCTTCTAACTAAAACTAATTTTGGGGCTGCTTTACCGTTTGGCATAGCATCGAACTACGGCTGTCGACTGTATTAAGTTGCTTCCGGCATTGCAAATAATAATGTACAACAGTAGTTGGTAGGAATTGACTATAATGTATGGCTTTATAGTGTCGACTAACAGTCGTTGGAGAAATCGCTGATTAAACTACAAGTTATCTTTTCCAATACGCGGTAATGCCTTAAATAATGTAGTGAAAAGTCTAAACTATCATTAAACGTTCTTGTAAGATATACAATACACTCAGTAGTCAACACAGTCATGAACAGCGCTCATCTGTTATTTTCTCAATTGGGCGGTGTAAATTTGGCTTGGAGATGTTGATCACTGAGACTCGTACTATTATATGCCGATCAATCCCTTTCTAAATAAGTCGTAATTCCTTCCATGACTATATTCTCAATGTAGCTCTACCAATTTGATTAACGCAATGCCATAATAGATCCACCTGGACCATTGGAAGCAAATGCTCCACTACTGGAGACTACTGTGGCTTCTTTTCATCATTTTAATATGGAGCTACAAACTATGGCATTATCGTTGCATCCATCTTGAAGTCGTCTGTACCAGTTTATGATCATTAAGGCAGAATAAGGGAGAAAGATTCCCTGATTACTGTAGATCAATGGAACAGCGAGTAGAACAGCAGATCTGATGAATTCCAATTTAATCCCATCTTGAAGTTGAGAACTTTTCATGGTGTTCAAGTCGAATGCAGTAGATATACCCAAACAGTACTGCATACATGAGTATATTATATCAAATAGAGCTAGTCGATCGTGGATCCCATCTCTAGCTTGAAGGTATATCGATTTATTACAACCTGTTGCTTATGAAGCCATACCATACTCATCATTTGGATTTAGAATTCATTTTAACCATCTAGTTAACGATTAGAAAGTAGAGAGAGAGAATAACTTATTCAACCATACAAGCTTACACGATCGATATTGACCGACACCATTGGGTTTTCCAATATCATTGTCAGAGTTTGTATAGCAGACAATCCATAATAACAATCTATGATCTCAAATGAGCAGGCCCTGCCCACCCTATGTTGAGAAATAAACTCGCTACTGTCTGGACTTGTAACAGTAATTTGTATGCGAGCCGAGAGCACCGTTGCCATTGCAACTCTCTACTACGGTCTCATTAACATCACGATTTCAGGAGTAAAGTAATGTTTCTCATCCATGACGGAAGTTGTCTAAAAACTTTTAATTTACTCCTAATAATTAACGTTTGCGTATTATCCAATTTCCAGTAATTGATTGCATACATAAATTGTTGAAGAAATCTTATACGTATGAAGGTTTGAAGATTGATAACTTCTTATAAACGGAACAAATTAAAGACAGGTTGATTTGAAGAATATTGGATTATCATCGTCATGACATTGAAAAATCAACAAGCGATAGGTAACTATAGCCTCCATTAAATAGTAGACTAAGTAGTGGAATGGGATCATCCTTGCTCCAAATTAGATGATTTATAAGCAGTAGACTAACAATAATGAATCAATTATTCACGATTACAATTCGTTAATCCGGTGCTAGAGATAGAGCCATTTCAGAGCCATTTCCCGTACAAGATTAGACTTATCTGCATAAATAATTTAATATAGGCAAATGATGATCAATAAATAAATTGGGCAACATATCATAAATAATAGTATGAATACTTCGTCTGACATGAAAATATATGTATGGTAAAGGAAATGAATTGTTTCTTCATAAGTAGCGAAATACATCAAGATTGATTTATAAGTCTAGCATTACTGTGCGCTACGGTACAGGATTATAAAACATTCCCGCTTGTAGCTATTTCATCTGATAAGATAAAATAAATGGACATTACATTGCTCCAAATGGAATCATACCCTCATAGATACCTATAGCGTAAATCTTAAACCCTTGATGATGGATAAGTTTATGTTTTGTAAAGTACAAGGTCGAGGTAAAATATATTAGGTGACCAGAATCGTTTAAACTCATACGTTTAATCGCTAGTCATCGGTGTCAATTATAGAAGATAAATGAAGCATTATCTAATTTTTATACGATGAACTAAGGTATTTTCGTTTCATTCATTAGCTATTCATCCTTTCGATGGATCTAAAATTTTACATGGAATTAATATCGACATTGGTGATCGCATTATCATCGAATCGGAGTATCAAGGTAAAAGTGTGATGATTACGGTCATACTGATAATGACTAATTATTATGGATAGTTTATATCTGTATTATCAAGTATAAAAATCAGATTAATAACGGCATAAACAGCAAATTAAATCACTTAGTAATTATCTGTTAGAGTAATATGAAACGAAACATCTTATTTCATGTGTATCTTTATTATTGGCAGGATGGATATTTGGTGAGGTAGTCAATCATGATCATATTCGGGTAAGGTCGAAGTAATCAATAGATAATACTTTCGGTAGATACAGCTTAAGGCCATAGCTATAGTCTTCTTTATACTATTTTTTTCTTTTGACTCCATATGAGAATTTTATATCGTAACGAAAATCACACTTAGACGACATAGTAAATTAGGATTTTTGCAGGAAAGCATTACATCCTGTCCAACTACTCTATTTTTCGTAATTTTGTTTAAATTTGTCATATCTCTTGTTCCTATCATATCATCTATCCTATACAGTAATATTCCACATAAAATCATTTTATGACACATTCAATCATCAAAAGAAATACAAAAAACAATATCGAAAGTAATTATTTTTCAATTCTAAATGCCTTAATATAATACTCTCCTAGCATTTAATGAGTCTGTAACAAAATTACAACGAATACATCCAACGTAGCATATAGTATATGGCAATATAATTTTTTGAGGTCGATCGTGAGTTTTCAGCGTAATCCTCAACATCTTGCAGTAGCTTACAAGTTATGTAGGATGAAGACTTGAACTTTTTGTCTTTTTAGTAATGCCTAATGACTATTAAAAAATTTAAAAATATAAAAATTAAAAGAATTTAAGCTAAACCCTGCACAATAAGTGATAATCACTTCAACTGCTTTAAGTCAGACAATCTTAGATAGTGTTATTTTTCGTAATTTCAATTAATTTTACAATGTTAAATCTATCAAACGTAGTTTTTATTAGATATATAAATTTGGAGTAAAGATGACTAAAACTGATTAGTATTGTATGACATTTCATATTTGCTAGGGTATATTTCCTAAATCTCATGTAGAAATAATTGATGAAAGCTTAAACTTGTAAGTGTACGATACATATATATCGGTTGAATTAAATTCATGACCTGTCGAAAATTTACAAATACCAATGTAATACGCTAATTTCGAAAAGTCTTTAAAAACGTTAATGCATTTAATATTATCAAGGCGCTTTAATGGAACTAACACTGTAGCTGATGAAATTGTTGATACTATTCGAGACTGGTCAGATTCATGGGATAGCCGATTTAAGGTATTTCCGATGAATTTTTTGTAAACAGTTTATAATTTGATTCTGTGCCGCTTAAATTACTGTAATCTAGTGCATAGAGTATTATAAACTTGAAATTATTTGGACTGTCATATTTGATTGTTTCAAGAATTGAGGGCCTAATTAATTAATTATTAACTAACGTTTTAATCGCATTATTATTAATGGAATTATAGAATCTTGAAAATCGTTACATTATTCATACTATTGGCCAAAAATCAGATCAACTTATAAAATTACGTGACAAAATTTTGGATTATCGTTATTATTCACAGGTACTTAACCTATTCTAACATTTTATCTAAATCTCTATGTAGCACGATGTTATTATACCCAATTTTATTGCAATTAATTTCATATACTGATAGTATCAAGTGGAAGCTTTGAAGAAAGAAGCTATCCAAATCATTGATGATACCAATAAGTAAGGCTCAATAGTGATATTTCTGTTCGATTTCATCACTTAAAATAATGATAACAGGATTTCAAATATAGCTAAAGCCTAATAGCCATTTCACTGGCAATTAATAGTGATACTATACCTGTACTTATAAACTAAATCGTCTTTTATATTTAACGATGCGATGATGTTTGCCTGTTGTGATTTATAAGATAGTAGACTCAATCATGATTACATTTAGTACTCAAATTTCATCAGTTGACCTTGGTAATATTACAACAATCTAATATGCACAGTCCGAGCTCGATAAATTGCTGTAATTCATTGGTTATAATGAACGTTTTTGTCTAATTGCTTTGATAATTTCACTAAAATTATTTTATAGGAATCTTAATTTTGATGTCATTCCTCGCAAAAATAATTTACCAGTAAAGGCGGACAACTTAAATTTGGCACAATTATATACACTGGTAATTCCACAGATTAGATGATCATCTTAACTTGATATGTGTATGCATAGATTTAGTGATAACGTTACCTCAAATATAAAATTGAATTTTCTCTATTTCTATCATTACAGTACCGTGAAGGTTCCGAAAAGGAAAAGCATGAAAAGGTATGAAACAGCTCAGAAATCGTATTTTATTAATTATGAATTATAAGTGTCAAATGCCATTTCTAGTATTAAATCCAATACCATAAAAGACAGAAACTGAAGATTTACTAGCATAATCGTCCGTATATTTTACCATGCATTCTTCAATTTATAATTATAGAAGGCCTATGTAATGGGAGATTCGCTCCATATACTGATTAAGTTAGAGACTTTCCAGTGGACGTTAAGCGATACATCTGAGGTTATTGTAAGATTATATGATGCCGAGTATAATCGCTTTACTAGGTAAATTTATTTTATATTAAGCAGTTATTAACTATAAAATGTGAAAGATGCGACTTAAGGCGTAAAAATTTGAGTGAGAAACGTTCCGATATTTAATGATTTAGTGATAGCTACGTTATCAGCTTAACGGAAGATGCACAGCCGACAGATCCAACAAAAATTGGTAATATCAAATTCATTTTTACGGTAATTTTAGCATAATTACTATGATTTTAAGCGCTTTAATATACTGTATGTAATCTAAATTTAGTAGCGAATTATAAAATTTATATTTAAATGCTTACAGGAAATCCTTTATGAAGCTTCTGTCAAGAACTTATACGTTGTTTTTCGTGTTATAAAAAAGGGTAAGATCCATCACAGTAACTGAGTAGCTTTGCAAATAACAAGACTTTGACTATTAATTATAATCAGTTGATATAAAACTGCAAATATTGCAAAATATTAAGATACTATCTTTCTTAAAATGTTTATCTCTAATTCAATTTCAGCTCCCATATCTAAAAGCAGTGCACCAACTGTTCGTTCGAAATTTTTATATAGGCAGCCTTATGGCTGCGCAGGTACAACAAAATCGTTAATTCAACAATATATAGCATGATGCGCTACCAAATTCAGTTATATAGCTAGTAGCAAAATCCTGACCTTGATATATATAGTTCAGGATACAATCTTTAAACTAAAAGCAATAATTTTCTTCATGATTTTTAGTCTGTAGTGTTGCTCAGATGGTAGCCAACAACAATTCTGATCAATTGGATTTGACTGGCTACACGTAAGTTGGCAATAATTTATCATCCTCTCATGTTCTTAGTTTTTGTTAAAGGGTTAAATATATGTATTTATGCGTATCGATTGAAATCTTGCCTAATGTGTAGATATGAAAATAAAGATCGCGATCACTTCGCCAATTATCATGAAATGCTTATCGAAAAATTGACCAAAGACAGTTCATTTACAGCAGAAATATTCAGTAGGCAACGTTTAAAACTTAATCTTAATTCACATATAGCTCGACTATTTTCATTTACTATCATGGAAATTTATCTACATCAGTCTGCTGTTTATCATTTAGTTACATTTTGCCATATTTTAACTTATGCTTTCGCCTTTACTTAGAAATAAAAGGAACTAAAATGATTCTGCCAGGAGACTTTCATGAGGTATTATCAAAATAGCTGAAGAGCCTCAAAGATAAATACGTTGCTAATTTGTTTGATATATTGACAAATGAAACATAATACCATGATATTATTGGTGTCTATAATAGCTTAAGAAGCATCATCGTCTCGAGTTTAGTGAAGCAAGCATAATACCAAACGTAGGGTACCTTGATTGGAAAAGGCCAGGTATAGATTACATTTGAAGTTTTAATACAGCTTTGCTTTCGAATTCCTTTGTGCTTGATGGCGTAAAATTAATATTGATCGACGTCTACAAAATTTAGTCAGTATTAATGTAACGATGCTATCCTCACATTTATGCTGTGATTCATAGGATTGCCTGTTAATGAGCTATTTGTTACGGTGATTAAAACTGAAATAGGAAGTAAGCATCGTTTTTTAACTAGTAATCTTTGTTCTATAAGTCATTCAATAAATTTTTATACTCTGAAATTCGTTCATTCGTTCTAAAACGAAAAGGAGATCGATCCAGTGAAAGCAATATTGAAATGATCGTTAGCCTTATTTCTAAAACCACAAAGCGGCCGTTACCAGTAAGTTTTTTATTGTATTATCTATTTGATCAATTCCGAGGAAAAGGATTACTATAGCTTACAATCATAGCCTAAGCGATTTCTTTATTGTGTATATCGTTCAGGGGTGTTTCTCTCAAGGTGCTAATAGTGAACGATTTACATCACTTTCAACTTACGTTATTTATCATGATAACGATCCGCAATGGAAGGAGACTTTTAAGGTAATTTCTACCTTTGTAGTCACTATTATATTACAAATTATTCATCGGTGTTACAATAATGGGATATAAAACTTAGCGAATCGAAAAGTTTTCATGTAATTTATTATATTGCATCCTACTAGATCACAATTCCAAATGAAACCTTAGATAACTATTACCTCAAATTCGAGGTACAGCATCGCTCATCGAGAGGTAATCAATTATTTTTAAAACATAATAAAATCAATCTATTAAATCTAAATTATTTTAATGTCACTTAACTCTAATAATTCCGTCGTTAAGTTATATCAACAATATTTTAAAGTTTCAAAATACTAACAATGACAAAATTAATGCACTTGTACAGTATTAATGTTAAGTTATTTAATTAGGTAGCTATGACTGATTCTATGATGTAAATCTATCTAAATCATACTAGTTCATAGCTTGCCATATTATATCAGACGTCATTGTAAAATTGACGTAGATAAGTATCTAAAATTGCTGAATAGTATTGCTGACGAAATGACACCGAACTAAAATATTTCACACGACCTGATTATTTAAAACTTTTTCATTTCATTGACGTGTAAGAATTAATAATGTACTGTTAGATGTAAACTGCGATCAGGAATAGCGAATTTATTTTATCAATTTGCGTTTATTCCCTTATATAACAGACAGAGATCGGGCAATAGGGATATCTTACTTGAAACTTTTAAAGCCTAATGGAACTGTCTTAAATGACGGCGTCTATATGTTAAAAGTGCACAAGGTAGTTCTATTAATTTTTTAAATACCCTTTTTAAAAAGAACTTTCTATTGCAATTAAGATTGTTAACAAAATTTTTATCACTTATTGTACAAAATTAGGTAAACAACGATTATTTTCTATTTTTTAAATCCTACTTTAAGAATATCAACTACTTTTTAAAGATATTACTATTAATTCGCCGCTATAAACTAATCTTTTGCATAAGTAGCATGAAATTAGTTAAATATCTACCAGTTTCTAGTTTTGCACCCTATTTTAAGAGTATTAATTACCAGCAAGAAGATATAAATCAGCGATATTACCCCAAAAGATGTTGATATCTTTCTATGACAATTAGTATTGGTATTCTAATCTATTGGATTACTTAAACTAGGATAAAGGAGAAATTGTATCAGACGAAGTCACACCAGCTCCTAAGACTCGTCGAGCTTCGTTTGCATCTAAAGATGAGACTATGACGGTATCAATACAATTTCGTTCTACTCAGCTAACGCAAGATGGTAAATATTCTAATTATTTATATCTCAAATTGATGAGATTTAATTGGGAATAGAATTGATTAAGTTGCTTGTGATTTAGCAAGTTTACCTTACCTAAAAAATTTCTGTTGAATATGATAGTCAATTTCTTACGAATATTTAATTGGCGTAATGAAAGTACCGCTTTGGCCATTACTCTTGAAACGTTTAGTAGATTGAAAGAGGGCGATCTCCTAAAGGTATAAGCAAATAGTTGTAGTTGATAATCTTAATTGCTGTTTTCATTACATTGAATGTAATTCGTCGTGCGAACATTGTTCAGTTTGCAACAAGGACCTTGAACTCTCTTCTCGAACTAATAAGTGAAAGTAAGAGCGAGCACTACGCTGCAAAAGCCATGGAATGTTTGGTAATACTATTAAGCAATACTGATGAAGCTGATTTAGATCAAGTTTCAGCAGCTACGCTATCATTTATCATTAGAGACAGTATGCTGTGTTGATAATAGATTGCTGGGTGTAATTTTAACGGTATCATTTCGACATCTTAGATCAGCATCATTCGCGTAATCGAAAAACATGATGCAAACACATCTCCCAAATTTTTGGATACCTATACAAATAGACACATCACTACTAGTAATGTATATAGGTAATTATGCATCGTAGATCTTTTAAGAACTGTAATTGAGTGTTAGTTTTATTTCCAAATATTAACGTACGGACTAGGAATTTTTCTTGAGATATATTGTGTTTTTACATAGCCAACAAAATATCATATTTGGCTTACGGAATTCTTCAGTTTTTTAACAATTTTTTTGTTGGATGCAGGTATATTTTCAACTATATCATGAGACGATTAGATCTGATAGTTGCTGGCGATCTTTCATCAGATAGCAGTAATGATTTCAAGGTACAAACAGTCGTTGTGATGGCATCGCCATAAGTAATTTGATATGACTCCAATACGGTATAGGAAGAGCTGTTAGTCTAATTAGATAGTATAATTAAGACAGTAGCACAATCTATAAATGACCACTAATTTATCCGAGTATAATTTCTTATGATACTGCTATTATATGGCATGCTCGTATACTTGTACAATCACAGTTAATGATATCGATGTTAAGTACATGATAAAGGCAGTTAGAATCTACCTTATATCGCATTTTAGTGGTAGGCTTATATTCTGGGAATAAAATGAGCCTGTAGTTAAATTTAATTGTAATGTCCTAGAACTAACCGCTAATACTAATAAAGAAATAATGAGTACAACTTTTCCCTGAGAGGGCTATTTGATATAACGAGTGTGCCCATCAATCGCGCTTCTAATCCATTCTTAATGAATAATTCAAACTTCTTTACTTTTAACCAATTGCAGATGATTCCATCATTACTCAAAATTATGGTATCGTCCTATTTTAAAATAAATGCTGATCCACTGTAAGTTTTAAATTGATATGTAACGTTTATCTAACGTTCTACTTGAACTTGCACTCTGTTTAATCCAATTTTAAGTCAAGAGTAATAAGAATAATACCTGTCATCTCAGATCTTTGAAAATTATCCACGAATAGATATGCTTATTTGAGTAATTAGAAGAAGTATTTTCACAACTTTATAACATATCTAATACAATTCGTATTAATAGGAAAGTTGAAAAAGCAACCATTAACAAATATTGTTCCGGGATATTAAAAAATTTACTTAAGCTGTACGAAATAGATGGTGATCACCTAAATGATATAAAGGTTAAATGATATAGAAAAGTTATATAGTCATGATTTCAATCTTTTCAGTAGGCTTGCATTGTAATAGTACTTAATATCTTCAGATAACCTTTATCTTAAAATTTCATTCGACCTCTTATTGTACTTATTAGGCTTTCATCTTATCTCACTATATGGAAATTTACCACACTTGTAAAAAAGCCTATGGTGATGAAACTGAGATAATTTCTAGTTTATTAGCTAAGATGCATAATAATAAGCATCGGATTGGTGAAATAACGCAAGAGAAGTTAAACCTGATAGCAGCGATATTAAATGACAAGGAATTATTGAGATATGGTAATTCTATTAACATTTCTAGTAAATACTTCACTTAATACCTAAAGGATGCAAAAAGGTGTAGTTGTCTTAACACAAGTTATACTTAATATTGACTACCTGAACAGTATGTGCAAATTTACTCATATTGTTGAGGAAGTATAAACTGATTAATTTGTACATCAAACAGGCTATGAGACTAGAATTGTTCCTGATTGCCTTGGACTAATTCATGATCATATTCGATTGTCCCTACAAGAAGAAAAGAATGATGTATTGGATATTCCGATTCATCTGCTTGAATTAACATCATTTGTAAGTCCCTTTACGTTTAATTGAACTAGAGCCCAAGTATGGTAATAAAGAGGCTCTGAAGCATGAGTTTACCTAATTTATAGTTTGGATTAAAAATCATTGAGAGAAGCCTTAACTACTGAATATTATTTTGCACTATAATTACCAGATTAATGTACCAAATGAAGGCCACCATTACCACATCTTCAACCAGTTGCAACAATCTATTACTACAGCGGTAATTGCAACGTCTAATTTCGGAACTAAAACTTACGTAAGTTAAATTAGACCCTTTACTTCTATACCCTATAGTGTATTAATGCCCGTAGGAAATGATCATGTACTTAATTAAAATGCATCCATGAAAATTATCGATAGATAATACCATCTTGCAATTTGATACTTAAACAGTTACGCTTCAATTTTTTAGACTAAAGCAATCGTCGTCTTTCTTGGTACTTTGCAGTTGAGTCGCAATGATGATATATTTTTTTATTTAAGCTTCCAAAAACGGGAAGAAATTAAGGTAATATAATTATCTATTTTGTGTCCTAAACCAGTTTATAATCGGAATCAATGGCTAATAGATTACATTATGTCTTGCCAGTTAAAAAGTATATTCATGGATTTAAATTGCTCTAACTGCAATAAAATGAAAGAAATAAAGAATCGATCTTCATTTTATATACTGTACATTTGTATTAAAATAGGAACGGATAGCTTTGATGTTTTTGGTGTTCAAATCAATACTTGAGGACAGAGTTTTTCCTAAGGAATGGTTTTATTTCAAATTGGCAGCATTCCAGTAACGTTAACTAAAATTTATTGTTAGATTGATCGAAAATAGGTTATGCTTGATATCTAATCACACTTTCATCTTTGTGATAATTATTATCAGAGTTATCATTCAAAGCCTTGGTAGCCTTTCTAAAGCAATGACTCAAAATTTCCTACAAAAAAATTACAATCACCAGGTAAGGATCGTAATTAGCTCTCATTATCAATTCGTCCGTATAAAATCAGTTATTTTTTAAGAATAAAATTCTATTGGATTGGCTGTTTTATTATCGTTTTTACCTTGTTATTGCGTATAATAAAGTTTCTTGTTATGCTATCATCTTGCAACTGTAATTTTTTTCGTAAAGAGTTCAACTTTAAAATATTAGATAATTTATCGATTATAAGTAGATGATACATTCTAAGGATAAATTACATGGAATGGAGTTATTTTAATAAATAATCCCATTTTTCAGTGCAATATAGTTCGAATTTTTTACAACTAATTAATCTTTTATTCTTTCTTTCAAAAATTAGATTTGGGACTCTTACTTTTTTATTGCCAGTAGCTTAATACTGGCTAATACTCTTCAATTGGAGTCTTTTTCGACTAACAAAAGAAACAAAATATTAGAGACGTACATCCTAATTAATTTAAAATTTTCTTTCTGATTATAGCTGTGTGTAGTGTATTCTGATTTTAAGGAATGAAAGCTTTGCTGATTGTCGTAAATAATATTAAACCAATGGTTCAATTAGATACGGTGATTTAAGAATTGAAGTTGCCAAACAGATTGCTGTAATGTGGGAGCTATTAGGTAAACAGAATTTAGCCGGCAGAGCATTGGACAAAATTATGTAATCAATTATAATTTCCAACTTCTCTTATAGTAATCCTAGCAATTTTGTAAATAATACATATTTTGCTGTATGATAGATTAAATTTCATATATGATTTTATAAAGCATATGATAGGAAAGAACATATACCGGCTATTATTGGAACCATCCTGGAATTATCTATGGTTCCTGTAAAAGGTTATAATACAACACGGAAACAATCTATATTTGCTTAAAATGTGTCATAGCAGTTATAAGCAATGATTGTAATGGATATTAATTTATATGTATCAAACTCTCCAGTATATGAAAGTCATATTTGAAGGGCAGATATTATCCTACTACATGGTTACTGACTGTATCTATTTGCTTTGTAGAAATACGTAAAATTATGATGACCGTAATATTTGACATTGTACTATTCCAATTTACAATAAATCACGATATCAGACAAGTGAGACTCAAATACTTATCTAATTATTTACGGATTTAGGCATTTTCCCGAGTATGTTTTCATTAATGTTGTTGCTTGATCCTAAGGTGGAAATTGAAGCTCTCGATAAAACTCATGAGTTAATTAATTCCGGTAAAGGCGACTACGAATATCGAGAGATTTTCTATGACACGTAAGTATCGTAGAAAATAATTAGCAAACCCTAAACTGCTATACTTAAATTTTAAGTTTAGAACTTATGCACTTGTCATACTATTAATAATCCTGAAAAAATCGTCCAGTTATGTCTAATTAATTATCTTTGTAGAGTTACCAATATATTCCTGAACGCTAATTGAGATCTTATATGTAAACTATCGCACTGTTATCTTTGCTTCTATAACCAAGTGCCCAATTTAAATAACCTATTATGACTAGAATTTTATTATATTTTTATTCTATTATTGATGACAAATACAATGTTTTATTATCTTCCTTACCTTGCTTTTATGATGCTCAATTCTAATGGATATTGGGATAGAATCTCTGTAGTTATTGTTACCGTTAATGCTAAGTAGATCATCTTGTTATTTTTATAGCTTTACCAATATGTTACTCAATTCGAAGTATCTGGATGAACATGGTCGCGTGTTTGTTAATAACATGACCGATCTAATTGATAAATTACTTGACTATAGGTAAGGTTAAATTAAAATTAATACAATGATTAGTATAGAGTGAAACTATCAATACTTAATTACTATGTAACGCGGGCAAAAAAAATCTTACCACTCCTTAATGTATTACACATTGCAATCACTGTATATCGGCTTTAGCCAATAATCAGACGCAGTTATGTACCTGCGCTAATTTATCTAGCTTCTATATAATATAGCCACGTAGCCTAAAGCAACTAGCCGGCTACAAAATCTTCTTCATTCAATTTATAATTTAATCATAAATAATCATAACACTCCACTTATGGTATCAAATACTAACTTTAAAACTGAATTCATTCCTTTATCTGGCGGATTGATTATAGAAATTTTCATGTCGAGAATCAAGATGTAAAGTTGCGATGCCTTAGAAACCTCATTGTAAGCTGTCAATCATTAACGAACATGTTTGATTGTAAATTCTTTCGCTATCTTAAGATAAGATTTTACTGTAATTATATTGATACTCATAAAATCGATAAATGATAACCGGAGATAATGGAAAAGTTAGGTGAACTATTATATAGCTTTAGTAAATAACGATTTACGTCTACGAATATTGGTAAAATTTTGTATTCTTTCCACTAAATTATGGCTTAATTGAAGCAAATTTTATACGTTCAACAACAATTTCTAATGATTATCTGTAATAATTGCCACCTTTATAGGACTTTTATTACAGCATTAATTATCAGAGTCTATATATCAGGTATGCTGGAAGGCAGTTATTCATGTTTCTAAATAATATTTTCCTCAATGAACTCTAAACATGTACTGGATTTTTAGCTGCAATATTCTAGTATAAAAGTGTTCACATTTCTTAAAAATTGCTGCGGCTACATTTAAAATTCACAAATATTTCAAAAAATACGCTCATAGTAACATGCATGGAGAGTTTATAGCATTTCTTGAATGCGACTATTTAATATTTTATTAGATACTTAAACAAGTTCTATCAAGAGCAGTTAAAATTAGGAAATTTTGTTGAAGCAGGATATACCCTATTGCACTATTCGAATAAATTGACGGTAAATTGCTTTCATTTTTATTCTCGCTACATTTCGGACAAAGTCATTCCTTCATGTTAGTTAATTACAGTATATTTACAATACGTAAATGATCTAATGTGTCATTTTTTTGTTGTTAGTGGTCCAATGATTATCTACCCGATGTTGCTCATACTAATTATAAAGCCGAGACGGAAGAACAACGAAAAGAGAAATTAAATAAAATGGCTGTGGATCTATTTATACAAGGAGAGGTATGATATGCTGTAAGAAATGTTAGATAGTTAGATATTGGATAAACTTATCCTACTTTGAGCTTGTTGTAATTAATTTGATTTAACGTCAAAATTCTGCATTGAGTACATTTAATTTATCCATTGCGATTACTTCAATTACTTATCGGCTTAAAAACAAAATCAATGAGATAGAATGTTTGTTTGCTTATGCGTATATTAGTCGTGGGAAAGTGCTATGTCTATTTGCCGAGACCTGGTGCTCAGGTACCAAAATGAACTGGATCTAAGGAAACTTAGCGGTATGCTGGTACGTAATATCTAACTAGGTGCTGCAAATCGTATGATCACGCACATGTATATTTAATGTTTCTAGCTAAGTGTAATTTAGGAGTTTATTAAATGGTAAATCTTTCTTGCTATAATTTTACATCTAGTTGTGCTAAAAGAAAATTTATGTTGATTATATCGAATATTGCTGCAATAATGTTAATATCATACATATTCTCACCTCAAGTATTGTGGCAAATATGTAGTTACCTGTTGCCTGATGGCGCTAATTTTACTCGTTATTAGTCCGTTGCGGTTTGATTTAAAGTTGTGTAATACCTAACTCATTTTGTCCTAGAAAAAATACGCGAATATCGTGGATAAAATGTTAGATTCCAGAGTTGTCCTTCCTTATTTTTACCATGTTGGATTTTACGGGCTTCGCTTTCCAAAGCTGATCCAGGTACGTACTAATATGAAATATTGCATTGAAAGTAAATCGAAATTATATGATCGTATAGTGTTTAATATTTAGAATTAGCAACTATAGTCAATTTTCATAGTGTGCATACTTTATGATACTTAGAATAATGTTCGATTCTAGAATCTTTGCAAAACATAGCTCTTTTCTTACAATTTTTATTGCATGCTGTGATTGCTATCCTTAACTAACTTATTAAAATATTTACATCCTCTTTTAGAATAAAACCTATATCTACAGTTCATCGCAAGCTATTACTGATTTTTGCAGTACGCTGCAAATCTACTTTCCAGAAGCCCAATTACTCCAAGCTAGAAGCGACCCTACAAAATACTATCGCGATGAAGTTCAATGTACATGCTTAAATAAATAAATATCTTTCTCTATTAACGGTCCTAAATGGTAACTACTAATGTTAATTAACAAATATAATTAATGTTCAAGATATTCAAATCATGCCAGCAAAGCCAGTTATAGAATCTAAAGATTATATATCATCAGCTAAAGTTGAAGAAACTGTCAAAAGGTAAGATATAAATTACAATAAGGATAAACGATACCCTAATGGAACTATCGCCTTTAGACTATCAATAATCTCCGTCATCAAATTCTTGATTTGCTACTTAAAATTTCCACTTATTATGCACAGATGCTTTAAAAGAAGCGGAATTGATACTTTTGAAAAATCAGTTGCGGTACAAATTGGCAAAACAGATTCCAATAATGTTTTCAAAGTAAGAATGATTGAAGTAGTCAGTTATACTATGCTTACAATATAGGTATTACCTTTGTAAAAGTTCTAGCACGTTTACAACATAAAAATACAGTTTGTTTAGCTCTACATGTTTCTGGTTGTCTGAGTTCGCTTTATTACTAAAATCTGTGCCATAATTTTCTTTTCAATTCAAGTCAGAAACCCAACAATAGCACTAACTATTATTACTAATGTTATCATGAGATTTACTAATTGCAGTCGACGGTTGAAACATATGTATATGAAAAGCTAAAATCCTATATATATACGAGATTCTAGTAATTTTAGAGTACCTAATGCTTCAATAACGGGTTCGATAGAAAGCTTCTATAAGTACAGGATAAATTAATTCCATTTTTATATCTGTAAAAGATAATGATTCTGTGCATTTTATCAGTCTCTAGGATTAATTCAATATCGGTTAAAAATAGAGAAACCACTTCCTGGCCTGCAACTATGGTTCGAAGTTATTGATGTTGAAAAGGTTAGTGTTGATACAGACTTTATTTCTAACAAGTATTACGGTTATATCATTAAAACTCTATGGCAAGATCGAGAAATATTGCATGCTTGTTATGTTAGGTGGTTTAATAGTACTGTGTCATATCATGCACATATAAAGCAATGTAACAACCTGGAATTGTGCATTTTAATTAGAAAGTATTGCAGCCTCTTGAGCATGCAGTAGTTTCACTACAAGAAAAGTTGGAAGCTTTGGAAGAACAAATTTTAGGGCTGGAGAATTCTGTTAACGTAAAAATCGAAGCTCTAACACTAGCGTTGCAGGGTACGATTATAGCGCCTGTTAATGGTGGTTTGGGAAAATATCAGGAAGTAAGATAATCATGCTATGATTTGACGGTTGTTAAATGATGATGTTTCCTATTTTATTGAAATTTGCTCACTGTTTGATGCGTGCTTGCTAATTCAAATCTCTTCCTCAATTTAGGCTTTCATTTGCCAAGAGTACCTTGCTAGCCATATTAATGATATTGAACTCGTTGTTGAGCTTTATGTTACACTTTTAAAATTGGTAATTATAACTGGAATTTTTAGTTGCGAAAATATTCAATAGAACTGTTGATTCATATACAATGCTGATAAATTTAGTTATTCATTTGATCATTTGTCCAAGTTTTAAATTTATCCTTTATTTCAATGTAATTAAAGTTGGTAGTTTTAGAAAATGGCCTTATAGTTCAAGAACGTTTAATAACTAATCAAATGAAGCCTTTGCATGATAAAATGTGGGAAGCTTTTCAACGTTTACGGCAAGACCTAGAGAAAAAGGTGCTTTACTTTACCGAATAGGTTGATGTAACTGACGTTGATTATCTCATTATTTCCAAGTTTATGTTTATTTTTAAGAATCAATTTGAGTAATGATTAGAATTTAAAATTTCTGTATGCACGTATAATAAGCCTATAACGTTTATATTTATAGGGAGAGTTTTTGGCGGGTGTACCCGGTAGCAGTACCATTCTACAACATCATGAACAGTGGTTAAAAAGGTCAGCAACACGCCGTAAATCGAGTTTCAATCAAGTTGCAAAAGGAAAAATTTCTACTACTCTTTAGTTAAGTTTCGACATTTCAGTCTTGTTCACTTTTATCGTCAATTCGCCATATCCATATACACGTATCAGCTATTGGGCAAGTTGCATATGCTTGCAAAATATCTAAAAATTTTCTGTGTTTTGATTGTTATACTTTTTAATTGGTGTCATACTCGTAAAAGGTAAATTATTATTCTATGGAGCTGCTTTTAATGATACGACGTTCATTATGTTTATTACGATATTTTGGTATAAAAATCTTTTATATATAATCGTTATCATTCCATATAACATATTGTTTGTTCAATGGCGGTGTTGCTCCTAAATTTGTGCGTATGGTAAATTGTCCTATCAGCATGTAAGATACGAATTTGTGACTACGCTTATTCTGATGTAAATCATTGTTAGAACGAATTGGCGTCATTGTCACCCAATTCACTCTTGCGATATTAATCGTTGTTATAAACGTCATCATTAGAAACGTTATGTATGCTGTTTTAATTAACCCGTTAATACGCGTATGATAAATTTATACTTAATTAATACATAATATATGATATTACCAGCGTTGAGAAAAGAAACCTGGGAGTTATGTGAAACACTAATATCTTGAGATTTCAGTTATCAAATCATGGATAGGTGGAATAACTAATTGTAAGTTATTTCATTTCGCTTTCGAATTTTGATCATTGTGTAACGACTATGGTAAACATAGGAATTGGCGCTGTTAATAATACGTATATCTATGGTTACTATTTAAGCTCATTTCTTCTGTATTACCTATCGGATGGTCGAACATGTTCTGATGTGAGCAACTGATGAAAAATAAATCTAATTTTTGTCGTAAGATTTTACTTCGCCAATAAATGTGCCAAGTATCACGAGCACCTGTTTCAATCAACAATTATGTAATATAATTTACTGTCATTCATCCAGTAATCCATGATCGTGGAGTGCGGTATAGATGGTTCAATGAATGTCGCTACTACAGTATGGTTGCATGAGATAATTTACCTTGTAACTTTTGTGATCATTAAGTCGCACAATATAAAACTCAGAGTTTCGATTGTGAAGGGGTAAAGGTAGGTTAAGGTTAGGTGGCAATTAATTTGAGATTGAGGACAATTCGAATGCATAAATCTTGATGATAGGAAAATATGTGGATTTTATTGCTTTACATATTTGGCCTGAATCTGTCAGTATCGATTGAAGATGTCCATTCAATTTTGAATTTTACATATATAATTCAATTACTCTAACATGGGAAGCCTTATGATATACTTTGAATGGATTCGAATGTTAAAATAGACTCGTCTATACAGTACCACTAATTCAGTAATATATTGTAATACTGTCTATGGTAACATTATTTTATTTCAATTTCAATTCGTTCCAAGATATCAATCCAAAGGCATCTTTCTTTCGCTATAGCAGGCAGTTCTCTTCCTGCTTTTCGGACCGATCAGAAGATTGAGTTTCCATATTACAGTAATTACTATAGAAATTACGGGTCCACAGTACAGTACCGTACCGTGACGTCATTGAAGAGCCCAGTAAGCGTCACTCCCATAACTTGCATCCCGTATACGCAGGCGTAACGAAAATGCTGTACTGTACGCTCGGACGGCTCGGTAACATGACTGGTCACGTGTGTAGGATTGTACACACAGTACTGTACTGTACTGTACAATGTACTGTACACGTACTGTGCATGCTCTGTCAGTGTAAAACTATCTTTTACAGTAGATTCCTGACAGTCACTTACCGATCCGAACCGTGGACCCTTTTTCATTTCGACAGTGCGCACTTCCAACGATCGCCGCTTCCTTATTCTTTCTTTCAAAGCATTGAAATGATAATATTTTTTTTACTGGCAGCGAAAAATGACACCAGGGTGCATTAACGGCTAATGATAAACTACCACCCATTCTGTCTGTGGTGAAGTTACGCATTTTTGATTGCAGCAGCATTTCATCATGAACGAAGACGGCAAAACTTGCACTGTTGTGTTACTCGATGGAAGGAGGTTGCATACCCATATACAGGTTTGCGATAATTATAATAATGATTGAGGAGACATACTCTGTAAATAGTGGACGTACAGGAATACAGTACTTGAGTGACGTCGTCGTCACCCAGAGAGTAAATTATTCTGCAGTGAATTAGAAATACAGAATGCCAATTTCTTGAATTCGACATCAATGAATCCATTTCTACTTTAGCAAGCTTGTTCCTCAAGTTAACCGGCTTGTAGACAGTACTATCGTATCCAATCTTATCATTGACACATCACTAGACTTGAACAGGAGTATAGGTTCGACACCGTCCACTCTCGATGTTACTATACTCCAATGAATATGCTGTAAAGTGCTAGTGTCATCGGCGATCATTGCTTTATGTTGTGACAATACGATGTAGCCTTCTGTTGAAGAGGTTGAATCTGAAATGCCATCTAGTGACTGGATTGATCGACTATGACTGGAAATGCTTAAAACACTTTCGCTTACTCAGTAGGTACATGCTACATGAAGTATAATTATGCAATGTTCAAGTTTATCACCGCATTATAATGACCTAGAGTATTTCCTTGTGCTCTTTCCGAATTCATTACTTTACATACTGTACTCGTATCCTGGGTACTTTCTTACTTGTGGAACATTTTCAAAGCCAAAGCTAGTTGTCGACTGCAGCTACGCCAAATTGAGTGCTGTATTGCAGTAGTGTTGCTAATCCGTAATCATTGATCAATCCATAAGATCCATTCTTTATTTCGATGGTACTCACCTAGACCGAGATACAGTATGTCTTATCAAACGAGATATTACTGAATGAAATCGTTCCCACTTTTATTGACAAAGTTTGTCTCTGCCCTTTGAGTCAAAGAATTTGGGGGGGGGAATTAATTAATTCACAACTTCAATTTTGCAACTGCAGTGACTGACTTGAACTGTGTCAAACACTCATTGTGTGAGTGAAAAATGATTTGTGTTCGATCGGCATTTGAGGACGTACGCACCCAGTGTTTGACGTCCGAGACGGTTGACGCTAGAAAATGAGTTGAAACTAATGCAGTCACTGTCGGCGACAGTTTCCTCAAGGCGGAAAGGGAAAAGAGCAAACTTGGAGACCAAGATAGAAACATACTCAAACAACAGTACACCATACTATCGATAGTATGATTCTACTTTAGCTTTGGCGTTGCTACTCCAGCTAGAATGGACTACCCCTCCATATTTTGCGGTTGGCAATGAATTTTCTTTTCCATTTAATTTTATTAACTATTTTCAGTGTCAAAATTGACGAATTACTTTTCAGTGTCATAATTTACCCTTTACGTCGACTTTGAAAGAGTTACTTGCAACTTTTAACGTCTCAAAATTACTTCTTCTCAAATTGTTGGCAATGCAGACGCCTGGCCGATAGTATGAAAGATCTTTTCACTATGTTGATTTTATCCCCGACGTTAGAAAAACATTTTTATGGTCCATTGAAATAATCAAATCATATCGTCATTGAAAGCTAGCTAGACGTTGTCTGGATACTCTAATTTTAGGCTGGAATTTTCTCTTACAAATGATATTGAAAGAATGTCTCTTATTCAAGACCAGATTCCATTCTGGAAGATTGATTGCTGCATAATACTTACTATTTATGGATATGAATAATAATTTTGAATGGGGTTCAATTATTTTTTGTTCATAGGAAAAACTATTAGCCAGAGAACTACTTGATAGAATTTGCGCTGAGATCCATTTAGCTGAACGAGAATACTTTGGGCTAATCTTCAGAAATGAAATGTAAGTTGGACTGGATATTGGACTAAAAAATAGCGACCCGAATTATTAAAACACGGAATAAAGGGACATTACAATCTAATTTCCAATGTAAAAATTAAAATCATTTTATCCTAAAATTAAAATGCTTTGTAGTTTTCTTACTATATTGCCAGCTACTCAATCGCCTGCAAAAATTACAAATAGAAATCGATATTATTAAATTGATAATTATTTTCTATAACTACCAATGGTCTAACGCAAACGAGATTAATTGGTTAGCATAAATAAATGATTCGATAGTACTGATGTAGATGATTATGAATTACAGTAACGCCAAATAATTCTGTCTGCTACTGTACGCCATTTCATTGACCATCGTAACAGTCCAACGTACCTTATGGTTTGATCATATTAAATACTGAACAACAATATGCAAGAAAGAATTGACTAGTACCGTCTGGTTCATGTCATGGACGAAGGTTCTTGTACTGTATAGTTCAAATATCCTATAATGACAATACAACTAATATAAGCTTGATTCGCTTGCAGATTAGATTAGAAATTCCAATATCGTTGTTTTCCATTCTTTTATACAATAGTGAAGTGTAAATGCTTTTATAATCTCGGAACCTGCAAATACGCGGAGACATAATAATTATCCTAAATTTACTGTACTACTCTTGAAAATCGACTCCTTAAGTTACTGTACAGCCAGTTTTTTTTCACTGTATCAAGTTGGGTCTTGTCATTGATGACTTGGCAACAATCGCTCTTACGCTTTGCCAAAGGAATGATTCGTTTGTTTTTAACTGTATGATCAACAACATTTCTACCGTTAGCAGGGTAGAGAGAGCTACGGAAATACTATATCCTATATCCGATTGCTAAATGTAGATCCAGTGTCCATTCTTCCTATCTTTTCACTGCAGTAATTAATTTATCTTTTTCGTACAGTACCTTATACATCAAAGGTACTCAGTAGTAGAGGAGTATGGAGAGATTAACATGGTCACAGTTTTAAATTTTTAATCTCACTTAGTTTTGAAGGAGACATTTCCATCTACGAATCAATATTAAAAATTGAAGAATGCTTTTTATGTCATGATGGAATAAAAGCAATAGTCCCAATCGCTGTATTGTAACCAATAACGACCTTTACTAGTAACTTATTTCTTCCCTCAAAACCTCAGCTCGATATGTAGTATAGCACATACAAGTATGCCATAATGGTCGTATTTTAATCATTCGGAAACCCTTTGGCTTTTAGAGGCGTATAGTAAAGCAATTCGTTTGATATAAACTTGAAACTTTATCACCCATAACTAGCGGAGAAGAAGTTTGGCTTCAAATGGATAATCCCGTCATGGAGCAAATGCCCCCTCAATCTGTCTTAAGGATGACTCTTAGCGTTCGCCATTACATCGATGATGTCTCGTTGTTACACGATGGCACAACAGTAATCATGTTCTACATGCAAGTTCGTCAACTTATCTCCCAAGGTCGACTTGAGTGCACCTACGATACACTGTGTCGCTTGGCGGCTCTAGTCTTACAGGTCTGGATAAATTTTGAATTTTAAAACCGTTTTGGTACTACATGAGCCGAAAGATGTCTCTTTACTATAGCATAGATCACCAAATACTCTTTTGATTCGGTAGTCCACGACAGTAGTCGTACAACACTTATTTATGTCTTTGATTCTATACTGCGTGATGCATTTGTAAGAAATCGTATTAATTATATTAGTAATGCTACAGTCATATTTTTAATTTTGAACTATCCTGGAACTGCAGTGGCGTACCCTAAACATAGTATGCACGTTAGCAGAACATTTTAACTGCTGCATATCAATTTTTGCTGATTTCATTATTTTACTTTACTTTAATTAAGTTATTTACTCCTTGTTTTTATCGACTACGAATTGGTTCGGTTCCATGTTGCTCTATTTGTGCTCATGAACATCAATTTTATCTTATTTAGGCTTCGAGAGGAAATTTTACGAGGTAAGCTAATAAAAAAGAAAACAAATTATATTAATAAAAATTTTTACTTTCAAAGTGATTTTTCAACCTGATATGGTCAATACCCGTATAACAATGCTAATTGTACTGTAGTACAGTACTTAATTTAACTACATCAAATGTGTTGAATGGAAACAGCGAGCTAGTATTAATGGCATTTTCCAACTTTTATGTCTGGATCTTTTATCAATAACTACGTTGTTATCTCTCTTTTGTGAATCTAATTCTACAGTACAGTACATCAAATTTTAAATGTTTTTAAATTAAAATCCTCATTATGTATTTAATAACACACCAATTAGAATGCCCTATTTAAGGTAATATCTTTTTAGTAAGTCATTCTCATTACTGTACCTTGAGCACCGTACATGAAACAGATATATCTCTGTCGATATAGATAACTAGTTGGTTACGCAAACGTTAAATGTTTGATTTAATTTAAAATGCTATTCTCGTAATTGTAATTTTTTTGTTTTAAAAGCGAGGAGATTGCAATTGAGCAATTAAAACGCACACAATTTCTACCAGCAATTATATATAAAACTGATCCAGCCTTATCATCATTGTAAGTTTAAATTCAATGCACTTATCGTTTTCAGTACATTTTATTAGTGACTTGTATACTAAATAAATGCAGCACTTCAATGTAACGAACTGGAATTGTTCAATCAACTGTTGAACAGAAATAACTTACAGTTGCCTGAGTAATATTTTGAAAGGATTGTAATACTCTTGTTGATTTATCTCTTTTCTTTCATGGAAACGAACAGAAGAGGAAAAATTTGTTCTAACTACTGTCAAATATACGGTTGGAGCCGAGGGGATGCTATCATGAGGTGATTCAACTGTCTCACATGTGCCGAATTTGCTCTTCGTCCATTTTTTTTGTACAATATCTTCTTTCACTACAATATTATCAATGGGCTGATTTAGCTCGTTTTACTATCGAAATCATCTCATTTTAAATACCACATCGGTAATACAATTGTTATTTGCTTGTCATGCACTTATTCCACTTAATTTGAGAGCAGAAGTCGGTAGTTTTTTCTTTTTTATGTTTTTAAAGGAAAAAGCATTTATGCAATTGCAATATAGAAATACTTACTTTGAAATTATAATTATTAATCTATTCATACGCTATTGATGTTGAGCTTGCAATGACTTATATACATTGAAATTACTTATGACTTTAATTAATTCAGATAATATTAGCCAAAAATTAATGCAATGGCCTTAAATTATCCACGTCCTTTGTATACCTTTACGGATAGATTTATGTCGATTGTGCAGGATATCCCAACGTACGGATTGCATTTCTTTAAAATGCAGGTAAATAGCTTCTACGATTTGTAAACTATAAGACCATTTTACTAGTCCTGAAATAATCATAAACTTAAGTTTACCCTATATTTACATTGCACATGGAAAAGCTTGAATCCTTTTCCGTTAAGCTTATCGGTTTCGTATACAGACTTTATTCATTGGTTACTAATGCAGAAATTTTAAATTTAGATACCATATAAAGTAAATGTAGAATACGATTTATTGTTGGTACATTTTGTGTTGTTTTATTCAATTTTCTACACTATAATATGACTAGAATGAAGCTGGGCGACAAATTTATGTGGGGGTTAGTCTTCAAGGAATCGGACAGTTCTGTTATGAAGACAAAGAAATATGTCAGGAGGTGATAAATTATTGATTACTTTCATAAATCTTACTTGAGATATAACTGCATAGTTGTTAGAAAATGTTCATTTACTGACCTTGATAGCTATAATGAAGACTGTGTGTAGCGATGACATAGATGTTTGAACAGTTTATGTTATTTTATAATGTTGCAACTTTAACGTTATTTTACTAATTTAACAGTTTTACGCGTGGAAGCAGCTAGAGAATCTATACTTTAAAGACCGAAAGTTTACTATTGAAGTCAAAGTCGCAAGGTATTTGCAGCTGTACCTTCTATATTTATGATTTTTACCCTGACATATTGTTAAAACAACACATTTATAGCCTTTGCGTAAATATACGCTAATACTAGAAACACTTCAGTATCCAACTACTTCATCATTTAGTGTGATTGATCATTTTATTTTGTAATCATAGGCAAAATTCGGATAAAAACATGCTCGAAAGGAGAGAATTCAAGTAAAAAATAGAGATTTGCTTGATTTCAAGTAGAATGTTATTACACTTGTTTCGAAATTAGATTTATTTAATAGAATTTACTATTACAAACTCAAACATCTACCGTAGCCTAGTTAATACTTAATAGTAGATTGCTTTTCAATAGCTGTTATATCATTACTCAAGTCTGGTATGGCTATTCTGCATCTAATACGCGAAGACTTTGGCTAGAAGCTATAAATCAACATCAGTTCTATCTATCTAGGAGTAAAACGAAAGTATGTTAACAACTATAGTTTGTACCATCTTTTCATTCTATTGTTTGATCCTTACTAAGGCTTCGATGATAATGATTGTAGGTTCCTCTAACTAAGAATCCGAAAGATATGATCGAAGAGATAACGCATACTCATTGCAATTTATCACAAGGATCGTTAACTTCGCTTGACATAGACCAGGACGATAATACAAGAAGTAGCTTTACTAAATCCAGTTAGTAGCACACATTAATTATTGTAATTATTGAATGGCTCAAATAATGTGCTACTTTACAAAATTAAGGTGTAATAATATCCTTCAATTCTAGACACCTGTCCTAATCCTGCTATTAGTTTAGCGTTGGATGGTGTTACAAAAACTTCTGCGAGTAGGAAAGAAGCGCTAGTTGCAAAGTTACAAAATAAAATTGACCAGTTGCGACAATTATGTTTGAAAGAGAAGGTAATACGTTAATGTATAATAAGCTCTAATTATTATTTTTAATATCTGCGAAGAAACCTCTCATAATATTTTTTTACGTCAAATAGGAAATCACTGGTGTTTTACCGGAAGGATCTCCATACAGTTTTGAATGTCTAGAACCTCTCAAAAACAATGATCTTGAGAGCAGCCTTTCACTTCGTCAATTGGAGGTAACAAATCGAAAAGTAAGTATAAGAATGGGGAATAGCTTACGTACAATATGTAGTCTGCAGAAATTGTGCTGGTATTACAAAATGACTGATTATATTATTAACTTTGATAGAATGATATCGTCCTTTTGAAAAAAGATATTTTTCTACAGAGACAACTGATTGAATCAATAATGGTAAACATACTCTACTAATCGTTTGGTATTTACCCTTGCAGTGACAGTTACATGCTTAAAGCAAAATTTATGTATATCCTTGATCATTTTTTGTTAGAAATTGAGAACTACCAGTGGAAATAATAATATTTGGAATCAGGCTTGTGACGCATTCCATAGAAAGAGTGTAGATAAGGTAAATAATTTGGATACCTTTGACGTGGGGAGGTCTACTAAGCGTTTACTCTATTTCTCTATCGACAAGCTTAGTTATTTAAGTTTCAGTATAAAGATTTAGTGTAATAAAAAATTTGTCTAAATAAGACTTTAAAACCTTTCCTGATAATTTAAGCTTATATCACTTGAAGAAAGTCTTCGTGAATTTGAAAAATTGAACATTAATGGTGCAATGACTTATCGCCATGAGGGTAAATTTTCACTTTTGCTTTACCTTACCATAGTATGAGTAAATAGGATTGAAGGATCAAATTTGTAGGACTTTACTAATTACAACGAAATGCGTGAACTGTTTAGATTCTAATATTGAAGGCGGTATCTTTCGGGAGCAACAAGTAGACACCTCTTACTGTAACAATGGAATTAATGGAATTAATGAACATTACGGTATCAGCAATCATGGTCGTGGTGGTAGTGACCTTGCTCTAGCAGATGTTCGATCTGCTCCTGTTGCACCAAAGCGATTTTCTTCTTTAAGTCATACAATTAAAAGACAAGAGACTGAAGGCAGGTCAAGAAATAAATCTTTACCTAATATCTTTGGTCAGATAAGCGAAGAAACTTCACTACTCCCTGAAGCTCCATATCGATCTCCTTCTGTAGCATACTTGAACCGAAAAGGATTTGAGCTTGATAACGGTATGAGATTGAGTGTTTAACAGGATGCTGATAGCACTTCTTTAAAAGGAAATTCAAAGAACCGATTGTGAACGCTTATTGTTAAAAGTATATTAAGTAAATTTGTTAATATTGTACTCGTAGGTAATCATTCACGCAGTCATTTGTCAGGATCTATTGGTGACTTGCTTGGAAGGCAGCGGGAACACGATAACTATCCTAGCAATGAATTTTCGGAACGTTTAGTATTTTCTAACACTAGTTCAGTACCAAGCCAACAAGACAGTTACGATGAGAGCAATATTAGCGAAAGTGGGCGTTCGCCAGGCAGAGATCATCTGAGTGTTAACAATTATGGACCAAGACTACCAGATTTTAGAAAATTGCATGGAACTCATGCGTCACTAGTATGACAACACTTCTACGGTTACTTCAAGAAAAATTTCGCTATAGCATATATATATACGTAATCTGGACCTTGCTAAATAGGAGATATCAAAAAGTAGTTCATGTATTGATAGCCTATTGCAACGTTGTTTTGTAAAAATGATCACTATTCTGATAGGTATTGATAAAATCGTCACCAAATCGGAATCAGATGCATTATCCGATTCTAGGTACATACTATTTAATTATTGTAAGATGTTGCCTATTTACCGATCATTGAAAAGGATTGCTTTAGTGCTTATAACATTTGCCTTGCAATTTGTAAATATCGTTAAAATGTAATATACAATTTAGTGGGCTTCTAAACATTACGAATATCGCAGATCGATATACCATCCTCATAGTTTGTAATATCATTTCTACAGTATTATATCCAGTTAGGTTTATATTCAACAAAGCTTAAATGGTATTTACCAATTTTATAATATGAATACTAAATGTTAGTTCTAAACTGGCGTACGCATACACATATATTCTATAAATGACAGTAATTTTAGGTCATTTTTGACTTTCATTTTATTTCATTTATCGATGTATCATACAATGAAATTAATATCCAATATTGGTAAATATTCGCGTGTTGTAACCCGATGCCACTACATTAATTAATTGATTATTATTTTATTCACTTGCGATGGAATGTATGTAAACAACTTCTGATCAAATTATTTTTGGATGAAAATTCATTTTTTTAATGCCATTAGGAATAAAATCAAACCTTGTGGAATTTATGTGTTTTATACCTATATCCTAATAGATAAAGCATCAGTAAGCTTGCAATATTCCACAGTAGCTCCGAACTAGCCATAAAGGCTTCCGGTTACAGCTTATTTAACTAGGGGTTTTTAAACTTTAGCACATCAAACCATTCCTTTACTCTTACTGCTAGCGTACCATTTCTAGCAAATGCATTCAAAACCGATGAAGTAGTCTGCGATGATCTATTACCAATAGTACCTAATGAGATGACCCATACAATGTCTAATTGGTTTCATATACGTAATTAAGAGTGACGGCAATACTCGTTCGAAAATATAAACATACCATTATAGGAATCATTTGTGCACACTGAGTTTGACAATGAAAGCTAAAATGATTTACAAATAATTAATATTTAAGTTTTTATGTTTTGCCGGTGATAATGCAGAGATACGACAATAATTATGTGTAAAGAAAGAATACCTTTCTGTCTAATTCAAGATGAGAAGCAATGAAATGGGCAGAAACTCCAAGATTCGATGGTACAGTAATGTCGATATTGCCTGTAAAATTCATTCAAATTTATTGTGTATGGCAACTCTAGTTTGACAAAACTATCCATATTGTGTAACCATCAAAAAATAACTGAATTTTGACAATCAGTATTCAACAAGCGTACACATAATATAAAATTACCTTCAGTTGTTTGCAAATCTACATTTCCGATTGCATGGGCATCAACATGAATGGAAATTGAACCATCCCGTGAAGCTATTTCAGCACTACCAGATAGACTATCTATATGAATTCAGGCCTCATTTAATCACTATAAAATGTTCAAATATACCCACAATCGTAAACTAAAAAGAGTAAGATTTTATCAATACCAATATCGATGTTTGCCAATGATGTTGTAACATTCATATGACCTGCAATGTTTAGGGTATCCGTTAGCTAAGATCATATTTATATTTATCTAGTCGTACTCATATATTGTAAGGCCAACAACTAATAACAGAATGAAGGATATCATGGTAACATTTTACAGCTAATAATATGATTTGAGAACACAACTGCTAGAATTTACCATGACAACTGCCTAAACGAATTAAACCCATTTCAGATTTGCAATCCATTGATTTGCAATATACTGATTCAACGGCTACATTACCTGTAATAAATATATTAATATTAGCATTCGTATACAACATGCTACAATGAAAGTTTTCTATAAATTATATTATTATAACTACCGCACTTGTCCAAAGTACACGGAAGGTTGCACACGTTTAGCACAGTACAATAATATTTTATTAAGCCATCACAAGATCACCTTTATCAGTTGTTAGTGATATTGTTGAACCCTGAAGCTTATTTGCAAAAATTGCCTAATAGAAATAAAAAAAAGCTGACGAGAAAAATTGCATGCTATATACTAAATTCGATAATAAGAATAAGAACAGAGCATTAATTTGTATCTACTGTGTCTCTCCTTTTCAGCAAAATATATCGCCTACAAGCTACATGCTACAGATCATTTTAATTCTTGATAATACAGAATTGGAAATATTACCCCAGAAGATCGGCAGATCGCAATGTAATCGCCTAAAACATAGGAGTGATTGGTGATGCTTCCATATTTACATTCAATTTCTAGATTGGTAGACTAATTTATTAAGGTAAATATGGAAATTCAGTTATACCGCAAGTCTCATCACCCGAGCGTAACAATGATAAGAATTATCAAACATATAGTAAGAACACAATTGATCAGTCTATTTGAAACGTAAAGCCTTAATTTATACTGCATCACCTTCAAGGACTTGGTCACACATGAACCATTCAGTAAATTAATTTTAATTGCCCGACTCTCTAGATTTTCAATTTGTACATCTCCATCTTCCAAGTTAATATCCAGATCTACGTATATTGCATTATGCAGAAAGCACAAGTTGCTAAAGTGCGACTAGATCAACTTGAATTACATGGGAGAGGGTTTAGCAATTATCAATTTCTTGGAGTATAAATACCATAACTGAAAATAGCATACCGTAATGCATAGGAACTTGAAGTTCGAACTGCAGCTTGTTGCGTAAGTCTTGCATCAGTTCAGGCTTGCTATTGATTTTGATATCTGAGCGATGATTGGTATTATTCTTTTCGATATCAACTTGCAATACTTGATCTACCTGATAACCATCGTGATCAATTAACCGAACTAACATTTGATCGTCAGACATCATAGGAATAATGCGAGCCAATTTACATGGCATGGAGATATTGATTTTTCCTCGAGGTGCGACCGCGTAACTCGTTAGTAAGCGGATATAAGCAGAAGCTACTGGTCGTAACCTCGATAAGAAGAAGGCCATGGCAATATTAGCTGACCAGCGATGGAGTTAGCTCAGTAAAATAGAGCTACTAGCATTCAAAATGACCCCTAATGACCAACGAATAATATTTGCGATATTGAATAATTTCTATTCCCAGTTTATCTCTTGTTTTAACCCATCAATTCTGCAAAATATAAGAGCTTGCAGCCAGCATCATCTTGCAATTGATTCCGTTGCAAATGCTAGCTGGGATACGAGAGTAGTTGCAAGGATTATAGTATTTCTATCCATCCATCCGACGCACTTTGTACTGTAATTCTCCGCAAGCCATCCACAAACCGTTTCGTCGCCTTAGTCTACGTCGGCTACTCAATGAATTGAAAGAGCACTATGCCTAGATTTACTATCAGGTCGGAGTTACAGTCACAGTACACATAGTACTGTACTTACTGTACTCTGAGTACGGTGTCAATTTCAAGGAAACTCTTTCAAATCGTTATGGCGGGATCGACGTGGGTCCAACGGCTTGAGGTACAACAATTACATTTAAGCTATTTTAACCAAAATATTAACGCAGTATTCCAAGTAAAAGTAAACAGTTACTAACAAGTGAAATGAAATTGATTTCGCATATGGCTGGAGTGATATATGATGATCATGACAGTAGCATTTGTAATCGTTGATGGTGTAGAGTCTCGATTGCCCTTATGTTGAAGATGTCGACGAATCATGGGTGACCGAGTTGATTTTTAAACCGGGAGAAGCTAGAATACGCTTACTGCAATGGCTGTTTGCTAGGTGAGCATCTAAGGATACCGCTATACTATTCCTTTATGGCTTGATGATGAGGAAAATAACTAGATTATCGGCTTATGATATGATCGTAACGATTGATTTTTTTGTCTACTTTTAGATTAGAACCTAGTATTGAAGAAATATTAGATAACCAAACAATACAAGCTTCTGGTCGAGGCGATTCTAGGCTACAAAGTAAGCGTCTCATTAGTTGGTTGTTCTTAGTAAAATAAGGGATATCAGGATATTATTCCATCTCTTCTACTTTATATAGATTGATACTTCTTCAGTCTTAGTCTATCAATTATTATAATATAAATGTACCTTAATGAATTTTGGACGTCGGAAACGATACTTGAAGAGTCCAATTCATTGTTGATGTTGTTTCTCAATTCAAAAAGCATTGCTGTTTATTGCTTCATCTCTGGGCTTATGTGCAACACACGATATAGAGTTGATTAAAGTAAGTCTATGCTTGTGCTATGGTAATTATATTACTCGATATCTGTTATGAATCCTGTCAACGTTGATAGCAAATTGAAAATGTAGAAAACTTTTCCTCACGGTGTAATTCATGATCATGTAGGGGACATGCCCAGCTTCTAAGCAGAAAATCTTTATGAATACTTTAATCGATGTCGTTTGTGCTATTGATCAGAGTCAGAAAATGGGAAGGTATATAAAATTTTGACTTAAGAAATGGAAATCATTGTCAACAAATCACCCGATCTCAAGTAATGTTAAAAATTGCCATTGATAGCGGTCATCTGGAAAAGAAATTCACTAGCAATTGTTTACTTATGGATAAAATATGCCATCAAGAAAATTTACAGCAGGTCTTTCTAACCAATATTAATCTTTTCCCCTATGATCTAACTAATATTACAAGGGGAAGTGAAAGTGCATCAGTAACGGAAAAAGAGTAAGCTATTTTTAGATCAAATCAAATTCTGATACCCCTCCTGACATGAAAAAATTCTTACAATCTTGTATATACAGCCTCATTTCGTATACCTCAACATAATAGTTGTTCCGAATCATCCTATCTCTCTGTATCAATTATAGTTATAAAGATTTGTTGGACTCTGCCAGCAGTATCGCTGATCAACTGGTTGAAAGGCAAAATCAGCTTGCTGATTTGAAAAGCAGCGTACGCAGCAATAGATAGATACAACGAATAACTTTGGCTAGCTAAACTTCAGTGTTAACCTTATGAATAATTAACATGTGCTTATTTTGCTTGCTAGTATTCCCCATGTGAATACGACATGAATAAGATTAGGCCAATTTTGCGCCGGCTTAAGTTAACCTTGTCAACGTTAGCTCAAATTATGGCGGGTTTCTCCCACTGTTATGAAACAGAAATTAAAACTTGGTGCCAAAAGCCCTCGCCAAGATTGTCAGGTAAATGGACTTATATGTCAAATTTTATGCTCGATTCAGATTAGCGTAAGCCTAAAATCATAATCCTTTTCGATGTCATCTTGTGCAGCTCTAGGACTTGTAGTGAAACGTGTCGATAGCTTATTAGCTCACTTCTCTCAAGTAAGCAAAATATTATCCATAAAATATATGTATTTGTCTCATTACTTTAGCTTGGGAGAAAAAATTATTATACTTTCTTGTATGTAACTAGACATTGCAAGGTATTGCTACCATTAAAGGATCTTACGAAAAATTGGGTAACGATTTTATGACGCAAACTGATGAAGCTTTATCAGAAGAACAAATAGCGACTGTTAAAACTTTAGGTATGTAACAAAGTCAATTTTATACTAATTAATCTAAATTTTTTTATCTGATTTGTTCTCTATTCGCGTATTGCAGATGGTGTTAGACGTTCGGTGGATATTTTAGAAAAATCTGTAAGCAGGCTACTTTCTAACTAATAGCAATAGCAGCTAAACTGTATATATTGTAATACACCTATACTGTATTTCATATTCACACTATAAGATACGTGTAATAGTATTCAATCGATTAATATTAACTCTCTATCTATAAACCTTTAATGAACATCAATGGAAGATGTTTGAACCTTAAAAAACTATTAATGCCTTTGCAAAATTTTTAGTTGCCTGATAGTTTTTGCATAATAAAATTGAAGAGATTATCAGGTAAAAATCAGTAATTTTATATATCGAAAGTTTTCTCAAATTAGTGGAACATTTTCATTAGATTTTCAAGAATAAAATTGTATTGTTTGACTCGTTTCCTAAGACATTTGTATAGCTGTTACTTTTTACCTATGAATGTCGCAAGCATTAATAATGTAACAAAGTTACTGTAATGTCTCGGTTCACAATTGCAATCTAGAAACCATTTAAGTATACCCTTCTTGGATTGTATAAGTGATGAAAGAAGACTGTTACAACATGGCATCTATCGTAAAATTAAAGTCTCACTCTCAAATGTTAAGCATACGTTTGGTGTAACATTTAATTCCCGTTCAAATTCTACTAGTAATGTATAATATGAGACTTGTCGTTTTAAAATTAAATAGCATATACTGATCACTACCATATCTAGATAATAATTATATTATACAACTATTTTACTGATGTATCTCGTACGGTGTCATATAGTATACAAATAAGCTTATTTTCAAATAAAGTTAGCTTTTGATCTTATACATTTGAGACAAATTGTCTTTCCTATCCTGTTGTAGTAATTTAGTAATCGTCAGGCCGCAACTGCATTTAAGATACAGGAATACAATACAATTTATTACTCAGTACTAATAGTTGTTAAAAGCATTAATACAGTTTATGGATTAAAATTATTATATAGCCAACTATAAATAATACAAATTTTGTAATTGTATAAATATGGCTAGTAATTAATTAAAGTGTCAAAGTATTGCTAGTAAATGGTATCAAATATAGAATTATGAATTCCCAAGTTACAGGCCAGAACAGTATTCCTCTACTTTTGTTGGCCAAAAGACATAGTTTTATTTTAACTCTAAATTAATGATTAAATCATGTATGATCTGCACTGTAAAAAAATTGATTGAAATATTTAAGAGTATAAAATTTACAAAATCTGTCTACAGGATAAATTTATGACAATATTAAATAAGTTTATGCAATGAAATGGTTGCAAGTTTTTACAAATGGTAGAATAACATGAATATCTTATAAGATTGAATATGAAAATTATGCTATACTGTATCAGCGATACTAAATAGGCGCTGCTGTGGTTAATTTATAAAGAATAAATGATTTCCATTCGGAAGCGATAGCAAAGGTATTGATACAGACATGATAACATTCGATTCGGTTAGTTCATCATCTGCTGTACGAGAATGGCTAATAAAATTGAGATAATATTGATAGAGGCCGATGTTACTGCTTTATTGCATACTTGCGCAGTTGCTAGCGATTCCTATAAATAAGGCAAAAAATGGTAATAAAAGTGAGTGTTTAGTATATTAAAGGTAAAAAAATGTATATCAGATCGCTATTAACGCCTTATTCTTTCAAGACAGTATACCGTAGCAACTTTTGAACAATATGAAGGTTCCTTTCTGAATAAATGTAACTGTTGACAATGATCGAAGAAAAGTGACACTAAGTTAAAGATCATAATCTAATTATATAGTTGTTAGCCCACTGTTTCCAAATTATAGCTAGTGAAACTATCAAAGAATTTTTATGAATCGATATAATTGATATCACCGATAAGCCACATTAGTAATAAAAGGATATTTTGTTTAGATTCCAATGCAATTGGCTGACAATTGCACGTTTCTGTGTCATTAATAACTAACAGGTACAGGTTGCTATCCGGTATTGAGCTGATGACATATGGTCTAGTGTAAATTACATGCAATTTCATTAGTAGAATTTTATTTAAATATAGATCTAATAATATGGGTTTTTTGTGATATACATCAATTAAAGGTCCATATTCCGAAACTATCCTAGCGCAAAACAGTAATGATGATTACTACAATTCCGATATAATGTATACTATTAGACCCTCGGCATTTTTTACTACTTGCACGGTATAGTTTGCAAATCTTAAAATTATATCTAATTTTAAGATATAATGGACATATAAATCATCTGTTGCCAGTTTAAGTATTTACAGTAAGTGAAAATTTGACTAAAAGATTACTAGAGTATAATCTTACCTAGAACATGATGAGCATATGCCAGTGCCTGAAGCAGAAGAATTATAAGTTAAATTAGTCCGTAAAAGCCTACTTATTAGACATTAGTACTGAAACTAACACCCATAACTTACTAACCATTGTGTGTCGTAGTATTTTGATTGATAATATATAGATTATTAAGTAAAGCACAAGTGTAGATGGATGTATTCTTCGATTGTGGAGCATCACAAACACCTAATAATATATAGTGTACAGCAGATGCGCTTCATTGGTCAAAGTTAATAGAAAATTATCCTACTTCTAGGGTAATATAAAATACAACTTACCTGAAGTACTTGAGATCCAGTACTGAAAAACACCAGCCAAATGAATTATGGTCCTAGAGATTTGAATAATAGTTATTTGAAGCTTTGCGAATAACAGATTGTCTTTTTATTCCAATTTATGGAGATTAACTTACGTTGATAGCTGTGCTAGCCATCCCATTAGAATTTTGAACGACAATCGAAATGGCTGTGAATATAATGCATTATATGTCAAAACTTTCAGTGTAGAAATAAAAAACTTGGAAAAATAATTTCTAAAAGGATTAGATGAAACTTACCGTTAGTATTTGACTGGCGCTGCTTGCTATCGTATAAGTATTGACTGGTTTTTGCCCATTACATAGCTGGTTATATGTCACAAATTCCTCTCTAGTTACATAAAGATAAGATTCAGTTATACAGCAGAGATATTAAATGAGGCAAACTTTTTTTATTACGTATAGCTAATGATTCGGGAATTTATCTTGAAAATATTAATTTTCATAGCAATTTTTTTGTCGATATTTCAAATCTCTACAGAAGATATACTAGGAATTATCGTATGCATTATTCTCTTTTTACTGCATGTATACTAATCAACTTTAAGGTTAAAATAAATCTTCAAGTATATTAGTATATGTAACAAACGTTAGATGTTGTTAAATAGTAGATTGGCATAAAATTCATAAAACTAAAAGGTTAAGATACACCCATATTAACAAATGTAGCATATAAGTTCATGTAGCTACCAAATTATTAGACAAGTTAACAAACCTTGTCATTATTTTCTTATCAATCAAACTTGTAACAACTGCTGGTTCATAAACTCCTACAAATTTCCCTTCGCGCACCTAATGATGATTAAGAGCATGATAATGTAGTTCTCGTATTTGCGGTTTATGAATTGTAATGGAGCATACCATGAAATAAATGATAGCAACTACTTAAATATATTATAAACGATCCCAAACATCTCGAAATTAATAACTAAATTAGATTAGCGTCGTAGGTTTGTTTACTTACGGGTATTTGAACTTTATGTGAATGAAATGCCATACGTTTCCGAGCAAACATAACAACGTAGCCATTACGATCCAGGATATAACAGCGTAGACTCTAGAAATCAGAGGTAAAAAAAGGAGAGAGTTGTTAATTTACCGAAATCAGAAGTAGAAATTGATAAGATATGCGTAAATGAAATATACGAGGATAATATTAACAATATAAAACTCTCAAGAAAATATTACAATTGGAAATGAAATCTATATTATTATTCATTCTAATAACATTTATGGGCCATGTAAATGTTTACGTTTACAATTGCTGTTAGCAAATATTCATATTTACTGGTATTGCGCTAAAAATGTGAGTATCTAGTAATAACTTAGATTAAACTTAGACAATAATGAATGCTTTAAAGGATCAACACGATAAGTTATCAATGGTAAAAGTTGAGCTTAATAAAGTAAATAATATAATTCAGCTTACGTTATTGGTAATACATTCCGGAATAACCTCTATTAATATTTGGAATAGCAAGACCGAATTCATTTGAAACCCAACGACTAAAGGAAAAGCAAAATTAAAATTTTCTTAAGCGTCTAAAATAGCGATATTTAAACTATAAGCTCTTTGAAATTAATTAATATCAATTCATCTCTACTTTAGCTAGTTTTACGCACCTCCAACATTTGCATCCTCTTCCAAAGAAATGGCTTTGACTACTTCAATAGATGCAACAGACAGACTACTTCGATCTGTTAAAAAATTAGAAGATATATATTAGATAATGCCGTAGTCGAAAGTATTCACTATCGCTTAAGGCATAAATTTTATTTAAATCACGGAGATTTTTTAAAGCATGTGAAGTAACATTTTAGTAATCGTACATTTTTTTCTGGCATCGTACTTATAGCTAATTCTATTTTCTAAAACCTAGATATATGCATATATACTTTATGTATGTACTTATAAGTCAAGAATTTTATGAAGAAATAAGGATATACTAATCAATCTCAAAATAAAACTATACGAATATAATGTTTGTTTACGGGAAGATAGCACTACTTTTAATTTTTTAATCAATTACAAAAGTTCATTTATTATTGAATAATGCTATTTTTATTTAACAGCTATAGTAAATTTTACCTAAATTGGCCAAATAGACGAATGAATTAGCATTAATTTGAGCTACTGCCAAACGATAATAATCAGCCATAATGGTATTCTTAGGGATACTTGGGACTTCACTAGAAATAAATAGAGCAACGCCTTGATAGTTTGTATGTTATATAATATCCTACTTAATACTAGTGAATATATTGGAATGAACATATTCCTAGGCCAGAAAATATTCATCAGCCGTTAATCAGTCTAATTCGATTGTTTGTATTCTAGATATCAGTAATTTTTATTTTCAAGTAATGAGTTCATTTAAAGCCGAGAAGATTTTTCATTATGCTATTTCTAATTTACCTAATGGCACAATCACCAGATAGGCTCTCCTTGCACTGAAATGATCTGCAGAATTGATTTAATATCGATAAGCACTTCACTTGTTTTATTCATTTATAGTATCTACTCTAGTGCATCCTACGGATTAATGAGAATGTAATGTTGTGAATAGAAAATCTTACCCTCCTTGGTAAAGTTTAGTTAGTCCACTGCTTGAGCCATAAAATGTTCGAAAAATGTAGTTTCTACATCGTAATTAAGATATTAATCATGATGATAAAATTCAGCCGGAATTATGGAATTATGGACTATATATATACAGATTAAATATTGGTATTGCAAGACAATGCAAGGAATAATCGCAACCTTTTAGCATGTTCTCTAGCTATTTTAGTCCAATAATCTTCTAGTTGCTGTAGTATAATTGCATCCAAAACGAGCCGATTTGCAAGATCTTTCGAACCTATACGAGTGCGTAAGCGATAAATTCATTAATGTAATTGACTATTTGAATACAGGTATTCATGCTCGTCTACTTAAGACGGTAAAATAGGTTTCCTATTATAAAAATTACTGTCCATCTTAACAGTGGCCTATTAAATTAATGCTAGTTTCAAATTTGCAATAGACTCGTTAAGACAATTGAACTACTTATGACAGCTATATCCCAAGAAGTATTCATCTTTGTTCTATTTAATTTGTAATCATAATTACATTCATCAAATCCGGCATTATTAGGAGAAAAGACCAGCTCGCTTATTCTATTAATGATGCCGCTAATATTACTAATTTCTAGGGTAGGTCGTTGCACAAACAAAATATCACTTTCATCTTGGCTGTATAAACTACAATAGCGCCTATATAAATGAAGAAATTAATCAGCTTTAAATGAGTGAAAATTAGATCATAGTTAATGGGCTAAAATACTAGTCGTCTCAAAATTTGAAAAAAATTATTGTACCAGATTTGTAGAAAGAGTGGAGACCGCGTCCTGCTATTTAACAAAGCTAAACCTATGTCAAATAAAGGAGAGACAAGGAAGAAAGATAAAAATTGTCCATTAATACACGTTAATTATGCTTTTTTTCCGTGACTATTTGCACAACATATTATTCCAACCTTCTGTTTTCTCTTGATTAGTGAGAGCAGTTTCAAAGTTAAAGCAGCCTTCTTTAGGTAGAACAGTACCGAAACTAGAAGAATACCAGTAATTTAGGTTCATTTTAATTAATATCGCTGAGAAAAAGAAATTAGCGCACTGCCCAGAAGGAATACTTTGCATAGATTAAATGATAGATATCAACTACTGTAATTGGTATTAAGACTAATAAATCTTCTATGCACATTTAAATTTAACTGCTAATGCTAAACAGAATTTGGTCAAAATGATACTTAGGCCCAAACATGCTCAAATAATTGTAGTATTCGCTTATGTTATTTAAACTTATACTTTCGTTTAATTATCTTTCTGTATATGAACTACATATATAAGAATTAGTAGAAAATATACGTATATCAATCATTATTGATACGAATAACTTCCAATGTGTATCCATATATATACAGAATAGAACAATGAATAAACTCTTAACTCGTAACATAGTTGAAAAAAATCTGATCATATTAACGTTCATAATATGAATACAATTTAATGACCCGTTCGCCTTTCTAAATATAATTGCATCAAGTGCATACTGCCAATTCAAGACTTTAATGGCTCAGAAAAAAAATGTGATAATTGTAACTGACATCGAAAATATAAGAATTGCTTAAGCCCATAACATAAGGATGCTAATACCGATTTTAACTACTTCATATTACTTAATTACCGGAGTAAATTTCGTAACACAGCAATATCAGTAACTGAATATCTTTGCTGATAAATTTACCTAAATGAATCATTCAAGACCGGACCATAATGATATTGCCTTTCCATGTACATAACACGTTTCTATTTCAATGTAAATAAAACAAGTAGGCAAATTAATGCCAAAATATATAGCCTATAGCACACTTAATTATTTCACTAGTTTGCTATTTCTTACACTGTTAGATAAGTGGACAGTAGTCGTCACATACATCATACCAGTTAATCTTGAAAGCATATTCTTACGTAGCTATAATGAATAATTTAGTAGTAATGTCGATTAATATTTTATTCTCAACTAATAGTAGAAGTTATTGCTATCTTATTTATAATTTCTGTTTGTAATAATTGCTCGTCTAACCTGTTCGTTATATCGAATTTTAAACTCCACTACTTTACCGCCTGCAGTAACATTCTGGACCTAGTTGGTATTTGAATATTAGAAAAAAGTTAGAAAGTAGATATACGGGAATTTATATCATATCTATGATACCAATTCTTAGACTACACACATTCTATCAATACAAAGCATTAGCTGATTTACCAAAATGTTTCCATGAACAATTTCTAAATCATGCATTTGCAAATCAGGAGGATCGCTTAAGTAGCCTCTCTAATTCGATTTAATTGCATAAATTTTGACAGAGATTAGATGTTTTATATAATTAGTGTACATGAAGAGCTTAAATATCGCAAGCTAACAATGCAATCATTTCCTTTGAGTCTTATTTCAAGAATACTTTACCTGTTCACCAATAATGGGATGAAAGAATATGCGCCCGTTATTATCAACTCCAAAGCAGTAACTATTAGAACCCAGCTAATTTAATATTATAAGTTGAATTATTCATCAAATCTGGTAAATCTATCAAAATAAGCGATACTTTGAGCACTAGTTGAATTAAATATGCGATAATTTACCAAATTATATGGTATAGTAGCATTAACATCACGTAAGGGCACATCGGATCCCATCACTCCGAGTAAGTAATTCTCGGATTGGTTATACTAAATGAGTGGTTAAGAAAATCCGTTAAGCATAGATTATATAGCGTTTAAGGTAAAAACTCTACTATTTACTATCATAGGCTGTGTTATTAAAAGGCTGTGAAGAAGTTTAGGTTTATAGCCTAGACAGTAAATCGATACACTGGCCTATTAAATCAAAATTTAAAAATACCGTTGAGACATTCGGTCGAAAGAAAACAGGAGCTGCTACGGTTGTTAGTAACCCAAGTCCCTATTAGAATAGCATTGACAACAAGTATTAATAATGTAATTAGACCTTTTTGACTGATGAGATATTTATGACTTATAGGAGAAACTATCTCTTTATTAATTGATAATAAACATACAGAAACGTCGGTATAGACAGGACTCCATGTGAAATAATTTTCCTTCGTTAAAGCTGTTGGATTACTTAAAATTGTTAAATATTTCTAAGTTGAAAGTGAATGAAGAGATACAGTCAATATCGATGCAGAAATTAAATAACTACGTACGGAAGGCCAAAAGGGTAATTTTTCTACATCTATATCGATATATAATGTACTAATATCATTTTCTTTTGCAATTATTCAACACTGTATAAGTATTACATGAAAAGTAATAATAATAATGGATAAATAATATAAGCCATTAAAAACCTGAATGTTATCCGGAATAGCTCCAACGTTTGAGATTCGAATGAACTTGCCTGAATAATTATTACGTAATTAGATTGATAGGACATCGAAAGCTGTCACTGACATTATTTTAACCACGTATAAAGGGTAAAAGAGCTATCATATTGAAGAGTTATAACGAATACCTTTGTTATAGCAGGCCATCCAGCGTAAAGCTTCAAAACGTGACGTAACTGTGCCTATTCCATAAGTAATGACACTGATCTAAAGCAGAAAAGAATGTTTTAATCAAAAATGTTTTCAAAGCATTTTATTAGCAAGAATCTTCATTAGACTACTATAGCATATGAGAAAATTAATCGTGCGATCAAAGTAGAAGCTATATACGGCAAATATATTGATTTCATTAATGTACAGTAACCTGTTTATCAGCATTATATTTATCAAATACAGCTTTTGGCCTCTCTTCTGTTCCGTCAGAAAACACCATGATGAGTTGGTGGCATCGTTTTTGTTCCTGTTTTGACCTCGACTGCAGTATAAAGATTATGAACGGAAATTTTTAAAGATATTTTTATGACAACATTTGAATTGCTCTAGAATTAATACAATAACCACTATTTCAGTGAAATGCTTTCCATATGACAAATAAGACATTAAGCTACGTGATGTTAACTGTAACTAATCACACTCTGCAAAAGCAACTAATAAGTAAAATAATTAGCAATCATAATATGATATTGGAATAAAATAGAATCATAAATAAAGTACAAAGCTGAGAAGGTACAGATTCCCAATTTTTGTAATAATAAGTCAGTTATAAGCTCTAATTGCAGAGTACACTTATTATACATACAACTCAGCCGTGATTAAATATCTTACTGCAGAAGTTAAATTACCCTTTGTAACATTTGAAAAGCATAGTCATATGCTTTACTAAAATCAGCTATGCCACCGTCTAGAATATTTGCTGCCAATGCTCTACCGAAAACCTAATTGGATTAAGGATAAATTACTTTCTCAAATAGAGTTAGAATTCAAAAACTTCTAAATGATCAGGTGATATGTATCAAGTTATAGCGGGTATTATAACAGCTCTGATGGCGGCCAAGAAAATTGTAATGAGAGTGTTTCATAGCGAAATAGTTATTCTGCAAATGTAAGTCTTTATTGACGACGTAGATTCATTTCGCTTGTCGGCTTTAAATGTAAACTCATTCTCGGTATATTTTTGCTATCATTGATATCGATTACATAGGCAATACTAGCATCTTATTTTAGCATCATCGCTGACTTTCAAGTATAAACTTACGTATTTGTGAGATTCAGAAGTTTGCACAACATCTTTAAAGCACGGAATGGACAAATTAATGTCTTTGTTAAACTGTAAAATATCGGAAAAGAGACAAGGCTACTTGTTACAAGAAATTTGAGAAAGGAAGCATAAATATGTATATTTTCCAATATTCTGCGGGATTGGTGATCCGATCGAATAAAAGTGGTAATATATAATTCTCAGAAAGGAGATATAATTAATTATGTACAGTATATTTTCTCATAAAATAAATCCGGTGGACTATGAATAATGCTAATCTGTTCTATGATGAAAGAATTTTTTTAAGCCATAGCTACAGCATAATTTAAAAAAGCAACCAGTAAATTATTTTACTTAATGATTAAACGCATTCGATTAAGCTAAAATCACATCAATTTATAATCCTCTTTAATACTATTACATTTACCGCTTGTCCGAAATATGCAGCCTTTATAATTAGCGATTAATACTCCAAAATCAGAATCAAAAACTTGATCCAATTTGACACTTGCGTAAACATCAAATTTTAATTCTATAATTCAACTTACGAAGACAATGTTTAAGAAATCATTTTCTCCAAACGTTCGAATTAAGCTCTGTATGCTTATTTTAGCAATATCCAACGGCATTCCGTGCATACTGCCACTCCTATATTACGGCATATAATCCCACACAGTCATTCCGATAACAATCATTTTAGTTTCTGTGTTAATTAGTTTTACAATAGTACAGTATATATAAATCAGTAATTTGCTGTCCTACTTACACATCTAGTAAAATGACTACGTCTTTTGCCGTGCTTGAGCTGCTAATGTACCTATTAAAAAAAAATGTTTTATAGCTTGAAATTTAGTATTAAAATTGAACTTCAGATCATCCATCTGATATTGGTAATTTGAGCGTAAGTGATATAACAATAGTAGATTAATTAACAATATTTCCTTATGGCTCAGATTAGAGTGTTCATTTTGAAATCAGAAAGCTATAGCTTACCATGGCCTTTTCCGGCAATCGTATAAGTCTTGTCCGTTGGAGTTATAATCTCTCCAAATGGCTCCTATAGCATAATGATGGTTTAAACGTGATATCAATTTCTTTCAAAACGGAAATTAGTACGCCAAACTAGATGGATGCTGACCTGGGTGCAATCGAAAGAAACCAGTAGCACTACCAAAGTATTGCCACTTGATTGTTTTATCCGAGTAATAATTTTTATTAAACTGTGCATCAACAGCGTTTGACCATTCGATTGCATTTAATACGTTCACGCCTAGACATCATTTATTTAAGTGAATACGACATTAACATGTTGCCATTCATCATATCAAAGTGCACTTGATCGAATGATTTCTTGAAACAACATCAATATCTTAATTGAGAGCTTTGTTAAGCTATGCGACAAGAAGTACAGTAATTCTGGTATATAAAATACTACAAAATGTACTATTTACGCTTACACTACTCTTAAAACTGTTATTATGTTAGTGAATTGCTTACCGCCGTCGTAGACATTGGTTGGAACTTGGATTGCACTAATGTTGGCATTAACGCTACGTTGGAAACGATCATTGCATATAAATACAGGATCAGTGCTATTAAGCTGAATTTTCTTGGCATTATACCACTATAATCGGATGGAAACATAATCAGATGGGGAAAAAAATTAAAGCTTATATGGGTTTAAAATTTTTATGCAAGTATGATGGCTACATGGACAGAATGAACATTTAGATTTCTGCGTTAAGAATACTTATTGATGCGAATTTTATATCAGTTTAATTTTTGGTCTAGTAACACACCGTTTTAAATTTGAAAATTCTACTGAATTGTAATTTTTTAGTGAGTTTATTTAAACAGCTAGTCTACAATAAATTTGAAGGTTACATCAGCGCCTTTTAATTATTTGACTGCATAATAGGCAAGGGTAGTAGAGTATTATATCATAGATAATTTTAGATAAGTAATCAGAATTATTTGCGTAGGTAAAAGAAAGTATTGCCGTAATTACCTGTACATCTCCCGGTTTCAATGAATCATTGTATTTGTAATCACTATATGCTTTTTCGGCTACATTAATTAATTCCTAAAGTTATGTTATATCGAAAAGTAAAATTTAGCTGATTAGGAAATCATACTAAAATGATAAATTGTACTAAGATGAATTAAAAAAAATTGATTCAATAATCTTAAGATAAGACATAAAAACGAATAGGAATAACTTGACAATGAGATTGACTTGAAATTATTTCTAAACTTCTAAGCTTATGAAATATTAGTAGTGTGACAGCTAGCGATTAGTTAGATATAGAATTACAAGTTAAAACCCATTTTCTTGATAGCTGTTAATTATATATCATTATTTCTTTATTATTTACTAATGAATAACTTACGTCTAACGCATCCACTTTATTGCTTAATAAGCCACCTAAACGTTGTCGAAATTGAGATGCAATATCACTGGCATTCAAAGAAACAGCGCTGACGTTCCTTGCCTCATAAGCCTAGTGCAATTCAAAGTCAAAATCGTTAACTAATTCATGTTCATATTTTCTGTAAGTGAAAAATTTCTACAAAATTAAACTTTTCCTTATAAATTATCAATACTTATGAAAATGGAAGGCTTGTATAATATATTTTATTCTCTGTTACTTAGTAACACTTGCAGATTTTAAATAATTTTGCTCGAATACTGAACTCCATCATTAGATATTATTATCTCTGGCGATGGATGACTGTAATTATTTATTGCATCTAACACGAAGTTAGGATTAGGTAGTATCATTGTTGCCTTTGCATATAACACTATAGCAGCTAATCATTCTATTAGTTAGTTAGTACCGATGTAGTTAAGAAAATTGAAACAAAAGCCAAAGAAATTAGTGTATAGAGCTGTATTAAATCGTTCATCAATGGAAATAGAAATCAAAAATGCTCAAGAACTGAATAGGTAAAGCATATACTTTTTACAGTATATATGCAGACAGGATAGATACATTTCTCCTAAACTTGCACTATTTATTCCTTCATTATCTTAGTTATGCACAATCATACTGAAGATATTTGTTTCAGAATCCGTCTTACCATGTAAATAAATTTTAATTTAATGATAACCCAATAACATATATCTAGACACCGCCTTCCCTTTTTGAATAGTGAGAGAATTCCATTAATTCTATTCAGCTACTGTAATTTATTTTCTTAGAAATAGATTATGCAAAATCTACAAATACAGCAGTCTTTTTGATATCTATTCTAAGACTGTACTAATTCTACCAATTGGGTAACGTGAGATGGTATCCTGCTATATCATTTGCAATGTCGATATTCGCTCCCTAATTTTTTTACACAGAGTAAAAATGTTTTAATTGCACCTGCTGTCGAATTGGATTTTTAAAATGTTAGAGTCATCGGAAAACTGCAATAGGCTGTCTCTATAAGTGCTTACATCTTTTGCTAATGTTTTAAATGTTTTCAAAAGATTCTAAAATAATTATAGACTTCACGTAGAGTTAGGGTTCCTTAGGCTACTTGCTTTATTTACAGAATCGTAATACCTCTCAATGCTGCAACTTAATTTATTTAATCCTGCTATCTAATTTGGAATATCTTATTGAAATATGTCCAAGTTTTACACTAATAACTGCTGCCGAATTGGACTATTAAAATTTTTATGTTATCAAGAAACTGTAATAGGTTGTCTCTAAAAATGACTAACTCTTTGACTAATATATTAAACGTGTTAAAAAAAATCCTAAAGTGATAGATTGATTTTACGTAAAGTTATGATACTTTAAACTATCTACTTTCTTTCCAAAATATTGATACCTTATGATATTTAGAATTTTATTCATGCAATAGCTATCAATTGATATCTAATGTCAATTTTTATTTAAAAATCATAATTTATTTGCATACCTGGACGATATTTTCAACCGTTGTTAGGGACTCAGAAAGGGTGTATAATTCTGTACTTAATTTTAAAGCCCAAATTTCGACCCTTTCGTTGAGAAATAAAGGCAAAAGATAGGTTACAAATTGATCTCTAAGGTATTTGTATCGTGAGCTAATTTTGAAATTGCAGAAATTAAGAGATTTTGTTAATTTATATCAGAGAAAAGAAAAATGAAATATTTAAAGAAAATTTACTATCACTGTTTTAGCTATCATTGACTGGAGCAAGAAGTATTTGCAGCATGTATTTAATACGAAAAATGTATCCTTTAATTTTTTAGTATAAATAATCCGTATTTAATCTTTCTTCTAACTGAAATTAACATGAGAAGACAGAAGCTTCACAATTACTGTATCTTGAAGTACTGTGAAATTTGCAAATTGCGATAGTATTTTTAGTACTTCATTCTCCAGTCTTGGTGTGGTACCGTACTGCACTAAACTATTTTTAAATCTTTCTACAGGAAAAATTTCTACTGTAGCCAAATAATACCATAGTTATTCAGAGAAGATTAGGAATAGAGCATATAATAATATAGCCTTCAACTTTATTAACAAACAGCCATTAAAGGCAGCGGATCTAATTTTGAGGATTTAAAAAAGATTCTATGTTACAGATAAGTAATCGTCTACCTGTCGTTTGTCAACCACTGGCCTTGGCCAAGTGTTGAAAATATAAATAATATCAATGTAGCAGTTAATAGTTGCATTATAGTCTCTGGATATTTAGTTAGCTTCCATAGTCAACATTAACACCAATCGCTAAGTCTAGCGGGTCCTAAAGGTCAGGTACTAAATATAAAGGAAAAATATCATCAATATTTGACATCAAAGCAAAATTATCGATATTACCTTGTCTATTACTGAAACAGAGATAATTTATACGAGTATTCTTAAGGAGTTTAATCTAACCTTTCTTAACGATGCTCAAATTAACACAGAAAAATCATCGCAGCTAGAAGTACAAACACTTAATAACTGTAACTATCATCTTTACTTCTGATTAGCTTATAAAGTAGTCAAGCAAGTCCACTACTCGTATTTAGGAGTTCCTAATAACGGTGTAGATTGAAATTTAAAACTTTCATAATATACAACGTTTTTATTGTCTTTCAAAAGTAGGCCTTTGTCAAAGGAATTGTAGTAAGACGATATGATCGTTAAACTGGTTAAGAAAAACAGTTGTATTAGTCCCTCGGTAGAATCCATGAGTAGCATAAAGTAATTTTAATTTGGTTGGTGGTCAAATCTTTTTCATGAAATGCAACAATGTCAGGATTTTATTAACAGCGAAACTTTACCACAAAATTGATGAAGTTCTAAGAGTGGAATGCATGGATTATCATGTTTAAGAGTAAGGGGTATCATTTAATAGCAATTTGACAAAAAGCTTCATTTAATAGTAATGTTGGCCAGTTAATGAAGATGAAATAGGATAACATAATTTGTGGAATAAGATGCAATATAACGATGATTTCTCTAATAGTAACGATGAGTAATGACAGTAAAACTGGGAGAAAGATGGATCGATAGTATCCTTATTGCCTTAACTAATAATTATTTTCCAACAAGGACGACCGTTGTTACTAGGATCTGGAGTAAAAATATTTCTCGTTATTTTTAAAGACGAATAAATAAATATCATTACCAACGAAAAATTTATGATCCCTATAGATGACAAGAATCTAAAATTGCCACAAGTATCTTTCTATTTATTTTTCATCTTTCGAACTATAGAACTTTTTTGTCTCTATTGGAATCTAATATCAATTAGCTAACTTGAAAATAAATTATTTACCAACTTATTTGTTCACTACGTCATAAATCATTCTTTGTCGAAGCTTCTACCGGATATGTATATTTCATTATGTGAAAGAAAATGTCCAACTTTTTAAAATTTCATACATAATCGATATCAAACCTTTTTGAATACTTTTAATATGACAACTTTTACTACATAAAACTATTAAGCCAATATCTGCTTATCTATATACTTTTCTTGATCATTTAAAATCGAGTACTAAAATCGATGTTTTACTGTGCCTAATACATTCTTTATTAAGGTAGATTAGTTTATCCTGCTGCTACAGCTAATTTTAACGCTTTCAAAGGAATTTATAGTGAATGTACTATAAATTGTCAATAACTTCCTATAATTAAAAGGATGTTCTTTCGACAGTCAGTTTTATTCTGTCATTTTATTTTAAAATATGTTAGCTGCTGTAGGGATTAAGAACTTACTATTAGTGACACTTAGGTATTAATTGAACAATGATTTAAATAGTATTCGATATCGATGACATTTCGATACGATTAGTAGACATTAAAAAAGTAAAATAGATTGACAAGTCTAGTTTTCATTGACCTGATATTCAATGAAATGGCAAAGTAAAGATAAAATATTGTTAGAAATTTTGTGATTTATTCCAATTCCCTGTTACTAATAGTACAGCCATCACCATAATTGAACCTTTGTAGAGAATATTAAATAAATTTGACAGGTTTCTACTACGATCGACGATGTAATCAACTCGGTAGTTGTGATTAATTTTGACAGTAAAAGCTAACTTTAAAATTAGAGTGCCCAGAATATCATTTTTCCATTTCAGTTATTGAAAATGAACATTTCGAATGAGCAGTAGCCTCAAGATTATAAACTATAAAATTAATATTATTAAACCTTCGCTTTCTATGTAAACTTTCCGTCGAAAGAAAGGTATCTGCCATTACGTAAGCTAGGAGTGACTGGGCTTTTAAAGTGAGAAACGAAATACATCGAGTCCTATTAGGGCTATTAGTAACGTTGGCATGAAATAAAGCTCATCACTTTAAAGAACTTTTCCGGTCTTTATCGTTGCTACAGCTATCATAAAAGGTTTCCCATGACAAAACAACTATCGTTTACACTATAATCAATAAATATGGCTTACTCTACTACCTCTATAGATCGGATTTCATGCACTCAACTAGTAACATTTTACAGAAATTATAAAGATAACTTTGAAAAGTTAAGTCTAATAACCAATTGGCGATGACTGTAACATTACAAATTTTAGTATCAATGTAACATGTTTCAGATAAAAGAATGTTAAATAAATACTTATACATGGCTTCAATATTAAAGTGTGGATAAATATAGCTAGAGATGATACAATATAAAATCTGATTTCAATTTCGATCGATACTATCTATATTATCTTACTAACTATTTATTCATATTCTATTATCGATTACACTAATTTTACCTGTGTAAAATTTTAACTAGATTGTTAAGAAGATAACAGTAAAAAATGCCTTTTCTTCAAAATGTCCAAATGTAGTCCAACGATGGAAAGTAACGGGTGATTTGAATCGATTAGCTTGGATAAGACGAATTAAAGTTGATGGTTGCACGTCAAATGGCTATAACAAACCTATTCGCGTAAGAAGGTAGCCGTTTATAGTATACGAGTATCTAAACCAAGTTCTAAAAGAACTAGATACGCATCTAATTTTAGGGCAGTCGATTAGATTACTTGATCGCTCGAGTATCCCCTTATAATGATCTTAATCATCAATAATTCAATAACTAACAAAAATCAACATTTTGTTGATTGAAATCACTCCTGATTGCCAGCTTGATCCTATCAGCGACTATATCTATTGGAGTTATTGATATAAACGGTGAAGGAAAAGAGTAAAATTATCCGAATAAATAATAGACTAATGTAATAGTGATTACAATGCTAGTAATAAAACGCTGCGTTACTCTTTTTCTTTTATCTCTCTATTTCATAGACTCCTATTCTATACTTCATCAAGATAAAATATGTTCTATCGTAGTTCTTATCCAATTCGTCGGCTAATGATGTCAACAATACAGTCGAACAACAAATAATTTAACCTTATTGTTATCTTGAATAAAGAAATTACTATTGAAAATAAATTAATATCCATAACAATCGTTGTCTATTGACGATGTCTAGTTAACACAACAGAAAAATAGGAATTAATACATTGTCGTTATCTAGTTATTGATTTGGATGATGACAATAGCCTAACATGAAGAGTTGCTAACAACTCTCATTAGCCATCAATAGGGTAAAGTAGCACGGATTGGTATAAGATTAGTATACTCTTGGCTATAAATAGACTGTTATAAAACACCCTTAGTAGACTTAGCAAGATTAGCCAGCTTATTAAATATTTCTACTGTGATCCATGCAATGATAATAGATTGACATTGAAAGCTATCATCGGATAAATACTCGCTTTTCTATCCAATATTCAAACCAAGCGTCTGGATAAGAGTCACTAATTGGATGTTTAGGCTATAAATCGAATTTAAGTTATATGACAACTGCTGCTTCAACTTAATACTTGCATTCAATGCACTATATTAGACCTGCTAATGATACGCATTTTGCAGTACATGTAGGCTTCTGCTTTAGCAATCATGACTTCATATTTGCTAGTTGTGGTTTAAGTGAGTATTTTACACCGTACTGCTGATGTAATTTAATACTTGCATCTAGTACACAATATTAAACCTGCATACGATACACATTTTTCGGTGCATGTAGACCTTATGCTTTAGCTTCCATAGTTTCATATTTGCTAGTTGCGGCTTTAGTGGATATTTTGTTCCGTAAGTACACTAGCCCAGACTGCCTGGCTACTAAAAATTTTCCCCTTCCATTAAATAGATAACGGCTAATGTTGCCAGTTTAAAAGATTTACTATCTCACTTTTATGTACTATTTATGCCAAGCACCTGCGTAATGACTTTAATTTGATGTTTACACATGAATTCATATTTAATCTCTATAATCACCACTTTTTATATTTGCCATCAACACGTAGTACTGCACCTGCACATACTGTAGTACAGGATTTTTTCATTGCATGTAGGCGTTTGCTTCTGAACTTATAGTCTTCAAATAGCTAATTACAGATTTTAAAAGACTTTTCAGCGTGTTAGATGCATTGGCTATGGCGGTTTGGCTTATAAAATATTTCAACTTTTGTAAAGTGAATACGGCAACTGTTAATGATAAAAGTCATAAATTGATAACTAGTCACGTTTCAGACTGTACTTTTATCTAGCATCTACTTTATGAGCTTTAATTAATCTCATGTTTAGATGTGAATTTGAACTTAATATTTAGCTCACGTAAGTGCAGCCTAATAATTGCAATGCAAGTAAAGCTGCGGCTATAAATTGCCTACCTTTCGTAGTAAATTTGAACTTTTCGTTGCAGCATCTATGTTTAGATTAGCCAAACGTAGGTCTTAACCGAATCAGAATAACTGCTAGTACACTAACTGAGTATAACTTGCTTGATAACAAATATCTCAACTTTAATTCAACCGAAAGGAAGAATAATTAAGAATCATATAATAAAAATTTTATCATTAATTAGCCCTTTTATTCAACAACAAAGTTAAGTACTGTACTAAGTAATATCTTCTAATTTAATGCTTAGTCATAAATTTTACCTACATATTTATAATTAGCCTAGTAAAGTTTAATATTTGCGATAGTAAACATATAATGCATTTACATAGTACGTATTTACAATTGCATAGAGGCCTTTAGCTACAATATCTCTAGTGTAATCCCATTTTGTGCTTTAACGGTATGTATTTACATGACCGGCTTCTGCCTTGATAAACAAAGATGAATTTTAGGTAGATCAAAGTAATTGCAATCGTATAGCCTAATATTTGC